ATTATTTTTTTGAATTATAATAATGTATTGAATCATTCATACCATGGATTTTCGTGCTTAATATTGGTTATTGTCATTTTGATAAACTAAGGTTTAACCGCGGAATCACGCCATTTTAAAGACCTAAAAAACGTATTTGGAGGTCTTGCGATGTAATGATTTATTATTTTTTTGAATTACAATAATGTATTGAATCATTCATACCAAAAATTATACCTGGATTTTCGTGCTAAATATTGGTTATTGTCATTTTGATAAACTAAGGTCTAACCGCGGAATCGCGCCATTTTAAAGATCTAAAAAACGTATTTGGAGGTCTTGCTATGTAATAATTTATTATTCTTTTAAATTATAATAATGTATTGAATCATTCATACTAAAAATTATACCTGGATTTTCGTGCTAAATATTGGTTTTTGCTCTTTTGATAAACTAAGGATTAACCGCGGAATCGCGCCATTTTAAAGACCTAAAAAACGTATTTGGAGGTCTTGCTATGTAATGATTTATTATTATTTTGAATTATAATAATGTATTGAATCATTCATACTAAAAATTATACCTGGATTTTCGTGCTAAATATTGTTTTTTGTCATTTTGATAAATTAAGGTTTAACCGCGGAATCGCGCCATTTTAAAGACCTAAAAAACGTATTTGGAGGTCTTGCTATGTAATGATTTATTATTTTTTTGAATTATAATAATGTATTGAATCATTCATACCAAAAATTATACCTGGATTTTCGTGCTAAATATTGGTTATTGTCATTTTGATAAACTAAAGTTTAACCGCGGAATCGCGCCATTTTAAAGATCTAAAAAACGTATTTGGAGGTCTTGCTATGTAATGATTTATTATTTTTTTGAATTATAATAATGTATTGAATCATTCATACCAAAAATTATACCTGGATTTTCGTGCTAAATATTGGTTATTGTCATTTTGATAAACTAAGGTTTAACCGCGGAATCGCGCCATTTTAAAAACCTAGAAAACGTATTTGGAGGTCTTGCTATGTAATGATTTATTATTTTTTTGAATTATAATAATGTATTGAATCATTCATACCAAAAATTATACCTGCATTTTCGTGCTAAATATTGGTTATTATCATTTTGATAAACTAAGGTTTAACCGCGGAATCGCGCCATTTTAAAGACCTAAAAAACGTATTTGGAGGTCTTGCTATGTAATGATTTATTATTTTTTTGAATTATAATAATATATTGAATCATTCATACAAAAAATTATACCTGGATTTTCGTGCTAAATATTGTTTTTTGTCATTTTGATAAACTAAGGTTTAACCGCGGAATCGCGCCGTTTTAAAAACGTTTTTAGGGTCGATTCCACCGTTGTGTTAGACGGAGATTAAAATGACATTGTTAATGTAAAAATGTCATTTTAAACTTCGTTTAATACAACGGTGGAATCGGTCCTTAGAGGTCTTGCTATGTAATGATTTATTATTCTTTTGAATTATAATAATGTATTGAATCATTCATACTAAAAATTATATCTGGAATTTCGTGCTAAATATTGGTTTTTGATATTTTGGTAGAATATTTTTCCGCGAAACCGCGCATTTTTAAAGACCTAAAAAATGTAATTAGAGGTCTTGCTATTTGATAATTTATTATTTTTTTTATTGATACTTGTTTATTGAATCTTTGGTATAAAAATTGTATTTGAAATCTCGTGCTAAATGTTTGTTTTTGTTGGTTCTAAAAACTATATTTAGATGTCTTCCTATTTAATGATTTTTTTATTTTATAGCTAGTGGTGTACTAAATTATTGGTATAAAAATTGTATTTGTAATCTCATGTTAAATGCTTTTTTTTTGTTCTCTTTGTTCTCATAGTCATTTGACGACAAAACACTTGACTTTAAAAATACCAAAAAAATATATTTTAAATCATTGGTCGGCCATAATTTTTTGTTAAATCAATTAACAAAAACCTAATGAATAAATTTATATTTATAATCGCATTGTAAATGTGTTTGTTTCATCCCCGTCTTTGTGTAAGATTCTCTTATTTTAACTAATAATTCAAATTGAATAGATCCATTTTTTCAATAAATACACTAATTTTTATTTATTTCTAAACTTTCATGATACTACAGTCCACCTTAACCAAAGATTTTGCCGAATAATAATATCAAAACATTAAGGGACCACCGCGCGGTTTGTCTGCTAGTTTGTCCTAGCTTCAGCCTCATATGAGGACTTATGTTACTGGCAGAACACAAATTAATCCAAACAAAATATTGATTGTGGCAATGTCTTTATAAAGTAGAGTGGCTGCCCCTGCATTAGCCTTTCATGGTTCATGATAAAGAGTGATTTATGAGAAATAAATAAAATAAAAGGAAACCACATGATATATGATTCAATAGGAATAATCGGGATAATTTTCAAGCATAGTTATTTGTTAAGTTATTTTAGGTAGTTAATTGAACATTACACATTTTTGAAATTACCCTATACCTACCCTCCTTGACGGAAAAATGTATGACAAGACTTATCATGCAATGTTTAGTTTTTCAAGAAAATGCCTTGAGGATGGGATACCTCATTTCATTTATTTCTTGTATATTCAGTGGTATCCTAAAAGACCACCATGTATCATACTTATATGCAGGTGAATTTTATAAAAACAACAATAATTATGAAATGGGATACAAAATAAGAGCAAAGAGGTTATATTCTTTTCAATAATTAAATAAAAATACAATGTAGAACGGGTAAACACTGTCATTTAAAAAAAAAGTAATTTAAAATAATTATAAAAAAAGACAATTTTGTAATTATATGCAATCTTTGCACCTAATTGAAAACATATTAAATATTATAGGAAAGTTGTAACTACTAGTAATAACCAATGACACAATGACATGTTTATGTTTTCTAATGAACTCATCAATTGGTATATTTTCAATGAGTTTTTTGAAATTTTATTACGTATTTATTAATTTATTATGTATTTATAAGGTTGTTAATAAGTAATAATTTATGAAATAATTGTAATAAGTCTTCAATAATACTGGTATGCCATGTGATCTGGCATAACAAGAAATTTAATGAAAATGGCAGTTCTTAATGACTTTTATGATCAATTAAGTATAATTTCTGTTAAATATGCCAGTGACATTGTTTTAGGGTTAAGTTATTAATTTAGCCAACTGATGACACCAATTTAGTCACATAGGATATAGATATTTATATCTACAAATTAATACTCAAAATAAAAAAGGAATGACTTTTAAAAATATAGATATTTGTTTACTACAATTTATTGTTTTATTTAAATATATTGGATATTAGTAGATTTATCCGATGTTTACAGTAAAAAAATCTTCAGAAAAACAAAATACATTAGTAAAAAAAATCGCTGGTGGAAGGAGGCTAATTGGAGGGACAAAGGATCTGAGAATTAGTAAAGAACATGTGAATACTTAGTTAAAATACTCCAAACAATAATTTAATAAAAAAAGTAAATTTTATTCAAAACATGTCTCATTAAAGTGAATTTAAATAAATCTTGCTAACTGGTACCCTGTAGATGGTCACACTCCAATATAATTATGTATTAGGTACACCTATGTGAAAAAATGGTTGTTGAATAATAATTACATTTAAATCAAAGCACTTTCAAAGAATAATAAGATACTAAGAAGTTTTTCATTTAATTTATGATTCATTTTATGTAAATATTATGTTTAAATAACCAGAAGTTATTATTATTCTCTGGCCAAGAGAAATACTAAAGAGTAAATTCTCATTTAAATTAAAACATGTATTAGATAGATAAATTCGAACAATATAATCCATAAAGACACTAAAATACACAAGGTCAACATTCTAAAGGTACCATTGGGTCCAGTAAAACAAGTTTTTATTAAAAATTATGTATATAAGTACCTATGTTAGGATAGTAATAATATAAATCATGGAGATTTAAAATAGAAACTTGTTATTTTAGTTGACAAGCATAAAATTGACAAAATCTAATTCTGGTTTCTATATCAATGTAGTGGAATATTAAAAAAAAATAATAAAAATGTTCATCAGATAAAAAAATTATGGTAGCTTTTCCTTTAATTTCAATGATCTTTATCAATATTTTGCATTTGCTTAATTTTATTTTTAGCTAAAATAAATTTTATTGTGCATGCATTTTTTAATTTTCATTACTATAATGTTCTTCCTATTCCTAAACACTTTTACATAAAGAATAAACGATATATTTAGTTCACATGCCTCATTTAATGATAAAAAGATTCATGTTCATAAAGTCCTCATATTTTATGTTTATATTTTAATTAAAAACAGCATAGGTATTTGAAAATAATAATTCTTGTTGGATTAACGTTGGAAAAAGAAACATTATAAAATTATACCAAACCATACAAAAAAGTCAAAAGATTTATGCAAAAAATAAACTAGTTACCTATTTTTTACAAGACTTGTTTGTCCTTATAGAAACAAAAATAGTTTATACTTAAAAATAACTTACATGTTAAAATGTTGAATACACAACCTAGGAAGAAAAACACAACACTGAACACTATAATCTATAATTAGGCAAGGTTTTCTAATTACTATTACCGGTTTATTTTATAAACTGATGTTAAATGCCCCTTCTCTGACATTCATAAATAAATCAAATTAACTGTCAAAGTCAACGATTAGTGACAGTAGTGACTTTTAGCTTTTAGGGCATTTTTTCGAGCTCCATTTTTAGATTCAAATGATTGATATCAATTTGCATACTATTGTTTGATTTATTATTATTATACCCTATGTACTTTCTCTAAACGTGTATATTTAACAAACAACTTGGTTCTTCTCTGATTTTGCTCTTATCCTACTTTAAACTTCCATTTTTTTTAAAAACTGAAAATGAATAAATAAAGTTTCGTCAAAAATCTCCTTATCGTAGTTCAGATGATGCATAAGTGTCAATGTCAACGTTAACTCAGCTGACATTTGTTTGTCATTTATTTGTTGAAATGTCAAATAAAATGATAAAATTGATAAAATATATCAATATATTTTAATATATAAAAATGAAGAAAAGTGCAAATAATGGTTGAATCATGTTAATTAACTTTGTGTTTGTGTGTATTTATAAAAGCATTAAAAAATTTGTTATAGAATAACTAGTAAGCTTATAAAAAATGGATTCAATTACCTCCGAAAACTTTACACCTTTGCCCAATGTAACATCCAAAACTTCTTTAAATTTGGAAGACATCAAAATGGATTCAAACTTCGCCTTGTTATTATGCAGCTTGGTTTTTGCTGTTTCTTGGGTTATATATATCACATATTACAATTCAAGAGTGATAGGATACATTATTACAAAAATCGTTAACAAACTTTTTATTGGTGAAGGTTACTTTAAGATTGGTAAGTTTTTTGAAACTGTCAAACTAAGGAAACGGTATGTGCCAGTCTTTTCACCTCTGAGTTAAAAGTCACTGCTTACTACTTTCTGATTGGGCTACAGGTTATAGTTCACTAATCTGATAAATACCCCTGTGTGTAACTTGACTTTTACTTTAAATGCAAGATGTACCTACTTGAACCTACTATGTACCTACTTGAACCTACTATGTACCTACTTGAACCTACTATGTACCTACTTGAACCTACTATGTACCTACTTGAACCTACTATGTACCTACTTGAGTTAATTTATTTTTCAGAAATTTCCCTTTTTGTATCTTAGGTTATCTATAGCCATTGATTCTCGTGGTATAAGTACATCTTTTCTCTGTAGATTCTCTTATTCTGGCATATACCTCTCGATAGTCCAATTTTTTATTTTAGTTTTTTGGTAATATCTCGGCATGTTGCATCTGGCAAAAGTATCTTTAAAGCTGACAATCTACACATTTAAATACTCTGAATTCACAAAATTGATCTTTATTGAGTAGAGGATAAATTATGCAAACAATACAAGTGCTCTTATTGAGTCATCAAAACAAAGATGTAGATAGATTAGAGATCAAAAGTACACACATGCTATTTAGAATGGCCTAAAATAATTGTCCAACAATATTTCTAGCTGAATAGGACATTAGTACCTTTGTCTTACTTGTAAAATGATCTGGTTCAAAGAAATTGAGTATAAATGAGGGGGTTAAAGGGGGTTGAAATATAAAAAATAGAAATCAAACACCAAAAGTGATAACATAAAATTTTTAGTTACAATAAAGCTCTACAAGGGAATGGAACCTATTGATTTTGAAAAAAATGTGAATAAAAATGAGGGGTTAAGGGGGTTAAAATATTTAAATAAGGGGGTTGAAATACTTAAAAAATATATTTTTCATTTGTGTCTTTTGCTTCAACAGCTCAGGTTATTGCCTTGTGCTCTGTGTAGGTTATTGGAGTACTAATACTCTAAATACTCCATAGTATAGGCCTTGTCACTATTACAGCATTACTTTAGGAACAGCCTGGTTGATTTGATCCCAACAGTGAGTGGCAATCCTACCTCAGCATCAAAATTAATTAGAAAAAATCCCAGACAATAGTAGGACCCTTGGATTTGGAAGTCTAATCACTGGGTCACCCACCCACATGTCAAATTATATTTTTAAAATCTTCGTTTTTTTTTAATCTGTATCAACTACTGTGTATTGAAATGTCACCTTCTTCATATTATAATTTTCCTTGCCATCCATGCATGTGTTATTTTATTTTTGATTTGGATTTCTACATTTTAATAACTACAGCTACAGATCTTATTGATAAATGTAAACTAAAATTCATTTGTAGGCTCTTTAACTCTTAATGCTCTTTCTGGAAAAATAATGTTTCGAGACGTTGTATATATTACTCATGACTATACTTTAAGAGTTCAAGATGGATATTTAATCTTTAGATGGTGGAGATCTTATGTACCTAAGGATGTGAGTGAAGGTAAGATTGTCAATGAACTTTAGTTAATTGTAATATTTATGTTGTTTGTATTAAAAACTTTTTAGATTTATCCCATTCGGATACAAGACTGTCAGTGATGCTAAATGTTTTTGAAGTGCATGTTTATAACCGCTCTGAAATTTACTCTAGATTGGAAAAGGTGTTTGATTTGGACCCTAATATTTTTCCCAATAGCGACAAATTTGATGCTGATCCTGAGAGGTAAGTTGTGTCCATTGACAAGTTAATATTTCTATTTTCTATAGGTGATAGTTTAAAACCATAAATTGGATAAAATACCTACTTAATAATATGTTGTAAAATTTAATTTCACAGAATCTTAAAATTGAAAACCTTCCCTTATTTACCTAAATTGATATTTTTTTATAGGTCTTCAATTATTTATTTTTAAATTGAAATGGTATATTTACCAAACAACACCAAATATTTAATAATACAATTTAGAAATTTAAAAACTAATTATAAAGTTAAATAAATATTAGAAACGAAAATACTAAAATACAAATATATTTTTATCAGTATCAAAAACTTTTATCACATTATTTTATAGAAAGTAATTTGGAAATTTTAGCAAGTGGAGATTTTATTTTTCCATGTAAAAAATATATAACTTGTTTTCAATATGTTTTAGAAATGAAAATGAAGCTCAAATAGTATCCAAAAAGTCAACGAAAAAACAAAAACCTGAAGCAGCAATGGCAAAAACGTGGAGAGATTTAATACCAGTCATTAAATGTGACGTTTCTTCTGTAATTAATAATATTGTAAATTTAAACTTCAATTTTTATTTTTTAACATTTTTAGGGACGTGTAGTGTTTGGAAATCGCTTAGTGCCTACAACTTTGAGCATTACATTTGAAGAATCCCATTTTGTATATTCAACTAAACCAGCTGTATGTACACTTGATAGATTCATGCATTTTGTTAAATGTAAGGCTGAAAATATGAAAGTAATGCTGGCACCCAGCATAAAATATACAGGTTAGTTATTTGAGTCACCTTACAGTTTGCAGTTATCTTTCCTGCTAGTAAAATTGTTACATACACAACTCATTATACATGTTTTTCCAACTTAAGTCACTAAACAGGTACACCAACTTACTTAACCCTTTGTGGAGAGCAAAAATATGCTTAAATAGTTGAAAGACATATATGCAGGAGACACATTTTTTCAAACATTGTGTGGATTATTTAGAAACGTCAAGTACATGAATCTCTTATTAGGTTATCAACAAGCTATATTTTATCTGTGGAAGAAAACTGCAGTACCAAAAAAACGTATGAAATAACAAAATTCCTACCAAGTTTTTTTTTTTTTTAAGTAAATAGGTTTATATCAATAAAATGAACTGAATCAGTAATTGGCAGACTTCTGTAAGAATCTGATGACGAATCTTACATTTAAACACTCGGGAACCCAGTAAAGAACACACAATATACAGGATACACATAAAAGTGCAAGCACAAGATGTCCCAGTTTGTCTAGCCAGTCGCCTTAAAAAACTCTGTGTGAAAGGGTTAAGGAATATACCAAGAAAATGACATACATCATTAGTAATTCTTTCATATTCCCATGAGTTAAGCAGTTTATGTAACAACACAAAGCATGTCAACATGTAAGAAATATATAATCTAGGGGTCTTTAAACTGATTGGCAACGCCCACTTCAGCCATTTTTTCTCCCACAGTTTTAGCTGCATTATGACTAGCTCTAATAAAGTTTCGATCCTCTCTATTTTCTGCAATTGCAACAGCTAATTGAAAGTATTTATTACTCGGCTAAGAATTTTAAAAATTAACAAAAAAAATATTATGAATCCTAACCACTTCAGTCATGATTCTAAAAATAAATAGAATACACAAAGTAAATGTAATAAAAAAAAATATATTTAAATTCAAATATAAAGTCACTTACTAAATAAAAACAGTTCTTACCTTTTTTAACAATGCCAGTTTCCTAAAAAATTGGACAATTTCTGTTTGAGCATAAATCAAACACTTTTTTTTTTTTCATCACATTTAAATGTGTAAAACTATGAGGAGGTTCTACCATATCTGCTCACTAGCTTTCTTTTAGCTAAAGTTATATTTGAAAAAGATAGTTTAATCACAACATTACTAATTATATTTATTTTTGTAAGTGAATTTGATGAAAACAGCTAACTGCTGGTGAAGGCATTTTCATTAAAATGATCCTCGCACAATAGTTTTCTTTTAGATATGTAGGTAATATTTAAAATATCAAACCATTTCTTTCTAAGAGTAATAATTATTAGGTATTACTCTTCCATCTACCCATTATAATGGATGGAAAAGTAAAACATTTCTTGATCAACTTTCTCTATAAAATATTTGTTTCTGCAATTAGGAGCAGCACATGAAAATGCAACTTTAATAATAATATTAATGAACCCCGCACAAATCTTATGGAAATTGGCTCCCGGTCAAATTGGCTGAAATTTGAATATGTTGTTCGTTTCGGCATCCTGAGCAAAAGTCTTAATGGGCACAAAGCTCAATTTTGCTTATTTTGGCTCCTACGGAGCTCCAAAGCTCCACGGATTGACCATTATTTACTACTTAAAATGGCAATCTCCTCGAAAGTTTAGTATTTGTTGAGTTAAAAAAGAAGTACATTCCTATGTTTTCGGGGTCGCTGCATTCAAATCCAATGCCAATATAATAATATTGACAGCTGTCAACTAGCTGTCAAACAACAAGCAATAATCAAAATTGATAAAATCCACATGTAAATATCTGTTTTTGAGGTTGGTAAGTTCAAAACTGATGTTAACAACTCGATATTGACAGTTGACGGCTGTCAACTTGCTGTTAAAAAGTATGTGACAATCAAAAGTGACAAAATTCAGGAGTAAATGGATGTCTTCAAAATTACTGAGTTCAAAACTGATGTCAAAAAGACGATATTGACAGTTAACAGCTGTCAACTAACTGTCAAACAGCATGTGACAATCAAAATTGATAAAATTCATATGTAAATATATGTCTTCAAGATTGCTGAGTTTAAAATTGATGTCAAAAAGACGATATTGACAGTGATCAACTGTCAACTAACTGTCAAACAGCATGTAACAATCAAAATTGATAAAATTCACATGTAAATATATATTTTTGAGGCAGTTGAGTTCAAAACTGATGTTAACAACTCGATATTGACAGTTGACAGCTGTCAACTTACTGTTAAAAAGTATGTGACAATCAAAAGTGACAAAATTCAGGAGTAAATGGATGTCTTCAAAATTACTGAGTTCAAAACTGATGTCAAAAAGACGATATTGACAGTTAACAGCTGTCAACTAACTGTCAAACAGCATGTGACAATCAAAATTGATAAACTCCATATGTAAATATATGTCTTCAAGATTGCTGAGTTTAAAATTGATGTCAAAAAGATGATATTGACAGTGATCAACTGTCAACTAACTGTCAAACAGCATGTAACAATCAAAATTAATAAAATTTACATGTAAATATATATTTTTGGACAGTTGAGTTCAAAACTGTTAACAACTCGATATTGACAGTTGACAGCTGTCAAATAACTGTCAAACTATCACAATATTTATTTCTACCGTCGGCGTTAGCGTTACTCGATGTACACCACGTGGAGGTCGCGATCGGTTTTTGTACATCTTGGCCCTGAAAAGGTTTCACGATATTTTTTATCAATCTATTTATAATACAGCACGAACACCGGACGGACAAGTGCAATAATAACCGAAAATGGGCTTTCATTCCTGTTGAATTCATAATCTTCCTCGTTTCCTTCAATCTTATCATTTGGTTTAAAAGTGATGCAAAGCTAATGTTTTGTGACATTTGGGAATCGAGAATAAGCTCTAACTCTAAGCAAACTACGCTCGGGCAAGTTGTTCTCTCCTCTAAGCATTTCAAACTGAAATTCTTCATCTGCGTCTCTTTAGAGCTTGTCCTACACGTAAAAAGGTGCAAGCCTTACTTGATATACCCCATTGGTTAAATCTTGTAAATATTCCAGAGTTAGTTGTGGGAATTCCATTAGATGGACATCGTCCATTCGAACCCATCTATTTATGTTTCTAGCAAAAACATATTTGGTTCTCTTACTTTTTCAATTATTCGATTTACCAATTCAGCATTAGCTCCATTCATATAAATAGCTGGATGGTATCGGTTTATAAGTGCTCCAGCACTTGACAGTTATTTGACAGCTGTCAACTGTCAATATCGAGTTGTTAACATCAGTTTTGAACTCAGCTGCCTCAAAAAACATATTTACATGTGGATTTAATTAATTTTGATTGTCACATGCTGTTTGACAGCTGATCACTGTCAATATCGTCTTTTTGACATCAATTTTGAACTCGGCAACCTCGAAGACATATTTATATATGGATTTTATCAATTTTGATTCTCACATGTTGTTTGATAGTGCGTTAACAGCTGCTAACTGTCAATATCGTCTTTTTGACATCAGTGTTGAACTCAGCAACTTCTAAGACATCTAGTTACTCCTGAATTTTGTCAATTTTGATTGTCATATACTGTTTGACAGTTAATTGACAGCTGTCAACTGTCAATATGGAGTTGTTAACATCAGTTTTGAACTTACCAACCTCAAAAACAGATGTTTACATGTGGATTTTATCAATTTTGATTATTGCTTGTTGTTTCACAGCTAGTTGACAGCTGTCAACTGTCAATATGGTACTTCTTTTTTAAGGCAGCAAATACTAAACTTTCGAGGAGATTGTCTTTTTAAGTAGTAAATAATGGTTCATCCGTGGATCTTCGTAGGAGCCAAAATAACCAAAATTGAGCTTTGGGTCCATTGAGACTTTTGCACAAGATGCCCAAACGAACAATATATCCAAATTTCAGCCAATTTGACCGGGAGCCAATTTTCATAAGATTTGTGCGGGGCACTTTATTATTTACCAAAACATAAAACTGATTACAGATATATTTTAAAATAACAAACAGTGGCAAATAAATGGTACAGTATTATGTTTGATATGAAATGAGATAAAACCAGGGTTTCACACATGGTTTTTTTTTGTATCAGCATTTAGGTAGCTTCTTTGATTAAAAATAAGCTTTAGAGACCCATAAACTTTACGGATTCTATTCATTATATCTTTTTTTAAATCTCAGTTTTGAATCTACTTATAATCTTGCAAACATCAGAAAATATTAAGCTTTCATTGTTTAACCGCAATGTTAGCTGATTGAGAGCTTGCCTTTTTTGGACCTCATTTGCAAAAAGAATGACGAATGATTTTTTCGAGTTTATTATTAAATTATGTTTAGTTGAGATTTTTGTAAGTGTAGAAAGGTCTTGATTAATGTTATCATTAATATCTTAAATGTCATTGTTTTTAAAAGAATAATACAGCTGAGTATCATCTACATATAGATGATACTTACCAAAATTTAAACAAGTATGTAAATTCGAAGTATAAATGGAATATAAAAACGGTCCTAATATACTGCCTTGGGGAACACTTTGCTTTATCTTTTTAATATTAGATAATTTTTAACCAAGTTTAACTTGTTGAGTTCAGTTAATGAGATAAGATGATAAAAATCTTATTGCAGAAGCACTTAACTCTACAAAATATAGAATATAATCCAGTGATTTATAGTATCAAAGGTTCTAGAATAGTCAATTAAAAATCTTCCAAGGCTGTTGCACAGCTATATCCATCTCTATGAGTTATGAATTAATGAAATCGTTAAGAACCTAAGTATATTTTTACAGCTATAAATTACTTAAATTTAACTAAATTAAATAAAATTGATTAAATTTTACTCATCTACATTTTCAGCGAAAATATCTGAAAATATCTTTAATTTTTCTATGTAAAAAACTCTTAAGAATAATACTCTGCTAAGGTATTGATTCTACTCTGCCTATAACATGACATACAACATTAACTTTCACATGAAACATGCTTAAACTTTGTTGATTATTCCTCTACTGGCTTTGTATTATGTTCTACAAATTAAATATTATCCTAAACATATTCATATCATGAAAAATGTAGAGGTTAATTCGAATTTTGTATCTCACAGAGAACAAGCTTATTGCTAAATTAGATAATAAGAAACTACATATTTTTATATTTCCAGGAATGTTAGATGATCCTCCAAGATACATGGGCGAAGGTTTTGTTTTGATGTCAACAAATGACCTAGAACTTTACTTTTACATGGACGAACCAGGTACATTCTACTTATAGAAATACATTGTTAATATTATAATAATACTCTTCCTATGATAAATATTAAAATATTTTTTATATTCAGGACTTGTTCCCGAGGAACCTGTTTTAATAACTTTGGCTAATGGCGAAATAGTTGAACCTAGTCCCCCACAGTGGGGAGTTGATATTAAATGCGGAAAAGGTAATTTTTCTTTTGTTTCTTCTATTAATTACTTATATTAACAATAATACAAAAAATAATTAAAATTGTTCAAACCATTTATATAAAAAAACGTTTTTTAGGAACGGATTTCAGTTATGGTCCATGGGCAGATAGACAGCGTGAACATCTTTTCAAATTTTTCTATCCCCAAGACTTTCTACCTATGGAAGTAACAGAATCTCCTAAACCTGGTGAAAAAAGACAAATGCAATCGTTTGATATAAGACTGGTTATGCAGAATGATGCTACTATTGATGTGCTATTTACCAAAGATAAAGAAACAAACGCTGTACATTTTAATGTGGGTGCTGGTAGCTATTTAGAGGTAAGAGTATATACTTATAATATCTAGCGATTTTATAAGTTTTTTTTTGTTGTTGTTACAAGATGAAGAAAACTAAAATAAGTTACTCATTCTCAGGTTTCCTCTTATGTCCTCTTATTTACTTGCAAAACAAAAATAAGTGCAATCATAAACTAATTCAACTTTAACTACTTAATATACTTTCTTGGATATTAAAAATAATACTTATATCAATGTTTAATTAATTTTAAATTTAGGTCCTAAAAATCCTTTCTGGTGTAGTCATTTAAAACCGACATTCTTATTTAGGTTACAATTCCATGGGTAACCACTCAAGATGGTTACACAACAGTGATTAAAGGCCAACTGTTACATCTCGAATCAACTACTAGTTTACAATTTCGGGACTTTGTAGATAGCGAAACTTTAGAGTTCTCAGTTTTGTGCCATTATCCTATAGTATGGAATGATCATCAGTTGTGGGAGGTTAACCTTACAGGATGCAAAGCAACTGTCAATCTGATTTTCTTCCACAAATGGTTCTTTACAGGTAAACAAATAATATTAATTCTTTATTGTCCAACAGTAGGATACCATTTACAGGACAATTTAATTATAAACATTACATTTTAAATTGACAACAAATAAGTTCTAATACATACCTGCTGAATTGTCACTTTAAAAAAAAAATGTAATGAAGAACAAATAACAATTTTAAATTTTTAAGTATTTTTCATAAATTTATGAATAATATCAAATAACTCTAAAAAAAATGTATATAAATTAAACTGTCATAGATTGATTTAGGTAATTTAGAAATCGAGCAAATGAACATTTCAAAATATCGCAATCAACACAAAAAATATTAAAATAATGTGGGTTTGGAATTTGATTAACATAGGAGTTGGTAAGTAGAAACTTATAGAATTTCTAATAGATATTTGGCAAAAGAAAAATATAAAAAAACACATAAAATCGTTGACTGATAAGTGTATCAAAACACCTTGCAGTGGTCCGTCCCAAACGCGCGCATATGTAAGAGTGACGCGAGAATATGTGCGCGAGAGCTACGTGTGGTGCTCGGAAAACGATCGAAGCGGGCAGTCTCGACTGAACTGCGGAGCAGTGAGGGTTCAGCGTGACAGCAATAACATTATATTTTTCATGTTGTTCATAAATTTAAAAGTTTAGAAGTTTGTTAATTGTCCTGTTTGGCAATATAGTCGTTCTATACCCAGTGTGTGTGTTCTTTCAAGCCTCAGAACCCATCTTAACATCGAACCTCTTCAACCTTAGATTAAAGAGACCAGAGATGTAACACTGTACATAGCGCATGTTGTCTATTCCAACCTTAAGTAACCCACCAATTAAAATCATTGTTTCCACGACGCCACCCAAATTGCTCCGACATTTCTATTCTGCGCTAATCTCCGCGTGAGTGAATCATCATGAACCGCAGTTTTTTTGAAATATTTGTTGGTGTTATTAGTAATATAAATATTTTTAGTTATTCAATTTCAAGTTGAAAATGCCACGATATATTGTATATACAAATAATATAAGTGCCAACGTTATGAAAAATAAGACATATTCGTTTTCAGCGTTAAATATTTATTAATGTTTTGACATAAAGCAGCCATGATCCTTTGGACTGAATACTTCAGATCCGCATTAAGGGGTTGCAATAAATATTAATTCTAGGCGAGCCACAGTTCTAAGAATTTTTTTTGCCCAAATACTTTATTATGTTGAAAACTGCTTCAACGGGTCATAAAAAAAAGCTAAAGCCATCTATGGCGAAAATGGCTGAGACAATTATTTACTATGCATACTAGAGAAGCAAATTTCCTACGTTAGTCTCCGTAATGGCAATTTTAAAGTCAAAGAGACCATACCCTTAATATTTGTACCAAAACATTGCGCACATGGATTAAAAATAGGTTTTAATACAAAACTATTGACAAGCGGTGTGCAATAATGGAAACGCAAAGATTAATAAATTGGCGAAATGATTACTTGAAACAAATTAAAGATTTCAGAAACTAAAATAAAACAATTTATTATTTGGCTATGACTTGGTACGACACACATGACAATCTTAAAAAAGGCTGGACCAATAACTCCCATGTCAAGTAAAGGTTCCTGTAAGTAAGGGAACGAGGTTAACAATTCTTCATTGTGGTTCAGAAGAAGGATGGGTTCCCTTTAGTTTAAATCTTTTTGGTTAAAATTTTGCTGAATGCAATGTAGATTACCACAAAAATATGTCGAGATTACTGTTTGAAGACTGTTTTAAGAATATTTTTTGAAATATTAATCCAAATAGTGTCATAGTAATGGACAATGTATCGTACCATTCGAGATTGGTAGAAAAAATTCCAACAAAGTCTTGGAATAAAGAGTCAATTAAAGACTTTTTAATTGTCCATGGCCTGTATTTTCAAGAGAATTATACAAAATAATTACTTGAAATATTTGCTACTAAGACATTTCCTAAAATGTATGTTATAGACGAGATCGCCAAAGAAATCCTATCCAACTGATTTAGGGGCAACTAAAAAAGAGCCAAAAAAACGTAAATTTCAAATTCGATGTTATGGTAATAGATACTAAAAAACAAGAGGGGGCAAATATTTCGGCAGTGGATTGGCAAAAGAAAATTAAGAAAGTTATTACAGTGTTAGTATTAAGAAAAAGTTAATAATAGATTTAAATGAAGAGACGAGCGAAGAACACAAGGAAAGCGAAGAAGAAGAGAAAGATAAACAAATAGGATTTAGTGATGTGTAAATATATTTCCTATATTAAAAGATTATTATTCTAATTTTTCAAATGGTTTGTGTTAATCTATAAAAAAATATTCGCATTCAATGTGGGCACTTTGCCAATTATTGACTAGAAATTCTAAATACAACAATGATAATAAAAGGTCTTAAGGTTGCTGTGACGACAATGACACGCCTCCTCACGGTTGGAATGGAACCTTATATAGGATCTGGTGAGGCGAGACCTGACTTTTGGCACGAGGCACTTGATACGCTCCCTCTGCTTCAAGCGAACATGGACTCCATCTCACCGAGATATATTTTCCATAAGCTATATAAAGTTGTAACAGAACAAATAGAAGAGCCGGAAGAGGCAGGTACATTCCATATCAACACCGACGGTTCTGAAACAATACAAGGCTCAGGATGTGGAATATACTTTAGATCCTTAAACCTTAACATAAAATGGGCTGTGAGCAATAGTGCCAGTGCAGGTCCTGGTATTCCGTAAACGAAAACTCGTCCGCCTTGCGCATTACGTCATCAACAACGTATTTCTTGTACCTTTACATGTTTTAAAAAGCGATTTATGCATTATTTAATTATAAAAGAAATCGTGTTGTTATATTCATTAAAATACATTTATTTTAGTTAAATGTACATAATATATAAAATATTGAAGGTTTGTGTTTAAAAAATAAACGTAAATATATAAGATTTTGGTTAAGGTATAAGGCACTTTAAGGTAGTTCACTCGTAAAACGACCTTTCTTAAGAATTCAATAAAATTGAAATATGAGGTTAATGAAAGTGTCTTTTATGTACCTAAAAAAAATAAAAAAATTTGACCATCTGTAAAACGAGATATTAACAATCAAAATGTGCACAATTAACACTCTTGAAGCCCATATTTTTTAAAAACTAATGTAATGTAAATCAAGAAGTTATAAAATTTTCTAAAAAAACGCTGAATTTTTTTACTTTTTTGATAAAGAAATATAGATTTTTAAAATAAAAATGTTCTTAAAGCAGTCGACGCATAGTGGCGTATTGTGATTACAACTTGGCAACGTTGTAATCGATACTCAACGTCCGCTAATTCAAATGTCTGTTAGATCAGTGCTTTCCAACCTTTTTATTGCCGCGGACTAGTCGTTTTTATCACTTTATCGAGGACCTTCTGGGAAAGGACGTTGTTTATACTTTAGGTTGATATGATTTAACAATTTAAATTAAATTGTATTTAAACGTGTCTTCAAAATTAAATAAATATGCAAAAGATGAATATACTTTTATTTAAACATGCCTTCAAAATAAAATACAGTTACACAAAAAAAAATGAATATAAAGTAATATGAAATTTTACCTTACTAGTATGAGGAAGTCATAAAAAATACAAATAAAAGTAATGATTTTCTGTAGTATTGATGATATCGTAGGAACGTTCATGACAGCAAGAAATTTATTTAAAGCAGTTTGACCAAACCCTGAATGGACAGCACCTTTAGATAAATAAAATTATATTAATTATAAAAAAATTATAAACATAACAAATACTTATGTATTTTTTTTTTAATTTACCTAGAACTGCTTTAGTGTTGACATCTGAATGCTTAACTTCACTTTTTGTTGCATGAACTTTGTCCGTAGGTACTATAGTTTCAATATTACATTCATTACATTTAACATTTAAAATTGAATAAAGGCCCTTTCGTGTTTCATTTGTAATATTTTCAAGAGAAAGACCTCTTTCACACCAGCAACATTTTAAATGTTTTCCCAACTCTAGTAATTCCACGATGCGACCACTGCACAGGTTATTTTTCAAGCTTGGGGTTTCCTTTCTCAATTTTTTTGCATTATTCATAGCCAAAATTGATTTTTTGCGTTTGTTGAGGACGTTCTGCTTAACAAATTTTTCTTTATCTCGCAATTAATTGATTCTGACAATGAAACATTTTGATATTTACATTTATTTTACTTTAGGAATACATTTGACGTTTCACAATATATTTGCGACGTTGCCGGATGGATTTTACGCGATATAATACCGTATTTGTGTATAGGATCACATGTGTTGTGTGTACAGTCTGTTACAAAAATAACCTTTCTTTAGATTTAAGAATCTCGAACGGTTGGTATTCACTATAGGGCGATATTTTTGTGTATGACTGTCGCGAGTGAACTACCTTAAAAAACACATTTTAATTGATTCGTTAATTGCTAAAACAAGACAAATAATATTATAAATTAATAAAAGCAAAGTAACTTAGTGAAGTCACTTAGCTTGTTTTTAAAATAAACGATTCAATTTAAAGAATTGATGTATAAAAATAAAATGCAAACTCCTAATAAACATTAAAATAAAAATAACCTACACTATTACGGTTAACCATTCAATTTCAAATCGTTTAAGTTAGTTATTTAATATTATGTTTAATATTTTAATTTTTTTACGCAATTTTCACAAATTTTCGTATTTTTCGACATTTTTCCCTAAATTTCAGTCTAGATTTGAAATAGAAAGTTCCTACTTTATATAATTAACACTTACTTGTTCCGCTCTTTTTTTTTCAACTGCTTTGTTGATACTTTTCTCTTTTGAACATTAAATGGGTAGATTCAAAGTTGAAATAGCTTCATTATTTATGCCTCTCTATCGTTTTGGACAATAATTTAACAGTTTATGCTTTAAAGTTAACTTATAGTTATTTTTGGAGAAATGTTTCGAACACACAACTGAAGTTTTTACGTTAAAATTGTCCTTTCTTCCTGTCGCGTAGATCAACTTTTTGCACAGTGTTACATTTTTGGGAAGCAAATAAAATTTTACATCCGGACAGGGATTTTTTTGAACTCATTGTCTGAAATACACCCAAACACAGCGCAACGGATCTTTAATCACAAAGAGAAGTGCTAATTTTAGTTAAAAACGTTAGGAAAATATGAAAAATCTGTAATTTTTAAATTACTGCTTTGCAATTAATCCGTAATCGTTAAGACTGATTTAAAATTACGCTGTTGATGGCGTATTACGCGCCAATTGGGATACGCCCACAATGTGCTATGTCTTATCTTTAAGTGGTTGTATCGTGGTGCCAGTGTAGTTCAAACAGAGCTCACGGGGATTCTCATAGCAGCAAAAGAAATCACCAGAAACAATATCATTGGAAGGAACATACTCATCTATACAGATAGCAGACAAGCACTATTCACCCTGAACAGACCACGAATTTATTCAGGGTTAGTATGTCACGAAGTTTTGGCCGAAGTATCCATCAACAATCTTAAGAAGAATCAAAGGTCACGCGACATCGAAAGGTAACCGTTTTGCCGATTCACTGGCCAAGAAAGCAGCCAACCAAATACTTTTTGGACCTGGCCCTTCTATTGGCCTGACCAAATCGGTAGTGACAGACCTAATTAAAGAACATTCCCTTGTGAAATTGAACGAAAGATGGGATGAAACAAGAAACTGCCGACTTCCCAGGGAGCTTTTAAGTTATCCTGACAACCCTGCAGCAAACAAATACTTGATCATGACTAGACAGAATCTGCGCCTAGTCACAGGCATTCTGACTGGTCATTGCCAAGCACGGAGCCATCTCCATATCATGGGGCTGTCAGAATCCGCACACTGCAGAGGGAGCGAACAGAAAGATGAGACCATTGAGCATATCCTCTACGATTGCTCGATGCTCTCATTTATTAGGAGATTTGTGTTCGGCGAGTATCGGCTAACACCGGCCGATATAAGAGAAGCACCTCTTGGCGATGTTGTCAACTACATTAAATCTGTAGGCTGGCTCACGAGCTAGGAGGTGCCTATCATCTTAGGAGGATGTAACAACCGGGATATCTAAAGGACCAACGCCCGTCACCAAATGTAACAATCGGGAAGCCTAAAGGCCACCACTTGTCACTAAATGTAACAACCAACTCTCTAAAGACCATTTGTTACTACTGATAGGTATTTAGCTACTGTTGTTAATATACTATTAAGGGATTAGGGCAGTGCCATCACCAGCCAAAGAGTCCTGGAGTCCAAAAGGAACATCCATTCACCAGTGGCTAATAAAAAAATAAAATTATAACAACAAAAATTATCCCTTAATAGCATAGTCGAGCGGCTCTTTTAGTCCTAAGGGAATAAAAACGCCGAGGCTTCTCAAATGCTTGGAATATTTTACTGGTTTGGAAAGGGAAATTATGAAAACATTAACAAAGGTATATTTACAATAAATACAAAATGTGGCTAATAGTCTTAAGAAAGAATGAATAAAATAACATTTAGGGAATAAAGCACTACATTGTTAATAGATACAAACTTTAAAGATTTTAAGATAACTAGATAAACGTTTTATTGAATAATAAGTTTGGACTTATTAACAATTATAAATTGCACTGGAAAACTTTAATTACATAATAATAAAAAAATGTATAAGGTAAATATGATAATTTCAGGACGAAAATGTAAAATTGACATTTATATGTAAATCAATTATTTATTATCAAACAAAACACTTTAAAAATAAGTTAAAGATATTTACCCATAATTCACAATTCGTACACAAAACTTTACTCTAGACATTACATTGTTTTGGGACTTAAAGAGTCCCAAAACAAAACGAGAGCTTTTTCCCTCGGCGAAAGTTCTGGACCTTAGTCCGCACTCGATTGAGAGTCTTTCTTTCTGTCTCCTCTATATAAACCAAAATTTGTTGGTTGTAATTTTAAAAATAACCTGATTGTTTGTTTCATTTTCATACGTGTCTTCCTTTTTAATTTTTAATTTAAAACATTAAAATACTTATTTAGAATTTTTGGTAAATTCTTTAGATTTTCAAATAATAATAATGCCAATTATTACAAGGATGCACAATGGGCCTAGCGAGGCCTAAGTGGCGTGGGGGTAACCCACCCTCCACACGTTACAGATACAGAAAAGGTCTAAAAATGAATGAAAAAAATTATCATGTATATTTCCCATATTATTATGACATAATCCATTTCTAAAAAGTCATGAAATAGCTATTAAAAAATATTGATGAATACAAAAACCATACAAAATGTTTGAATCCGGATCTGCTTGAGCTAGATAAGTGCAATCAATTATGAGCACGAGCCATGTTTTTGTACAACTTTTTATTTACCAAATCTTTATTATAATGAGCGTTTGACAAATGCAGCTGGAACATCAATATCTTGTACCAATATCAATGAACTTGTGAATTAATTTGTAAAGAAATAATTGACTGTTTATTATGAGTCATTTATCAAACAAAAAAGAAAAACGTTTTCGAATATCTAAAAAGTATTTATTAAAGCCATAGATTGGAAACCATATTAGAGTTCCATATTTCATTATCAATGTAAGCAGCAATTTCGGATTATAAATCCAAGCATTCTTCTTGCAATGTTTGTAACATTCATAATATGTTTATTAAATCTGAAAATGTATACAATCTTCAGTTGAATTCACTAGATTTTCAAATCATTCACAAACAGTAAATGTCCACAATGAATATCATTGATAAATTGTTGAAACAAAAGCGGTCCTAAATTAGAACCTTGAGATGCACTACAATAATGTTAATAGTGACTACCTAAATCTAATTTTATAGTATGAATTAGTCTTTTGTCTGTAAACATTTTTAAAATATTGATAATTATCGTTTCGGAGTGCAACTAAATATTTGTAAATGTATTTATATTGAACGATTTTTTTTAGATTTAATAAATGATTGGGCATCAAAACAGCGTCCAGACTTAATGCATTTTGTTCCTTACACATGGCGGTTCGGTTTAACACTGAAGCATTGTGAATTATTAACTCTAGTCAATCAATATAATTGGATAGACTGTAGTAGTGTAGGACAAAGAAATCGTTTGGAAAACACCCAGTTTGCTCTGTGCGCTCACTTCCTACATCTGTCTTTTGATTTACCATTTGATGAATATTTACCGACCACTGTTCCTGTTAATTTGTCCATTCAGGTTTGTAAAATTGATATTTTTGAATACAATAATTGAATTTTTAATAAAATTTTACGTTTAGGGCGAAAGTTTAGACTTAAGTCTGTTCATTCCGGAATTTCACACTAGTCGTAACATTGTTCATGCTTTGGATAAACACGCTAAAGTTTTGTCAAAAGATGGTTCGACAACTAAAAAGACTGAAGTTATTCCAAAATGGAGGAATATTTGCCAAAAAAGGTAAGAGCAAGTTTATAAATCAGTTAAAAATAAATAAATATCATTTATGATTTATGATATTTATATTAGTCTAATTTTCTGTATTTTATTTATCAAAATGTGATTTAAAATGAACTAAATGGTTACTGGTTTCGCTTTCTTCTTAGAGAACCAAACAAATAGTGATCCACAAAAAATGTAGGCTATGACCAACAAAGAAAGATATACGAGTTATGTCCCTGATAACTATGCACGGCATAATTAAATCCAAGCTGACACTTAAAAACTCAAAAATTCCGTATACATAGAGCTACTGTATTTTGGTGAGATCAAAACAAGGCGATTGAGTCAAAATTACCTATATCACACAGTGCTTCGTTTGCCTGTGAGAAAGCTTCAAAATTAATTTTTTTTAACTCAAAATTGCTTCGTTCGATTTTTATAAAATTTGGTGTGTTTCTCAAATTTTCCTTACACAATTACGAACTTATTTTAACTCTTTGGCCACTTGCAACACTAAAGCCTTTGGTTTTCCAAAGCAAAGTTTTATTAATTAATCATTCAGTGAACACGGCTTGCGTGGAAATATAAGCAAAAAAACACCTTTTATTTCTGTTAAAGAAAATCGAATTTTCCATATGTTATCCCCAGGGGCCACTCATAAATTTCCTTTTCATCGATGTACTTTTCAATCCTCTTCGAGGCTTGTTTGCGAAAATGGGGCACCTAAATCAGTCACTATCTGACGGTCTATTTATTGATTTAAGGGGTAGATTCATTTTTTTACTATTATATAAAATAGACTTCATGATTTAGATGGTAGTAAGAATGAGTAGTGGAATACAATAAGTACGTCTTGTGTCATGATAAGAGTTTGCGTTCATTATAGTTTTATATTTTTTGTGCATGATCACTGATGTTTTTAAAATATAAATGCTGACTAAGTATAAAATGTTATGTCATAAAAATAAAGGCTTTCATAAAACATTCAAGTTAACGTTGCTAAGAAATCTCAGAGCCCTTTTTGTAACACAAAAACACTCTTTAAATAGTTCCTGGTTGCAGGATCCCAAAAACATTCCATATCTTAAATGTGAATCTACTAGTGAATAATAGACACCTTTAGCTATTTCAAAGTTTAGACTCTTAGAAACTGTTCTTATTGCATAGCATCCTTATTACATAATAAATTGATGTGTGGTTCAAATTTTAAATGAGGAATTCTCCTCTGAAAAGAAAATACATAAATAATAAAATATATGCTAAAAGAAACACCCCGCCAAATTTTTGTCCCTTAAAAATGTTTTCTAGGCAGTTAAAATTGGAAAATTAGTTAGATATTTAAAGTTTAAAGCGCTACGTTTCTCGTTGGACATTTGGCAAAGCTGTATTGTTGTTTCTTAGGGATTCCCTCTGTTCCGTTCAAGTTCTGCACTCTTAAAATCGCTTCCATCCTCTTCTTTCATTTAAAAGATAGAGAGAGGGATTCCTGAACGCTGCATTTGTATCAGTTGTGTGTTGTTTTGTTCTAACCTAATTGTCTTTTGTTTGTTTATATTTTTATCGAGAGTTTTAAAGTGTTTTTATAGCAGTTTACTAATATAATAAATTATATACATAAACAAATGTATCATGACCATATTTATAATTATATTATATTATGTTACCTTATAAAAAATTAGTGTTCAATGTAACGACATATATTAAAGTGATAATCTTTAGTATAAATGAAGATATGTAATGCGTGGCATTCTAAATTATGATTTTCACAGACCCCCTTAGCCCCCATTTTCAATCGAATTTTTTTCAGAATCAATAGGCTTCATCCCCTTGTAGAGTTTGATTTTTCCAAAAATTTCAAGTTGATAGAAATCATTAAGCGATATATCTCGTCCGTGGCACTGAATGAGTTTTAAAGAGCAGGTATTTGCGAATTAATGTTGCACCCTTTCAATTCTATTAATATGACTGGTGTAAGTAGATTGCCAAATAACAGAACAGTATTCTAGCATTATAAAGTGTCATAATTGCTTTTATTTATCAGTATGCCTCTTAATGAAGCCAAGCATCATGTGGGTTTTGAATGTTATGTAATGAAAAATAATGTCTAGATGTATAACTGTCGAGGAACTATCTAAGTCCTGTCAATATTATAACAATTAAGAGCCAGATTATGGGATCTTGTAAAAATGTATGGTTTTTCACTTAACACATTTATAGAAAGAGCATTATTTTTACACCAGGTAGCAAATCTATTTAAGTCAGATTGTAAGACAGAGTGGCTAGTATATCTACTAAAAAACTTTAAATCATTTGCGAAAAAAAGACATTGGCTTTTAAAAAATCATTACGTAACATGATAAAAATATTAGGAAAACAGTAGGGGACCAATATGTGAACCATGATAACACCGGACAGGACTGAAACGTAACATGATAGCGGAATTATGCACTATGACACGTTGAGAGCGATTACTTAAAGAATCAATCCAGTAAAAATAAGAACCAGAGATACCAATTTTGGAGAGTTTCTTAAGTAGCAATTCATGACAGACACTGTCGAAAGTTTTTGACAGATCGGTGTAGATGGTGTCAACCTAGTAACCATTTTCAAGATTGCCAGATTAGTTGTTTCTATTTATAAATCATTCAAATGCGTACAAATAATAATTATTATTGTTATATAATTTAGTTGAAATCCTGTTAAAATAGCTCTAAAAATCACAATTTATTAATATTTCCACTCAAAAACCACAGAATCATAGTCACTCATACAGGGACTGTGCAAGTGCCCAAATAAAGGTGTTGACAAAGAGGGAAAATGCTGCTAGATAGACAGATTGGCTAAGGCAGGATATTTGGAGATAATGATCTTGGATGTCCTAGTTTTTCTACATGAATATCCCAATGGCGTATGCTTTATTTAACATACCTTTTCAAAAAAAAAAATAATAATAATCTATCAATTGTTTTTTTTTATCAAAATAATCTTTTTGCATATTTTAGTAGAGTCTAAATAATAATCTGCTTTAATACCTAGGTGTGTATATATATAAATAAATACAGAGGATCATTATAAATTGTAGCGCGGGTTGGATAGACTTTTGGTGGGTACCAATTGGAGCCATAAACATAGTCTACACTTATCACCCATCGCCACCTTTGGGTCCTCAACCGCAAGCAAATATTTCAACACCTGTCAAAGAGGAAATACTTTTGTCGCCTATACGATTTCCGCACCAAAGAAAAAATAGAAAACGATCTCCAGACGGAACGAAGAAATTTGATCCGACTACTTTAGAGGCTGATACTGTGAGCGTTGAGTTGGAGATTGGACCATCAGTGGTTTTGGTTTACGGAACTGCTTTAAACAATTTTATGAATTTCAAGGTATTATTAAAAAAAACTTTGTCTTAAATATAACTATAGGGTGAGCTGTAAGGATTTGCGATTTTATAAACATCATTGTTTGCAAACGGTATGTTAGAGCTGTGCACGAATTATCAAGATTAGTGGCTAGAGAGAGGTCCTTGAACATTCAGTCTAACACGCTTCCTGTTTTAAAATATATTTCTGAATTCATAATTGTACATTTTACAGGAAAACATATTTGGAGAGTTTCAAAGCTTTACAGATATGCAAAAGGTTGTCAACTTGGATAACACAGGATCAGATTTAAAGTCTGAAGATAGCAATGCAAACATTCCATTAGAACTCCGAGATGATTTTGATCATCGATACTACAGACCTCTATCTGTCGATGTGTCGATTATAATGCATGACATTCAAGCTCATCTGCTTAAGGTAAACCATAATATAAATTTCAACTTTAAATTTTTGTAAATTTATCACTACAAACTCACATGTTATTCATAAAATGGACGTATTTCAGAATTGTACGGAAAAAGATCCTCCTTGCCCTGTGATATTATGTGAACGATTTGGATTTGAAATGAAGAAACGTTTTGATCAGACAGAATTACAAATGTTATTGAGTCCAGCGGTTCTATTGGTATCTGATAATTTAAATAGATCTGCAAAAGATAAACACTTAAATCAAGGAAAATTAACATTATCATCTTTGCAGGTAAGGCATATTTATATATAAAAAAATAACACGATTTAAACAAAATTCTTGCTATACACCCCGTTTTTTGTTTTGTTTTAATGTTTAGATTAGAGGACATGCAATGTTTTCTGATGTCGGTCAAACACTTGATCAAGATACTGTGGAATATGCTTGGTTAGTAGAAATTCAGTTGGGTAAATTAAGTGGTAAACTCACCTCTCCACAACTCTACACCATTCTTGCATGCCTAGAAACCTTAATACTTCTAATAACTGATGATGAAAATGAGTTGAATAGTCCAAAAGATGATTTGGTATTGAGCCAACCAGTAGTAAAAAAGAAAAGTGCGCATGTACCTAATGTTCACGTTCAACATGTTCAGCATGCACTTCAACAATTACTGCAACCAAAGAATAGTGCAAATGTTGCTGGTAAAGCTGGACAAACATCAAATGTTTCCAATAGAATTGGTACACCGTTGGGTCACTTAGCAAGTAAGTTTTATTTCTATTTTTAAAAACGCATATAATGTATAGGTATACAAATTTAAAATGTACTTTACTTGAAAAAATTATAATTTACAGGCCAGAAAAGTTCTGCAAAAGCAGACAGGAGAAAAGATGAAGATAAAAAAGGATCTATTCGAAGTAGCGTCATAACAACTACTGAAACCGAGGCATCTTTCAGTGAACATAAACTTAAATACAAATTGTGCAGAGTAGCAGTGGATGCTGTAGATTTTTGGCTTGTTGAATCTGGAGCTGCACTTCAACTATGGGTAAGAATTTATTTTTATTAGCATTGTGCAAGTTTTACTTACAGATCGACAGGAATGGCTATAGTCGCCCAACTTGAGACACGAAGGAGAGAAGTCAAGCGCGTTGCCAACTTTATTAGTATTATATGGTTCTGCTTACGTAAAATAGTAAAATGGTAAAATGGATGCACCTTTAATGATTTTTTATTATATTTATTATTGTTGTATTAACTATATTGAAGTGAATAATCTTTCAGTAACTCAAAGTTTGTTTTTCATTTTTAAAAACTACCTATAAGCTACTATTTTCAACTGAACAATATAAAATCTAGAGATATGGATAACCTTCTTAACGACTGAATCAAGAAAAAAACTAAACCGTAACGAAAAAAACCTAACACCCCTCACTCCGACCGGCACAGCGGTACGGCGTTGAAAGCCGTGCATCGTCTAACGTCGTTTCAGTTTGGCAGACTTCGGCACGGTGTTTGTGTGCGTGCGACTAGACGCATGCGTGTAGACTAGCTGCTAACTGCTCATAACTGATTCTATTTTTTTTTTAGACACAATTTCGGAAAAATTGAATTTGAAAATGAATAATGATCCACAAGAATCCACAACAAAATATGGGACCACCATTGACGCGGTATTTTCCAGATATTTAGAGGATATCTTTTTATCAGTATCATATAGATCGAATAGAAGCAATTCAAAGACGATTTTTAAAACTGCTAAGCCTGAAAACTGATGGCATTTATCCTCTAATAGGTACACCTCACTCTGAATTACCACAAAAGCATAATTTTTTCAGTCTCAAAAGAAGGCGTGATTATTATAGTGTAGTAGTAACTTATAAAATTATTAAAAGTATTATTGACTGCCCAACCTTATTAGAAAAGTTTAATATTTGCATTCCCAGAAATTCTTCCAGACACCCGAATACTTTTTATATAAATACATCTCGCACAAATGTTCTGGAAAATTCTCCGCTCCATACCATGTGTACAGTAACAAATTCTATTGTCAATGAACTTGATATATTTAGTTGCAATTTGTCAGATATAAAATCCCACTTTTTATCTTAGTTAATTTGTTACCTATTACGAAATAAAAGTTCTTTTGCATATAAAAAATGTGATTTATTAATAATTATATTCTGTCAATTCCTGCTCTGTAATTGGGTTTATGACCTGTAGAGTATTGTATTATAAATAAATATCAAGTCTCAAACTTATGTTTCTTATTTCAGTTACCATAAACCTACAGTTTCAATGATAACAATTCCTGAATAACCTACATGTATTGTAAGATAATAAAAATATTTTAAACAATATTAACTTCTCATTTATTCAATAAAAGAAAAAAATTGTTTTCTTATCGGTTACCATGCTCAAAAAGTGTATCAAAGAAAAAACTTGAATTAATATCAAAGAAAAAAAATACTGCATAAATAAAATAAATAAATAATTATAATTGCATAAGTTGATAAAAGATGCCTGCGGCTCATGCTGTAAATTTCATCTGCGTCAGTTATGACCTACATTACCGTTCGTTAAATAATATACTATTAAAATATTTTTATTATCTTACAATACATGTAGGTTATTCAGGAATTTTTATCATTGAAACTATAGGTTTATGGTAACTGAAATAAACATAAGTTTGAAACTTGATATCCTCTAAATATCTGGAAAATACAGCGTCAATGGTGGTCCCATATTTTGTTGTGGATCATTATTCATTTTCAAATTCAATTTTTTAGAAATTGTGTCTAAAAGAGATAGAATCAGTTATGAGCAGTTAGCAGCTAGTCTACACGCATACGTCTAGTCGCACGCACACAAACACCGTGCCGAAGTCTGCCGAACTGAAACGACGTTAGACGATGCTCGGCTTTCAACGCCGCACCGCTGTGCCGGTCGGAGTGGGGGGTGTTAGGTTTATTTTCGTTACGGAATTTCTTTTTCGATTTTTCGATTCGGTCGCCGCGCTCAAAGCCCGCGATAAAAGCTATGCAATAGCTTAAAAATAGTTGAGAAATAAAGTTACAAGAATTATGATTACTGTGAGAGATTCCTTAAATGTATCAGATTTTTCGAATTCTATTTGCAGTGACATCTAATTCATTGAAGGGGAACAAAGGGGTCTTTGTTGATAACGAACTCAAACAAGGAAAACAATATATACATTTTACACGTGAACACTGATGCATCTAGTACAATTGTGAATTGTACTAGAAATGCAACACTGGTTTGGCAACCTTGTTTGTGAGCGGCGCGCCAATTAATGTGTTCTTTGACAGTTTGAAGGATCTGTTGGCGTGTTGTTTTCTCTTTTTAGCTATATGTATTCGCCAAATCGTCTCACTCGTGTTAAGCTCACTCATCATAATGCGTCACAGATACGGTATATTGTATACATAGGTATATTGTGTCACAGAGATGCGATCAGCCAGAGAGTAATGATGTATCAAAAAATATAGATTAACACGTATGAAAATAAAAATATTAAAATTAAATTTATATTTTTATGTTATTTATGTAATTTTAAAATAATGTATTTTTTTGAAATTGAACTGGATGTTCACTGCACAAATGAACCAATGGAAAATCCGCCCCTGCATACAGAGTCTCTTTATATGTATATGTAAGCCTTGTATTTATTTTCTTTTCCATTTTTAACTGTTTTTCTAAAATTTTCCTGATGGTTCTCTCTTCTGCAGTTAATTCTTCTGCTATTATAATGTCCATGCCTTTTAATTTACTGCAGTTTTTTAATACTGTCTTTTTTGTTAATTAAGGTACAGATTTTATTATTAAAGGTTTGTTTGTATTTTCCCAATTGTGTATAAATTATTTATACCAGCAGTTACTAGGTTTAATTCAAGTTTTGTATTTAAAATATGTAATGTATGAGTTAATAAGTCTCCACTTCCAAACTTGGAATTAAATGTTATTATATTATTTAAACTCTTTTCCAGTTGTTTTCTTCTAATAGCAGATCTTTAATTTGGTTGATCTCTTTCAATTTGTTAGTAATTATTTTGGTTTGTTTTTGATCTGTTTCTTCTATAATTTTTGTTATTTGAGCTAATATGTCAGCTACTGAATTCATTTTCGAGATTTGTGGCTATAACAATATTATTTCAGCATTTAATCCCCAAACATGAATACATTTATTTATTATTATTATTTTACATAAATTATAATTTATATAAACCAACAATTATTAGATCAAGTAGTTACAGAAAGATAAATAATGCGAAATGAAACAAGTTATTTTTAACTGCACTTATATTTGACATCCCAAAATGCACAACTTCGAGTATAATGTATTAAGATCAAAATGATCACCTCGAAAAACCTAAATAAACTGAGCTCCGTTCTTGTATTCACTAAGCATATGACCTTGGCGGCTTCAGCTATACCTGTCGTACTGTATGCAATTTATCCTAAATTATATTTAAAAAATTTTTGGTGGAAAGTAGTAAAAAATATGGAAGTTTATTAAGATATTGTTGAAAGTTAATCATATTTAACTAGAGGTATATTTGGACTTTAATGACTCACACATTTTGGATTTATCAATAAATCCTTTTGTTTTTCAGATGTCTCCTGTTCGATTAGCAAATTGTAATTTACATGGAAAACAAGTCAGTTCAGGACTAAGTTGTATAATATACAGTATGTCTCTAAGACAGCTCGTCTGGCATCCACATAAATACAACCACTCAAAGTAAGAAATTTATTTAATTTTATTAGTTTATTCATGTAATGTTTCTTATCTCTATCAATTGTTCCATTAACGAGGAAGTTGAAACTAATAACTATATTTTAATAAATCTTATGAACTTTAGACAATTAGAGTTATTTATCGAGGGCCACAATGTAGGAACTCGTAACTAACTTTTCTACTGAAAATTATATTTTATAATAATCTCGTTTAAAAGATTTCACTCTATCTACTGTATAAATGAAGTATTACAATTTTTGAACAAAATATGGTTAAATATTAGTCCCGTTATAGAGTAAAATGGATTGTTCTATACACTTGTAAAACGTTTTTTTTTTTCATCTCCTAAAAAAATGTCGATTTTGCGACTTACGAGGTCCTGTCTTGTGGCCCTCGTTATGAAAAAGGTAAAGGTGGATTTTTTATCCATATACCGAAATATATTACTTTGTTTTTTTTTTTTTTTTCGTTTTTTTTTGTTTTCCATTTTTTGTTTTGTTTTTTTTTGTTTCGTTTTAAAACTACTTTAAATTAGTATACCGTTTTGTTTTCGTATATTCACCCTCAAGTTGATTATGTTGAAATACATATTTCATAATCTGGAGTTATTATTGCGTTTTTTTAGGGTTAATTATGAGAATAATGACTTATGGCTAGAAGTAGGCGCAGTAAACCTCGGACCTCTTATCATAGAATCTGCCATATCAACAGATTCGAAAGAACCTAATTTACATAACGATCAGCAGAAATTTCTTAAGATGCATGATGACCGATTAAAGAAACTTTGGTTTTTATGGCCAAATCTAAACAAAACCACTGGAAAGTGCGGGTGTACTGGCGGTTGCCTCTTTTTTGGTAGCAATACCAATGGCACAAGATTTTTCAAACCCAGCAAAAAGGATTTAGAAGAGGGGATGAATGTGGCAGCTTTCAGGTATACATTACAATACTTATTTATATATAATAGTGGTTTTTATTTGCAAACAACAAACTAACACATTAATTCAATATCCAGAATTAACCCTCCTGGTAAAGATCTTGGATATGGTCAGAGCATTCTTCATGAGGGTATGTTAATCTTCCGGACTCCTCCGTATATCATATCTGAAATAACTCTACAAGACACCCAAATAGGATTAAAACAAAGTAGAAAATGCTGCGATAGTCCAAAAGCTTTTCACTTAGAAAGAGAAAATACAATTGAAAGAGAAAGTGTTTCTGCAGAGAAAAAAGCTAATAGAAGGTTTTCAACAACTTCCATTAAGTGAGTTTTTGATAACAGTAATTTGAAGTATTTTTTGTTACTTCTGTTTCTAATTTTTAGGAGTGCTAATTTAAAAGAGGTCCCATATTCAAGATTAATTGAAACCAGTCCTGCTAATTTACCACTGAAACTGGATAGTGACTCAAAATTACAATGTGATAAAAGCACACTTTCTGTAAGTGGTGTTGGAGCAGAACTACTGCCAAAAAATAGTGTTTCCGATTCTAAATTGGCCGTTGATTACTTCAGTGCGACTTCATTGGAATCCAAAGAAGCATTTTTCAGCAGTCAAAGTGTAAGTTAATGATTACACTTGTTGAAATGTTGTCATTACATGAATGGCCCAGCTTATCATGTTGTTCAATTTCATCTCTTTGTTACTCACACAAAACTACTTGAGGCCGCTATTTCATTGTATTTTATACGGTCAAAACAAAGGTTTACTTTTTTTTTGAACTCATGTTTTACTTAAAGTATTTTAATAAAACTTTGGCTGCTTATAGAAAAATGTTTAAGAAATAAATTGGCAGTTTTTCATTGACCCTATTTATTAAATATACAGAAAATGTAAAAAATGATTTTCACAGATGTACCTAGCTTAAAATAATCCTAGTCATTATACATATTTTTTAAGTATTCTCGCCAAATTTTACTTATCACTTTGGTGTAATTTTTAAAATTAAATATTGGAATAACGATTTTATAAATATTTGATAATTTTGTTACATATATATGGACTTTTAGTTCAAGAACTGAATAATCTATGTATCAAAAGCAAGTATGAGATCCGATGCTGTGTGGTTTTAAGTTATCCTGACAGTTCTGGCATTCTGACTGGACATTGCCAACTACGGAAGCATCTCCATATCTTGGAGCTGTCAGAATCCGCATTCTGCAGGCTTATAGGCTAACACTATTCATCGCCATATTCCCACATTTATCAACATGTCCCACATATGGTATTTCTTACAACTACCTTATCCTTGTTGGGGTTCGGTTTTAATCATCCACGTGTATTTTTTTACCTTTTTATGGGGACGTCCTAGTAGTTTTTTGTAAGCGCTTATCACTTAATTTTTAGATCTGATGATGGCCTAAGGCCAAAACCGGTTGTCATTTAACTTAATAAATTAATTTATTTGGGATTCATTTTGAGTTATTGTCTTACCAACATATATATAAAAAAAAAACATGAGTAGTGGTCATGAGGGAAGAACATGAAAGTTACAACGAGTATACACGAGCAGAATTGCCCCTTTATATGATTTTCGACTTATTTTTGTATTTTTTCTTAAAAGCCCCACCTTTAAAATTATTTAGAGTGGATAATTTTCATTGAAAATTCCTGTATAGGACAAAGTGCTAATACAATGAAGTTGTACCCATTTTTTCATCTCTGATAGACGAATCGTCATTTCATTGGTGATATAAGATCACTGGAAAGTCATAAATGTTGCATAACAAAAAACTGGTTATTTAGCATTTGTCAAAGAATTCAGTATATGATTAAATTCAAAATTATTTTTTAAATCTTTCGCTTGTGGATTTGCTTGATTTCGCAATCAATCAATAACCACAAATAAAGAAACTTCAAAAATAAATCTTCTGGCTACTACACCTATTGGCAAAGGACATAACTCTGCAAGAAAATTTATCAAAATTGGGTATTTCTTCTTTTGATATTCTCACGTTTTGCATGTTTCTTAATAAAATATGTCACAATTAATGAATTTAGGGGTGACCATGCAATAATTATTGAACTTGGCTTCGTAGCCCTTAACTGTATGTGGGTCGTAGAGTAGTCTTGACATTAGGATTTATCGTTTCTGTAAAAGGAATGAAGAAAATACAATGTTTTCTTAAAACAAATAGTATTTCTATTAGGAAATATGATATTTAATATTCGGCAATTTATGAGTTTTAAGATATAAGCCAAATAACGTTCTAGACAACAGTCCCACAAACTACAATCACAGTGATTGTTTTGACTAGATTGCATTTCCCGGGAATATTATTTGTAAATCATGCCTCTTCCATTACCTTAAGGACGGGGTATCCCTGTGTATTAAAATTGTATGTGTAGACCAAAAGTTAAATCGACAGTTTTCCGAATATGTAGTGTTTAAAAATCTAATTTTTAGCCAAATTAAAAATAAAGGTCTAACTTAGGTCACCTTACTATTGAAAATTAATAAATTTATTATTTTCAATAAAAACCAATCATGTAAAATAACCCCCTTTTATTTCATCTCAAAGGTGCCGTCTAGAATTATTTTAACCTCGATGTCAAACAAATAATAAAAAAAAAAATGTAATACGACCTAAGTTCAACCTTTACTTGGAATTTGGTGCACTCAGAATATTTAAATATTGTATATTTTTCAAAACGTGTAGATTTGAAATTTATAAGTCACTTTCTTTGAAAAAACATGTCAAAACGAATTTGGACCAAAAATGGCGTCTAATTTAACTCTAAATAAACCCCGAAAAATCAATAATTACTTCATGTAATGTAATAAAGATGGTGCTCCGATCGATAATATTTTGACTAGTATTTGATTATTTCCGTTTATATTAAGTGTGTTTACGGGGGATATACGAGATGATAATACTGCCTCTGATACTGTTTATATGATACAATTGGAAACGACCTTTTTTCATCGGCACTCTTTTTTCTGACCTTTTGACACGCGCCTATTTGTTATATGATGTATGATTATCGGTTATTTATCAACTAAAAGTATAGGAAATTAGTACATTGTGAATGATAATATCATTTTAATGCTATTTTTGAAACTAGTTCAAAAGTTGCATTTAACGATACTCAATGTTTCATTTTACCGTCAGTTTTAGTTTGACATATCCGTCATTTTATGTTTACAAAGCTCAGTTTCTATTCGAAAGTAAGAGAAACAGTCAAAATAAAATGCGAAAAACACTTTGTATCAATTTCGTTTATGTCAACTGAAAGCGACAATTGCTGAAGACGTAACAAATAAATTAGGTCGAGAAATAAAAAAATCTATACTATAAGTAACATACCATATATTATACCTGTTAAAATAAATCAAAAATAAGAGAACATATCGTTGACGTATATACTTTTCCATCTGTGTTTAGTGATTACCAATTGCAAATTACGTATGAACATGCTTCTGCGCAAAAAAACCATTATTTCAAGTACTTGTATCATTAAAGTCCATTAAATTATAATTTTTATAAATTTGCTAATCTTTGCACTTTAAGTTTCATTATATGGGGTATCCAGACATTTTAATCCTCGTCCTCTTCTATTTAAAATTATCTCAGGTGCCATATATTCCGAGTAAAATTTTTCTAATTTTTCAACCATATTTAAAAAAAAAGTGGGTTGAAAATGAATTTTTTCAACAAATAGTGGATTTTCATCTCCAGTATATACTACAAAGTAGCACAATTTTCTTTGAGCTATACCTAGCTATCCTTGAATCTAAAAGTATATAAAATCATTATTAGAAAATCAAACATAAAAAGAATATTAATATTGTAGTATCATTTCTAGCACATTTCTTAAAAATCATGAATTATTTTAACGTATGGAAATTTTTCACCTGGTAAAAGTAGTTATGGTTTTCTTTTAAATGAATGTCACCATCTTCTATTTTTAAGCATGGAAATGGGTTTGAACATTAGGTAATGTGCGCCAATAATGTCAAATTATGACAATTCGCAGAAAACGTCAACTTTTTATTTAGATTTTAATGTGCAAAAGCCTACCTACTTTGGATATTGATCGTAGAAAAAATATATTCAGAATAATGAAACATTATTATTAAATAACAAGTTTTTTTATTGTCAAATTTAATAAGTAATATTATTTTTTAATTGCAAATATTTGAATGTTAAAATTATAGCGTTTAATTTTTTTATTCAATGACGAACTCGAGAGTGATAGAAAAAAAATACTACCTACCTTTAATGCAGGAAGTCGATGTCAATTTATCCAAAAATAAAACTGATTAAAATGTACAATGAAACTCACTAGGACACTTGGCACAATTAAATCAATTTTCTATTAAAGAAAATAACACTTATTAAAAACAAACAGCACAATAAAACACTTCAGAAACGTGTGATGTAATTTTGAAAACTAAATACCCGTAAGCTTGTTTGTAAATTTATAGACTCTTAACTCCTTCCCCCAGCCTTCATTAAGTATATTAAAAGTCGTGACGTCATATTGGCACAGATATACGGTAATGTGTTATTGACAATCAGGGAAATGTTTCTAGGAAATAACTACCTAAGATAAGATAAATGAATGTTAAATACCTACTCATAATATCTATTGTAGGGTTTTTGTACTTTAATAGGATAAATATTTATGCGGCCCTGGAAATTCCAGGAAATGACCGTCAAAATTACCCAAAAACATTAGGTTAGTACCAACATCAGATAACAGATAACTTCGGTATTTAACCAATTAATCACAATTAATATTCCTGAACATTCAAATGACAAAAACTTCCATCTTTAACCAATGAGAATATAGTTTTCATTCGATACTTCAAAATCACAATTTATTAATTAGGTAGAATAGTTTTAAAATATATTGCGAATTGCGACACGTCAAGCGTCCCACTCCGACTCAATGTGACGCAATTATTGTGGCAATATATTTTGAAACGAATCTATATTCGTGACTTGAAATTATAAACATCCCTCGTATTGCTACCCGTATATAAACCAAATTATTTGTTTTAGGAAATATTTATATTTAATGTGAGGCAAGATATCGTTTTTGTTGTTGCCATCTGCATAATACCTACCTACATTCTTTACTTTGGTCCAGGAAACAAAGTCGATTTTCGTTAAAAATAAAATGTAATAGGTAGGTAATACTTTATGAATAAAAGTATTGAAATAAAGTATGCTCATACTCCAAAATGAGTCCTAGAGTTAACATTTTTATAATATTATAAATGGCATATGAAACGATTGGACCGTTTTCACAATCGCGAAATATTTTTTTTTTATTTAGTAAAATCCCGGCAATTATTGAAAAATAGATTTTATGTTCAGGACTATTATTATGATTCTTCGAACTCAGTCTACTAAAAACCGGTTTATAATACAATATCCCCTAATAGCTAGTCGGTCGATATTTATAGTTACTTAAAGATTTCTGTAATAGTTTGCACTAATTCAATCTCTAGTCGGTAGGTAACATCACCTCCTTGATTGAATCTAAATTGACATAATTTTGTTCAGAAATTCCTAGGAGACGCTGTCCTTAAGGGCTAATAATTTCTATGCAACAAAACAATTCTACAAAATTCTTCTCGGTTGGACATATACAAATATGGACCAGCACTATAATAATATCTTTAAAACAATTTTACTACAACTACAATATCCGGGGCACATGTGACAACAATTAAAACCGCGACTTTTAATTTTCTACTATGGAGATCCAGAGCCTTCGGTCGAAGTCTCAGTGATCAGGAAACCCTACTGAGAATATCCTACAAGCAGAGCCCCTTATGGACACGATGGGGAGGATCCTCTTTTGTGGAAAAGCCCTGTGTGTCCTCGAGGTTACCTTAATAACTTCTGCATAGTTTATTATTATTAAACTAATATTTAATAATTATTAAATAATCAATTTTGTACATGATTGCAACTTAAAACCGACTCGCGACATAATTAAACAAACTTTTATGTACTAAAAGATATCGGTCTTGCTGATTCACTAGCCAAGAAGGCAGCCAAACCTAATTCTTTTTGGACCTGGCCGTTCTATTGGACTGACAACATCGGAAGTGACTAGCTTAATTAAAAAACATTTCATTGTGAAATTCAAGGAAATATTGGATGAAACAAGAAGCTGCAGACTTTTCAGGGAGCTTTTAAGTTATCCTGACAACACTACAGCAAACAAATACTTGACATGACTAGATGCCTGATTACAGGCATTGTGATGAGTCAATAGAGAGTTATTGCAAATTTCTATAACGTCAGCCACTAATAATGACAACGTAATAGTGACAACCTAATTAGAGGCCAATAAATTCCATGCTTAAATAAGACTTACTGCAAACCAGAATTTTTGACATTAGAGTCTTTGTCCTTATACATATTTCTAACCTCATTTTAAAAATTTTAAATTACAGTTCATCTTTTTTGTTATTTATAATAGTACATAATATGGAAGAGGTATTAGAAATTACCATTTTAGAAGGTTTAGAAGACGGTGATATTTAATATTTAATATTAAAAAACTTTGAACTGATACGAATGTTGGCGATCACACCCGAAAACTATAAAGTCGCCACTAACTGCGGTCCTTAAACATCGAAAATTAAGGATAGGCACAATCTTTATTAAAGTCAGTTCTAGAATGTAAGTGGTCTGCGCATGCTCAGATGTCAAAGTAAGAGCGGCACTAATAGTGACTGACCTTAAGTGAACTTGCAATAACTCTCTATTGACAAGTAGGGAAGCATCTCCATGTCATGGGGCTGGCAGAATCCGCACTCTGCAAGGGGTACGAACAAAAAGATGGGATCATCCTCTACGATTGCCCGATGCTCTCATTTATTAGATGATTTGTATTCGATGAGAATTGGCCGATATAAGAAAGACACCCGTTGTCAATGTTTTCAACTGCATTAAATCTGTAGGCTGGCTCACCAGCTAGGAGGTGCCGATCTACTTAGGAGAATGCAAAATGAATCTAGTAAGGCCTAAGTGCCGTGGGTTAACCCATCCTCCACACGTTACAGATATAGATGTTTAACTTAACGAAACTGTTGCAATTGAAACATATGCTTCTCTTATAAAAAATACAGTTGTTGCATGTGGTTAATCTTCATCGGATGGATTGGTAGATGATAAAATTATTGAAGTAAAGTGTTCTTACTCAGCTTGAAAATTTGCACCATTAAATGCACCAAAACATGTTAAATACTTTTGTTCTACTTTGAGTGCTGATGGCAAAAAATTGTCCCTTAGATAAACCATAACTATTGTTACTAAATGTTTAGCAATGATTTTTTTTTTTGTAGGATCAATAAGGATTTTTAAAAGGTATATTTAATAAATTCAGTAAAAAATATATAAAATACCTACTTAAGGTACTATTATGCTTTTTAATCCAATCAGATTTTTACGAATTTATATTTTTCAACAGAAAAAGTTTCATTACTAAATTCCTGTTGTTTTAATCTCAAAATCCGTTTTTTTTTTTTTAATTGCCAACCCTCTTAAAATCCTTCCTACGATCCAATTTCTACCAAAAACTAATCAACATGCAATTAACATGATACTGATATTTGGTAAACATCTGTTCAACTCTTTTAATTGATAAAACACATGCATCATTCAAATTAAATAATTCAAATATTCTGTAAAATGAATAGACAGAATTATTAATAGAAAAATATTTAATCCAGCGGACTTATTAATACAACTCGATCTGGCAACAAGGTAGCGTGGGTGTCTGCGGACATCCGAAATATTCTGTTTGAGTAACAAATTTAGTGCTCTTTAGAAAATACTGATTGAGATGGCAGCACCTCTCAGAGATATGGCTTTTAAAAAGGGGAATTCAAAATGTTGTTATTGTTTAATTGCATTTTTCACTAAGTTTATAAAAAAATTATAAATGTTTCGAGGTCAATGTATTCAAATATAATTATTGAAGGTATATTCTTTAATATTACATTCATTTTTATAAAAAAAAACTGACTTATAATATACCCACCTCATAACGCTGCACTTCGACTAATGTGCATATATGAAATCATTTCTAAACTCTACACAGTCATGTATTTGTAGTTAGTTATTGAGAGTGAATTTAAGTTGATAAAAATATGTAATAATTTGACTTATGTGCTTATTCCCACTATACGCAGAAATGTTACCAATCTAATCACAGTAAAACAACTACATAATTTAGAATAAAAAATAAACCTAAGGTAGCTTATATTCAGATACTACATCCGCAAAAGGAAATATGAACTAAAATTCAAATTTTGTTAGACTAAAGTTCCTATAATGAAAACCCTGAGGTTATATCTTCAACTTTCCAAAAAGAGCACATTTTGAGTGATTGCTCGCCATTTTAGGGTCCCCCAAGTACTGATATTTCTGTGAAGCCAAATTTTAACAAACAACCATTCGTAGTTTCTGAATCTCACAATTCATTGAGCCAGATGAGTTCAGATGAAAAATTTCAGCAAGAAGTTCAAAGAACCACTTCCATGTCCAGTGAAAATCATTCAGAAGCTTTCTTTTCAGCCGACGAAGATATACATTTTAATTCTGGAAGTTCCAGTCTCAGAAATTCTATCCTAAGTTCAGGAGAGACATTAGTTAGGTAAAATAATGTGTAGTAGGTAGTAGCTGTGTATCATATGAACATGACTAACTTTTTTTTGTAGACAAGACAGTAATAGTGTCCCTACTCAACGAAAGAAATTTTCAAGTGAATTAAGTATAGCTACAGACAGAAATGGTGTGAATTCCCTTAAATCTGGACAGATTATTGCACCAAGTTCAGTACCCGAAACATATAGATTAAAACTATCATCTCATAGAAGCGACCACGAAATTCATACACCTGAACATAGGAGTTTTACAACAAATAACAAAGTATAGTAGACCGCGAAACCTAAATTTTGTGATAAAAGCTAAGTTTTATTATTTTTTTAGTTTGATGATTCGCAACGAACAGTTCAGGGACTTGTAACGCCTCATCGATATCCTAACGTGCGACCAGTCAGCCCAAAGGTTCTCCCAGAATCTCTTGGCTCGAACGACAGTCCAGTTCCAGAAAATAACTCTGCTACCCCCATTGACCCTTTAGTTGATTCTTCTGACAGTTACAGTAATAACAGCTACGCATCTGCAGTTGGTAGCCAGGAAGATTTCACTTTGGTTGATTTGCATATGCAAGTTAATAGACTTATAGTCGATTCGCCTATGTTAATGTCAAGCTATGTTACTCACTTAACCCAAGTCAGATGCAACAACTGGGGAAACACTGGTCAAAGCGACCAATTTTCTCAAAATTTGTTTGCGAAGAATCAGGAAGATAAGTTAGTATATGTTGGTAAGTAACTTTTGTATTTTCCTTACACAAAATTGTGAAATAATAATTTTTAATAGGTGCTAGGTTTGTTCCTAATATGGAAACTGTTAGCGATGGAATTACTTCCTTAAAAATGGTATCAAGATCCGATAATATAGTAAATAATAAAACTCCCACTTCTCCTTTTATGTACGTTTGGGATCAAGAAGATGTCGATAATGAAACGGGTTCTTTTCAAGAAGAAGAACTATTAAGTGGTCAAGGTGATACAGGTTCACGGATCATTTTTGTTGTTAAATTAAAAGGTGATTTGGATGTGATGATCAGTCCACTGCTTCTAGAAACTTTACAACGGTAAATAAACAACGAAAAAAATCATTATATTTTATTTATTTGTTTTTTATTTTAGATTTATAGATGCGCTCACTCCAACTGTATCAAACCTACATCCTCTCACTGTAATAAACCACATTCATACTTCGTGCATTGGACAGGTCGAATCCGCCAATATTTTAAAAACTACCGAAAATGTTGCGAAATTATGTCAACCGCCGAGCGAAGACGGCAAAATTAAAGCTCTAAATGTTTACGAAGAAAATGTTAAAACACAATTACAAGCTGCCATATTTTTACCAAAGGTATTGCAATGTTTGTTTATTTTAAAAACAGTTTATTATTTATTATTTATTTACATACACTAAATACTAATTAATTTGCACTTAAATACGTAGCTAATTTATATTTTAAACTTATAATTTTAATTTATATAACAATTCGAATGTCTATCTTCAGCTTCAAATAGAACTACAAAAATGTAAAAAATGTCTAGAAAAAAATCCATTCCTAACGAAAGCCTTCCTCTACGCGTCTGCCTGCGTAATAAGAACAGTAACCTCTCGAGTCTTGATGTGGACAGGAAAGCGTGACACACAGACGAGCTGCTGGAGTAAACAAAGCAGGGCCGGTCGCAGACACAGTCGCATGACATTGCCCCCTCCGTAAGAGGATAGTTCGTTCTGGAACTGAAACTGACTGGTTGTATCTACATCTTTTTAACCGACTTCAAAAAAGGAGGAGGTTATCAATTCGTCGTAATATTTTTTTATGTACAGCGATAATTCTCTAACACGGTGTCCGATTTCAATGATTCTTTTTTTGTTAGAAAGGGGGTACTTCAGGGGTGGTCTCATATAAATTTGGTCAAAATCTAATGATTGGGTCCATGAGAAAATCCTCATACTCTTAATTTTTTATGTATGTTTAGCGATAATGCTTTACCACCTTGTCCGATTTATATGATTCTTTTTTTGTTAGTAAGGGGGTACCTCAGGGGTGGTCCCATATAAATTTGGTTAAGATGTGGTGATGGCATCTGCACGATTTTAAAGTCGGTTTTTTTAATTTTACAATTTTCATTTGCATGGAAGTAATAGGGGACAGTTTTCGCTGTGGCCTGGACACTAGGTGAATGGCTGCAGACCAGTATTTGAACCTGGTTATCTTGGAAGATTACGACCACTATATTTCTAATAATCCTCCAAATCAGCTGGTAACTCTCTATCTTTAGCATGCCTAATTTTTGTACATAGGACTCCAGTACGTGATCTCTTAGACTAAATAATGCTTCCCATACATCATGATAAGTGGAACGATTTCGGAAGGTACTCTTGATTACCAAATAGAAAAGGTAATGCAATTTATCTTGAAGTTTCATGGCTTTTACAGGGGCAGGTAACTGACCTTTAAGTTCTGGCAATCGATTACACTTCTTCGGGAACACAGATATTAGACATCGAGCGTCGTTGATGCTGGCGGAAGTGCCATGGACCAACGAGTAGTATTTAGGAACCTAAAGCAGATTTTGTTGTTGCTCGGTTGTAACACCATATCTTGCTTTTCCGGTACCTCCATATGCACCCATAAATTCTTCAGAGACAAAGTTAGGAGTTACTTGGAGCTGGTCTACTTCTTCTACCCTGTTATGGTCACCCTCAAATAGCGCCAGCCGGTTTTGGTGCACTACCTTTGGTTTACTGTTCGGCATCTTCCTTATGCAGTATCTAATTTTTTTCTTGATGAGGTACGGGCCTTCCCAAGACCTTTGGATCTTTGTGTAATAACCTTTCCGCCTTTTTGGGTTGTGTAACCAGACTTTGTCGCCTTCTTGAAACATCCTTCTTTACCTTGGGTATCGTACCGTTCTTCATCCTGTCGCTGGCAATTTGAAGATGCTAGCAAACCAACTCATGCATATCGTCCATTTTTCTTCGTAGCTCGATCGCATAATCTTCACTGGCTATATCTTCTCCAGGTCGGCATCCAAACACCGAGATGTCCTGATGGACTGTCGTGTAACTGACTAAATACTTTGGCTACTCTAGTCTTTAGAATACCGAACTGTCTTCTTTTTTTAGAATCATCACCATTTTCGAGTACTCGCTTTAATAAGTCTTCTTCCAAAATAAAACAGTCTTACTGAGCCCAATATGAATTGAGTACTGTATGATTAACTTTAATCTTTTTTCTAATGTTTTTATATTCTTTTTTTAGGTGAATGTTACTTTACTTCAAGTATCCATTGTAGAAGAAATTATTTCGTTTTCAGCTCTGGATAATATTAAAGATTTAACTTGTGTGTCCTTGTTCTCAGTTTGTTTTGACAATATTACAGTGAAATTACACTGCGATAAACAGGTAAGTGCACAATAAACAATAACAAACGCTTCAGAATTTTTAATTTATTTCATAAAATATGAACAAAGTATATAAAGCTAAAAAACTGTGATGAAAACGAAATTATAGTGAGACTAATTCTCTATCGTCTACCCTACTGAATATAGTTGTGGATCATTCAGAGATATTAAGAGTTTTGCAGTTTTTCACAGATTAATCATGGAGAGCTTGGGCATCAATTTGGAGACGAAGGCAATCATTCACATTATGAATAGGCATATAAAGTTTTAAAGTAGAAACTTGGAATTTTTAAAAATACTAACAATGTCATTGATAAATAGTAGAAACGACAAGGGTCCTAAGTGAGACCCCTGTGGGACAGCGGAGTACTATAATTTGATCTGAATTACCACCTCCAATTTTCACAAACTGGGTTGCTTTTATCTTTTAAATAACATGCAAGCAAATGTCAAATTTAAAAGATTAAGTTTAAATAGTACTAATGAATGGTTCACATGATCGAAGGCTTTACATAAGTCTGAATAAATGGAATCCACTTGCAGATTGACACCAAATTGGGAAAAGTATCATGCTGATAAACCATAAAATTAGTAACAGTTGATTTACCTCTAGAAAACCCGTGCTATTTATCCATTATCAAATGGTTACAATACCAAGAAAGATCTTGGACATTTATTTTTTTTAAGTTTAATAATAACATATCTGTAATTCTGGATAATGCTTTTGTTAACATTTTTGAAGATATGCACCATATAATTGCATTTCGAGTTGTCAGGGAAATAATTTAATTTTATCGAGAAATTAATAAAAATAAAGTCAAATATGAATTGTTTCTACACCCACATGGATATTAGCTTATCTACGCACAAACTACAAAACGAAAAAGTATATTATTGCCATTAACTGAACGAATAAATTTTATATCCATTCTATGTAGTGAGAACACTGCAAAAAAATGAAATCCATCAATCACAGTTCATATTTTGGTCACCCGACGATTATTATTTAGAAAGTTTTAAATAAGTGACAAACTAATTGTCAGTAAATTTTTTAGTTATTGAAATTAAATATACATTAAAATGAATTATTTTTGTATAGAATCGATAAATAATAGCATTTCTATTTTTATTTATACTATAATTATAAATAATTTAATTCGATTATGAGTGTTAAAATAAATTCCCAAATCTGCCGGTGGATGGGTGGTGAGAGTATCTGCCTGCCACGCGAGAAAGTTCGAGCCTCGACTGGCGACTTTTAAATTAAATCTTTTTTTCCTTTATTTTATTTTAGAAATTATTAAGTCATAAATTATTTTTAAATTAGTTATTTTGTCTTAATACCTCAAATATTTAAATATTTTCGTTAGTAGGTCGTAGAAAAAATATACTGTACAACTCGAGTGGATTGTCCATATCGCATTCAGACGATTGAGCACTCCGCCTACGGCGTCGTGCTCAAATTTCGTCTTCGTGCGATATGGCCATCATATTCACTCTTGTTACACAAACTACTATATTTAAAAAGTTGATGATTTATCAAATTCTCATATTTGGTATACCATTTTACTTAACATTCTGCGGTTTAATATTACAATAGGCAAATCTTCATAAAAAATAAAATTGTTTTAGGCCAAGGAAGTTCTACAAAAATTTTTGAGGCCAGCTGTAGTGCGCAGTGGCAGTAAAAAGGGCGCCAACAGGGCAAAGTTATTGCTCGGGTTCCAAACTAATACCAATTCCGATGTTATACAATGCGACCCTGTCTTCATAGAGAGCTGCGAGAAGCAGCAACAACAACTGGTGGTTAGTCTTAACATTGGAAAAATGCACGCCCAGTTAAGAAGATTGAGAAATGAGAGTTCGTTATTAGATGACGCTATAATTACCGCCATTCCTAATTACAAATCTAAAGTTTTATTTACACCAACTAAAGTCAGAGCGTTGCATAGAAGTATGGAGTATTATTTACAGTCACCTATTCCAGAAAATCAGGTAAGAAAATGAAAGTAATTTAATGATAGACGGTATAAAAAAATACGTTTTCAGAATTGTCAAACCGACGATATTGGCATAGAAGACAAATTGGGTTTTATAATGTTTGAATGTGGCCTAGAGGGAGTTACTATAAAAATTGTCAAAAAGTCTCTATTCGAACACGTGGAAGACGATCCTCAACCCATTATTGATAACACTGAAACTGTAGACCCATCTGACAAGTCCACTCATACCACACCAAGACTTTCCGAATTCAAAGCTCAGGTACTTTTAACACCTAAGGTCAAAGAAAAAGAGAAGAAACCTCAAGAAGAAGCAAATGTAAAGCAAGAAAAGGAGAGAGAAAATAAAGAGATTAACACTGCAACCAAAGATAATGGAAATGTTTCGTCTTGTATAATTGAGTTTAAAGTGGTTTGGTTTAATTTTGCTGCACCTCCAAGAGCGCCAATCACAAGAAAAATTGACTATACTAGGTTTGTTGCTCTCTTTAATTTTGTTATTTCTGGTATATTGCTACCTTCATTCCAATACCATTTATTAGAATTTTTGACAAAATGAGTTAAATATTATTTGTGGGCCTATTGTAGATGCTCTATCGAATAATTCCAATCCCCACAGGTATGAGAGAAACATTTTTTGTCAAGTTAATAAATTTTTACTAGCATGGATCGAATTTATCTTATTAAGATGTTCTAATATTCGTCTCTCTCTAAATGTTGCTCATATGAGGTATTGGAATGAAGTTAGCAATATGATAAATTTATTGATCAATATTGAATATCTTATTTCCATTTTTAATACTTGTTCAATATTAAATATCTTATTTCTATTTTTTTATTTAAAAAACAGCCGGTTATAAGAACGTTCAATAAAATTTAAATACTTTCATCTGTTAGCCCTACTAGGTATCTGTTGAAGGATTCTTCTTTGTGATTTAGGATTTCTCTTCTTTGGGTAGCTCTATTTAATATATTTTTATCTTCTGGTGATCTTGTCATCTGCCATTTCTTTCTTAGTTTTCTTTTTTCTGCTTCCAGTTCTCTTATCTTGACAGGATAGTTTTTTCCAGCTGTTAATCTTCTTAGTTTTGGTGTGTTCCTCCATGCAGCTTGCTGGATTTCAACTATAAACCTTTCCAGTTCTTCATCTAGCTGATTTTTCGTTTTTAGTGTTATGGTCAGTTGAATAGTATTTTTTAAGTCCTCTTGAAAACCTTCCCAATTAGTTTTCCAATTTGCTAGGGTCGGTTTGGCTTCTTTTTTAAGTCCAAGTCTTAAAAATCGAAACAAGTTAAGTTACTGGTGATATGTTGGGTTTAATTAAAACAAAATTGCAAATGTAAACCATTCTGTTAGCTGATTTTTACTGACATCGATCTTTAACGCTTGGTTGTGCTTGCTATCAACACCGCAAGAACTTTGTTGATGTTCAAAATCTCGCCTAGTTTAAAACGCTTTTATAAAACTAGGTACTTTGTCGATTCAGCAACATCGAAACCCAGGATACGCACGTAAGGTCTATTTTATCATTTTTGCCTTCAAAAATTCTGCTTTAAAAGAAAATATTATAAAATGTTTTGTAAGTTAAAATTTTGGGAAATTCTTTTTTTATAGATCCATGTGTGCCAAATCTTATGACCGGAAGCATGGGACCAGAAAAGCATATTTTCCTTTGACAACATCTTTTTCCCATTTAACTGACTTTGTATCTCGAGTGGTTTATGAAATCACAACAGTGTGTATTTAAATTGTCTACACCCTACTTTTCCTCAGCGACTACAAAATACACCAAAAAACTATATACATTTATTTTAGATTGGATTGGAACTTATTAAGCACTGCTTCCCCTGCTATCAACGCTTGGATGAATCCAAGTAACAGACTAGCTATAAGAGTAGTTCACATGGTTAGAACAATGTATAAAAGATCCACTGCTACAATTGCTTGTCTAATGGCAGAAGCCCTAGAAGGTCAAAGAATAACTCTTACAAAGGTATATTTCAGTATGGATGACTGTATCTAATAATTTTTTAATCGCTAAATAATCTCTATTCTGATACTAAACTGAAAAATATACATAGAAATTTTTTGTTTCATGAGTTCATGATACTTCGAGTATATTTTCCTGTTTTTATTTTAAGATTTTCTGTTTTATATATTTTTTTTACCATTCTTAGAGCCGTTATGGGAAATTAACTCCATTAGCACAGACTCTGCAAGAAGATCCAAGCTTGCAACTGTGTTCAATATTACAAAAATATTATTTAGAAGCCGAATCAGCTGCTATCGAATCAAACCTAAGAGAATCTGAAATACCTCAACTTTTTACGCTTAGACAAGGAGTTATAGTTCTAAGCAGACAATGGAAGAACACCTTGTACACTCCATTAATGCCACAACAATCACTGAAAAGTCGCATCAAACCCGTTAATGTTACAATAACAGTACCGGATATACAAGAGGTAAGTACTCTTCTTTTTGTCATTAGGATTTAAAGATATTAAAGTGTAAGTGCTGCTACATTTATGTATCTATTATTTTTAATGATGCCGTGTTACAATTTACAAAAAAAGTAAAGAAGTTGAAACAGCTTCTTAAAAAACGAAATTATGTAATTATTATTACTATTAAGTACAATTATGTTTGTATAGAATAAACACTCATAAATGTTGGGATATATATTTGTTATAAATGACTTTCATTGTATTTAGTTCAAAAATTACTGAGGAAATCAATTGCCTCTGCATCTGTTAACAATTATCTGTTATTTTAATACGAAGATATTTCAAAATCATTCTAATGAGCCCAATTTGTCCATTTTTAAACAGACCTCTTCGATTTTCTTCAATTCCCCTCTCTTTGTTGCTATAGCTGTCCACATTGGCAAGGATATTTCTTTATGTCACCTGCCCACGCAATCTTTGATCTTTCTTCCCCTCTTTTATTTTTTCACTTCCTCATCAATTCTTCAATGCATGATGATTTTGTTCCTTCTGTCAGTCACTTACCTAACGACCGGCAAAGTTCCAGTATTTTTCTTTCATAATTCTATTAACAATATTGATTAGTTTTAGTTTCTTTTATAACTGACTTATATAAAAATAAATAGGAGGAGGTTCTCAATTAATCGGACTATTTTTCTTATGTATGTTGAGCCATAACTCTTTACTACGTTGTCCTATTTCTATATTTTTTGTTAGAATGGGGGTATTTCAGGGGTGGTCCCATATAAATTTGGTCAAGATCTAATAATTGGGTCCATGTTTGTTCAGCGATAATTCTTTACCACGTTGTCCGATTTATATGATTCTTATTTTGTTAGAATGCTACCTCAGGAGTGGTCCCATATATGTGGTCAAGATCTGATGATGGGATCTATTAGAAAGTCAGCAAACTCGCTTTTTAAAAATTACTTTTTTTATAAAATTATATTCTCAACTTTTGGTTTTTACATATTACAATTATTAAGTTATTCATATTTAGCAGCTCTTATACTAATGTGTTTTTATGTTTCTCTAGGTGAACCATAATTATGCGAATGACTATAGAGTTGTAAGAAACAGTAAGAAGTTTGATTAAACTGTTTTTATTTACGTTTAGGTCATAGCTTTCTTTCTCACAGCCACTAACTCCTCATTAATGGTGCTACAATTTTATTAAAAATAAAGTTTATTAATAAGTGATGAAAGGGTAGACTATAGTGGCGCTTTTTATTTTCATTTTTGACATTTTAATGTTGGCAATACTTATTAAGGAAATTATTCTTTGCAGAAGAAATACTTAAATTTAAAAAATGGAATAATTTAATACCATATGGAAAATACATTATTCTTTTTATTATTTAATTAATAATCTTAATAATAATCTTGGCATGTACGTCATTTATATGCCCAGAAATTGTCTTCAAATGTGTATTAATATTTTGGTTGGTTTTGTCTCGTGACGTTAATGCCGAGATCCTCAAAGTACTGTTCATTACAGATTTGTTTTCTGAAAAACCTGTGTTGCCAACTTTAATCATTTTATTCTATAATTATATTTCCACTTCCTGTAGCACCATCTTATGGAACTTTCGGTACATTTTTGCTATATTCACCTTTTTTCGTTTTCTTATTTACAACTTATCACCATTTTTGTGCTTTTTTTTATCACGAACAGGAAACGTGCATGACGGACGGTGAGGCGAGCGGTAATGAAGAAACCGATATTACCGACGAACATGCGCGGTTGCTACACGCTGGTATCATTCTTAAGCCAAATGCTCATAGAAACATGGGTAGGTTAAGTAAATAACACTAGTTTCACGTTTGCTGTGCTTAGTGGTATAGAATAAGCAGCTTTTGATTTAGGCAGATGGTTATTAGTTTTTTCAATGCAAAACTTTATTATTGGGAATGCATTCATTTTTAATTAAGCATTGGTTATAAACATATCAGATTTTACAAATTTGAAAACTCCACTGCTGCGCTTGTTTTGTCATTCAAGTAACTAACCATGGAGAAAGAATAATAGTTGACTCCGCCCAAAGCTGAAACACAAAACAGAACCTTTGACTATAACACTGTTCTAGCTTTGCGTCATAACCAGAATGTAACTATAAGATGTCTCCACTTCCAAAAAAATGACTAAAATTGATCAGGGTACTAGTAAATGTATTTACTAGTAATGTATTTACTGCAAAAATGATATATAACTTAAAAGTGGAATGCAAAGGTGCGGAACTTTTAGCATCGTCATAGCATCTCCTCTTTATTTTATGTCAATGGACAAACCTCATTTATGAGCTAGTTGTGCATCATAGTCCAAAGCCAAAACTTATAACCTCATTTTCTATGTAGTTCTCGCCTTTTGCGGACGTAGTTCTCGCCTTTTGCGGACGTGGCTCACTTTTTTTAAAGCTCTGTCGCAACTGCGATGATCTGGGATTCAGAGGGTTGGGTTGGGAGAGATCATCTTCGAAGGGAGTGCAGTGTATAATCGCTCCCTTCTTCAGATGTTTAAAGAAAGAAACGAGGCAATTTTCAGTGAACTTTTATGAAGTGTAACAAAAACAAACGAAAGTTTAATCCACAATAAACTAAATTAGAATGGTTTCTGCAAAAGAGGTGGGATTCTACCTTATAAGCTGGTTATAAAAGATTCACAGCCTGCTGTGAACCTTATATCTAAGTTCAGTCCACTTTCCCCAACGACATAAGGTCTGAAAGGGAGAGTTGAAGACTTTTGTAATTTGTTTCTACCTGATGACTGGATCCTATCAGTTCTACAAATAATATACTCTAATTTAATAAGACTAAGGGTTTGCATTCTATATGCAGTAAATAAGGGGGTTATGATTGACAACCTCTGTTATTTTTAACAGGTCTGTTATTTTATAAACACAGAAATTATAACCTGTTCACAAATAACGTGTCTGTTAAAAATAACATTATTTGTCCATTATAACCCATAGGGGGTTATGATTGACAACCTCTGTTATTTTTAACAGGTCTGTTATTTTATAAACACATAGAAATTACAACCTGTTCACAAATAACGTGTCTGTTAAAAATAACATTATTTGTCTATTATAACCCCTTAATGCTATTAATAATAATTTTTCTGATAATTCTATAACAGGGATTTCTTTATTGAAACACCAATCCCTGAAGGTATTCAGTACTGTTAATGAGCTCCAAGTCATACCTTGGACCCTAAAGTCCAGAGCAATGTCCAGTGACAAAATTAAGGAAAGTGCTGACCTATAGTTATTATATGACCCGTATACGTTAAACCCTCCTGGAACCGTCCTTGCAGAAATTTAAGGTCTTACATATCACCTGTGAAGGAGTCACTTCTCTCTGTCATACAAAACTTCCACCCCAAAGTTTTAACTCCACCGTATATTCTTTTAAAGTAGAGTTGAAATAGATGACATCATAATCTCAATAGTATTGGAGTTCGGGTGCTTTGGGGTAAACGCCTGTTGGATAAAATCCTGCCACCAGGGAAAGGTCTCTTGCCAAAGGGTATGGAGTTCTGTCGACAGATACTTAAAGTAAGGGACCAGGGTCGAATTTAATTAGTTCTGAATTCAAAACCCTCGTAAACAGGTGCCGCCAAGGTTTGGTAGTCCAAAAAGGGTACTACTACCACGCCTGAGGCATGTTCATTTATGACAAAGGAGTAAAACTCGAAATTATTTATAATTTTCTGAATTACTGAAAGAAAAAAGGCAGAAAACCATAAAAGTTTAACTCCGTGCAAAACTTTTTAATTAATAAATGCAAAGCCTTTCGGCTTATTTGCCATCATCAGTGCTTATCTACAAAAATTGTGGATGTAAACTTACAATTTAAAAAATTTATATTATAAAATCTGAATAAGACTTTTAAGTCAAAAGTTAAAAATGTATATATACGATTGTTTGGACAAATTAACAATTACAAGAAACAAACAAAGTGACAAAAAACTGGTATTGGGAATAGTGAGTGTGGGATAAGCCCTTACAAATCATATCTGATCTCCAGAAGCAAGTTAGCTTGTGTGGAATTAAGGAATTATGCCACCTTCACCATTCGCACTATTGAAAACAAGTTAACAAATTAGTTAAAATTTAAAGAAATTTACAGATAGAGGGTGACTGTGGAAGATATATTGAAATTTGAATCTAGAATACAATAGTTAATATAAAGAAAGTAAAACGCAGAAGGCCAAAGTAAAAAAAACTGAAGGTTTTTTTTTATATACATTATAATTATAAAAAAGTCTACCTACTGTCCACAACGTATCCAACAAGTTCCTGGTCATCCTCATTCCCAAATATCTAATTTTGCACTAGCAAACCTAACAGATTTTTCCTTTTATCCCTGATCAATTTTAGCCACATCCTCTTTTGTTTTTCAATGGCAGTTGAAACACCTATAATAATTGTCATCCACCGTGTACAGAACACACTTGTTGAAAGAATTTTAATTTTTAACAAACCAGTGTATAGGGGCCGTCCATAAATTACGTCACACGTTAAGGAGAGGGAGAGGGTCGACGAAGTATGAAATATGAAGTATGAAGGGGTAGGAGGGGTCCCAAATTTCGTGACGTAATATTTCAAAATTTAATATATCTAAGTATTAAAACACGAAATTTGCACTATTAATGAAAAACTTAAAAATATTGTTAATTTAATAATTTCTAGATGTAAAATTGCAAAATTTGTAATGTTACACTATGGAGGAGAGAATCTCACAAATGTGACAAGAACGGGGGCTCAAAAAATCATGAAATTCGTGTGACGTAATTTATGGATGGCCCCATAGATGTACATTTTTTTTGTCAATTCAGAAGATAAAAAATTTAAATCTTGTAACATATATGTAATATATAACCCATACATATTTTATTGAATTGTAATAATAAATATGGGTCAAAATTTAAAGTTACCAAATTTAAAGAATAAGATTGAATACACCAATAACCATCTGTCGCTTTATATAAATTTTTTGCTCAAAAAATGAAGACCAAATCATTTGTCAATTATTCACAGATCCTCTCCTTATTTGCTCCCATGCATAAGTTACTCGTATACCTGATTAATATAAAAATTGCACTGGCGATATAAGTGCGTCGCATTAGTGTGACGTCATGTAACCTAATAAAATTCAACCATTCTATCATTGATTGTAGTTTTTTAATACATTATTTGTAGGCCATAAAAAAATAGTTTAAAGTTATATAACAATAATTATTTTTATTTTATAGCAGGATTTTGGTAGGTAGAGAGGTGGTAAACGTCAAACACCGTCGGAAGACTTTGAGAATTTCGCGGTAACGTTTGTTCGCCATAGTCGTCTCATATACTAAACTATTAAAATTATTACCGACGGAATCGGGTAAACGTATCTATTTATGGGCTACAAATGATTATTTAAACAAGTAATAAATCATAATTCTATATAATTTCAACAGCTATTTACAATTTATTAAACTATTTGCGTGAAAACTGTCAAATCCTGTGTATGAAGTGGGAGAACTGGCACAACGTTTCTAAACTTTGTCCCTGCTATAGTGTATGTTGCTGACCTAACCTCAAACTTTTATTTATCATTTGAGAGAACTGGTTACAAAACCATTATATCCTATTAATATTATCTACTTTCTGTAAGAATATATTAATTTAATATCTAAAATAACTTGATTTAAATTTTAAAAGTTGAAAATTAGTTTAATTTATACGAAAATGCACTGAACTCAACTTTGTTTGGCTCCTCCTGCGCAATGCAGACACGTCATCACTAATGCGCCGTATTTAATTTTAATAAATACAGTCAAAACAATGACTTACCAGCTCTACCTATATTATGTTCCTGTGGGTTTGTTCGGATTTCTTTAAAATTTAATGTAAACTGTCCGAGATCTAGTGGAACAACTTTTAAACTTCCACTAGTCATCTGACAGTTCTCAACGTATTTTTCAAGAACCGGAACAAACCTATTATAAGGAAATTTGACTATATGAATTTTCCTTGTGCATACTTTGTTATTGTTTTTTATTCATTATAAAATAAAATTTATATTTTTGCCTATTGTTGATGAATAGAAAAAACATTTTGTGTCGTCACTAATCATTTAAAGCTTTAATAATATGTTTTAATGTAATGCATGCTCATTTCAATGTATTATAACAATCAGAAAAATGTAGGATGTACATCAATTAAGTACTTTTTTTATTCATTAAAACATAATTACAACAATATTAATTAATGATGCATCCTACTTATTAAAAATTAAGCGGTGGTAAAATTTTTTTTCTTCTAATTTTTAGCCCAAACAAAGGAAATGTTTAATACTTTGCAACCTTCGCCTCATATTTCAAGGTTTGGTGATTCATCCAACAATACACCACAAGTGGCAGTTGTATCTGGAGGGGTAGAAAGTATTTTAACTTCTCCAAGTCCGCCAGGTAAGGGAAGATCATTGATAATTCCTTTTTGTTTTATTAGTATGTTACTAACGACTCGTTTTCTTCTACATACTTTCTCTAATGGTTCATATTTCAAAAAAGAATCAATAACATTTTTAAGTTCATGTATAACTACGCAAACATGAATTGATTGCTTACATAAGTTATCTAAAAGTTTGCAAAAAGCAAGTGCAACGCAGCGATATAGATCCGGAAACGTCGTATTTTATAGGTTAGGGGTAGATTAATTGTGATTGTGATAATACACGAGAATAACAACCACAGAGAAGCGAAGTTCGAAGAGTAAAATTTTGTGAACTTGGAATTAGACTTATGAGACGGATGGCCGGTATAATACACCGAAAAAAATAATTAATGGAGCATAATAAATGCTATATACTGAGAAAAATATATTGAAATTGAAAATAATACCTTATCGTGCATAAAATTTAGGTAATAAAATATTGGTTTTTATTACAGTAGTTTCTGTCATGTTAAAACTTTTGATTTGATTATTCCAAAAATTCTTAATTATATTTATTACTCATGCGCAAATTCTACTTCCTGTTAAAATTTGTTGTTATGTTTCCTACTGTGAATTCCAATTACACATCTGTAAATATCATTTTTAACTTTTATTATTATTAGGGGACCCAGTGACACTTTTAGGTGTGTTATTGGCACAAGGCAAAATTACGAATATTTCGTTCATTCTTACCTTGTAGAACATGGAAATACTTTGCTACATAGTCCCTACAGCGATGGACTTTTCGACGACGACGTCTTAAAAAAGCCTGTTTAGATGATGTCTTGTACAAATGTGTACCAAAGTCACTGGCTCCCCTATTATATAGACTAGATGACAGTTGTTTAAAGTAACGATGACAGGGAGAAATCGTCGTAGCCAACCCAACAGTTGTAAAGCGAGGATAAGATAGAGATAAAAAATGAGTTGTCTTGAATATTACTAGATTCAAGTCCCGTTCTTTTTAGCAAATAAAACACATTTTTATAAAAATAAAATATATTTTTAACTCAAACAAAACGAATCGGCAAATAGCAAGAATCACGACTAAACTGGTTAAACTGACAATCTATCTATGTGGCAAGCGTGTTGAAATTGAAATGACAGTTGGCCATATTACCCTAATTCCATTTTTTGCGGGAACGGCTTTGTCTTCTTTAACCATTTTCACTGTGAATTGATAATATATTTCTTTAAAATTATATAATAGTCACCGAATGTATACTGCATAAAATAAAAGGACTAAGGTATAACAATTATCATTCTTTTTTAAATGAATATCTACATTTTTATTGGGTTTTAGGTATAACTTCCGCATAATTTTATCAGGTTATGATACTTTTCTTACAGTAGGCTGTGAAGAGTAATATAGGTTTACTTTATCCGTCCGTCTGATGTCAAAAACGAAAAATTATATCAATTTTAAAAATGTAGCAAAAATCAGGCTCTATAAGGAGACAAAGCCTATAGTTTAAAAAAAATGATTAAAATTGGGGAGTTGAAATAAAAAAGAATCATAAATATAAAACGAAAAGCGAAATTTTTAGTAAAAATCGAGTTCTATGAAAAGATGCATCTTATTGATTCTGAAAAAATCTAAATAAATTGGGGGGTTAAAAAAAGGAATAAAAATTTTTATAAAAACAATTATAACTCAAAAACTAAAAGTGATATTTGACTTTTTTAACAAAAATCATACTATAAAGGGAAGAAGCCCTTTGATTTTGAAAAAAATCTGATTAAAAATTTGAGGTTTAAGGGGGGCTGAAATTTAAAAAAAAAAAATCACAAATCAAAAACGAAAAGCGATATCAACATGAAATTTTTAGTAAAAATCAAGCTCTATAAGGAGATGACGCCTATTGATTCTGAAAAAAAATGAGCAGTTGAAATATTGAAATAAAAGTAGAAATTAAAAACCAAAAGCGATATCAACATGAAATATTTAGTAAAAATCAAGCTTTATAAGGGAATGAATAAATAAATAATTTAATAAAAATGGGGAGATAAGGGGGTTGAAATATTGAAAAAAATATATAAACTCAGAAACAAAAAAGAATATCAAATTAAAATCTTCAGGAAAAATTAAGCTTTATAAGGGGAGGAAGCGTATTGATTAAAAAAAAATCTGATTGAAAATGGGGCTTAAGGGGGGGGGGGGGTCTGTTAAACTGTCAAGATTAACATATTGATTGATAGAATGCGAAGCATTATGTACCTTTATTCTAGTTATTGAATTAAAATTGAGTAAAAAATTCCTACAAAGTTGTCTCTTATGCCTCTGTTTATAGCTACAAACGCGTCTGAACTATTAGACTTAACTTCAACTTGGCAGCAATGCTAGCCTGCCTATTCGTGATTCAAATTCATTTTCACGCACCTGTCATTTACTTATAATATTATTCTACTTTTTATTTTATTTTCTATTTTGGTATGTTGGAGCACTTTTGTTCAAAAGTATACATGTTAATTTTGCTCAATTTTAGCTCCTTCTCTGTATCTGTAACGTGTGCAGGATGGGTTACCCCCACGGCACGTTGCCCTCATTAGGCCCATTGTGCATCCTCCTGAGATGATAGGCACCTCCTAGCTCGTGAGCCAGCCTACAGATTTAATGTAGTTGACAACGTCGCCAAGAGGTGCTTCTCTCATATCGGCCGGTGTTAGCCGATATTCGCCGAACATAAATCTTCTAATAAATGAGAGCGTCGAGCAATCGTAAAGGATGTGCTCGATGGTCTTATCTTCTTGTTTGCACCGTCTGCAGAGTGCGGATTCTGACAGCCCCATGATATGGAGATGCTTTCGTACTTGGCAATGACCAGTCAGAATGCCTGTGACTAGGCGCAGAATCTGTCTAGTCATAGTCAAGTATTTGTTTGCTGCAGTGTTGTCAGGATAACTTAAGAGCTCCCTGGCAACTCTGCAGTTTCTTGTTTCATCCCATCTTTCCTTGAATTTCACAAAGGAATGTTCTTTGATTAGGTCTGTCACTACCGATTTTGTCAGGCCAATAGAAGGGCCAGATCCAAAAAGTATTTGGATGTCTGCTTTCTTGGCTAGTGAATCGGCAAGACGGTTACCTTTCGATGTGGCGTGACCTTTGATCAGGGTGAGTAGTGCTTGTCGGCTATCTGTATAGATGAGAATGTTCCTTCCAGTGATATTGTTTCTGGTTATTTCTTTTGCTGCTCTGAGAATCCCGTTAGCTCTGTTTGAACTACAGTGGCACTAATGCTTACAGCCCATTTTATATTTTGGTTTAAGAATCTGGAGTATATTCCACATCCTGAGCCTTGTTTTGTTTTAGAACCGTTGGTGTAGATATGAATCGTACCTGCCACTTCCGGCTCTTCTATTTGTTCTATTATAGCTTTATATGGCTTATGAAAGATATATTTCGGTGAGATGGAGTGAGTGAGCGCCTCCTACCAAAAGTGACGTCTCGCCCCACCAGATCCTACATCAGGTTCTATTCCAACCAGTGTTGCCAGAGGTAGCGGAATTCCGCTATTCGTAGCGGAATTTCATCAAGGTAGCGGCGTAGCGGCGGTAGCTCAAAATACCTTAAAACGTAGCGGAATTTAAAATGAAATCTGTCACAGTACAAAAAAATCATAAATCTTGTAGTAATTGTATAAACATTGTTTGTACCGTTTATTATAAAGACGAGTTCAATCAAATAACATAACAAAATAGATCATTTTTATGGTTATGACATCTTGCGCCTTTTTTTAATATCAACATCAACAGGTAATTTTTATGGTAACGACATCTTGTGTCTTTTTTTAATATCGATAAGAAATTACGGAACATATACTAGCTTTGTTCGCAGAACCTGTTGGCGACAGATGAGCATGCGCATTTCGATTTTAAGCGTTCGTAGAGCCAAAAATCGAAATGAAAATGTTCATCTTTTGTGGACATGTCGCCGGCAGGCTCCGCAAACAAAGCTAATATTTCTTCCGTGTTAAGATTTTACTTTTTTTAATTTTCTCTTGTTCCGTCAATTCACTTGTCACAAAAATGTTAAATTAAACCAATAAACTCAAACCCCCTTTAGTTTTGTGGACAAAAAACAAATAAAATATGACATATGACAAGAGACCGTAACGCGTAGCGGAACGTAGCGGAATTTTTCAATTTTTGTAGCGGATTTTTTCATTGACACCCTGGCAACACTGATTCCAACCGTGCGGAGGCGTGTCATTGTCGTCAGAGCAACCTCCTTGATGCAGATATCAAGGGGAGTGAGACTAAGAATGACTTCCATCGCTCTGGTTGGTGTTGTTTTCATGGCTCCTGTTATGTTGAGACATGTTGTTCTTTGAATTTGTTCTAGTTTACGGATAGCTGTTAATTTTTGGGTTTTCGGTACCCAGACAACTGCACCGTATGTTAGCGTAGGTCTTATGATAGCCGTGTAAGTCCATGCGACGATTCTGGGGGAGAAACCCCAGGTGCGCCCCACGGTTCGGCGGCATTGTTCATAAGCAATTTATGCTCTTTTAACTCTGTTTTCTAAATGCGAGTTCCATGTTAACTTGCTGTCAAAGGTCAGACCTAGGTACTTCACCTCTGTTGCAAAGTTTTGTGTTTAGGAGTTATGGAGGTTTTAATTCTATTTTAATCCTTTTCCTTGGGAAAAGGACCATTTCTGTCTTCTTAATATTGATAGACAGTGAATGGTCCTTGCACCACTGTTCTATAATTTTTATAACTACTTGCATTCTTTCACAGAGTATGTTCTCAAAATTCCCTGTTTGCAGAATGACCAAGTCATCTGCATATGCTATTGTGTAGTGACTGTTATTATTGAGGCGGCTGATGAGAGTGTCGAGGACCATATTCCACAGTAGAGGTGATAGCACCCCTCCCTGTGGATATCCCCTCGCAACCAAGCCTCTTATATTCACATTTTCTACAGTTATGTTTACTGCTCGCTTTGAGAACATGTTATGTATCCACCTACTAACCATTTGTGGAACATTCCTGTTGATTAGTGAGTGTATTATCTTTAGGAAGGTGGTTTTATCAAAAGCACCTTCTATGTCTATGAAAACATCCAAGGCGGGCTCCTTATTGTCCAGGGATCTTTCTTGGCCGTCCAGCAACTAGATGAAGGGCTGAATCAGTAGATCTGCTTGGGGTGTATGCATATTGGTTTGGGTGTAGTGGTGTTGTTGTAATCACCGCATCCCTCATGTACCTTTGGCATAGCCTTTCCAATGTCTTCATGAAAAAAGATATTAGATTAATTGGTCGGTATGTTTCTGGGACAGTGTAATCAATCCTTCCAGGTTTGGGTATAAATACCACTTTTACCTCTCTCCATTTTTTGGGGATATACCCCAGAGCCAACGAGGATCTGAATATACCCACCAGGTGCGGTGTGAGTTCTTCCAGACCCCACTGAAGTAGGGTTGGATAGATACCGTCAGGTCCTGGCGATTTAAATGGAGAAAAGCTGGATATGGCCCATCTAATTTTTTCATCGTCTACAATGTGTTTGGCAGTTTGCCAATCATAGACAGATGAATTTTATTCTTCCTCTGCTCAGTCCGCCACGTCTGTGATGGCCGAGTCAGGGAAGTGTGTTGACAGCACCAATGCTTCGGTGTTGATCTTTTGAGAGAGCTTTTTGAAGCCTCGCTGCCTGCGGGAAATCTTTGATTTCTTCGCAGTAGGATCTCCATGCATCTCTCTGTTTTTGTCTGACAATTTTTTTTGTATTCTCTGAAGTGAGATTTTAGTTCCTTATTAACCAGTTAAAATTATGCAATTATTATCCATAACAATTATTCAAAATAAAGAAAATAAATTCCATTTCTCAAATATTGACCAATTTAAAATTATAATAAAGCTAAATAATAAAAACTCAAAGACTGTGTTACAGAAACGGAGGGAGACCGTTTTCCACCTGAAAATAATTACTCCTTTGACTAATACCGCAACATGCATTGAATTGTATCAAAAGAAAAAGAGCAGAGATAGAAAATTGTTTTAAAATCTCTAATCTTGATTTTGCTTACTACGGAGAACGTCATTATTAGCCCGGTTTCGTCTTTATTAGGGCTCATCAGCAAGAAATATACATTCTCGATTCTAATCTCTAATGGAATCTGTAAATGCGTTAAATTTACTCGTATACATGTATGGAGGTTATGTTGAAATAGAATTTATAATAAAAATGTGGAAATATAGAAATAGTTAATATATAACAATAGTTTAAATAATTACGATATGGGGACTCCCAAAATGATTAGATCATAGCATAATGCGAAATAGGTATTAATTTACTGCTTTATAATATCACAACTCATATACGAGCCCCAAAATAGTCTATTTTTTTTCTTGTGATTAACAAACCAATTTCTCTCATTGTTCAATGTGCATAAATGTGTTTTAACGTAAATTGTGTCGTATTGTTACAGTACCTCATAGAAAACGTAGAAAGAGCGCTCTTCCTCCTCTTCAACCCCCTAACAGTAGCAGAGCTAGTGTCGTCTTACCGCTTTTAACTAACGCTCATTTATTTTCATCGAAACGTCCCGAAGACGGCATATGTGAGTGTTTTAATTGTAATTCGAATTCGCACGAATGCTTGTATGCTAGAAACACTTAACATTCGACAGTAATTTTATTTTAACAAATGGCTACTGTTTAGTAATATAATAATATAAATCTGTAATGACACAGACAACCTTAAAAAGTTCTTTTCCTTATTACCATCCCTCATAATATGTATATATTCATCTCCTTTTCAATCTTGTTTACTGTGTTTCAGTAGCTTCTATTTTATTAGTGTGCTTTTTTGGAATAGGTACCCAATTCTCTATCGGAGCACAATTAGGCACTTTAAAATATCTATAAAATTGTTAACTGCGTTAAAAGATGCTTACAAAATTTAAAAATGGTATTCTACTTTCATAATGAATAGTAGATGTAGGTTTATGAATGATACATTTGAGTCAAAATAACTAATAGATTGCAGTGACTTTATTAATAATAATCAATAGGCAATGTACAAAGAAGCTATTAAATCAGGTACTCCATATAATATTGATAGTAAACAAATCATGCTGATATTTCATGTACTGGAACATGTTTAAATAAATTTTGACATTAACACATATTTTAATGTAGTTAAAACAATTTAGTAGAAATCTATCACAATTTTTGTCGGTCTCATATTAAAATTGATCAATTTTTAAATTCTTTTCCAACTTTTATAATTAATATTAGGTTACGGTACCCTTCGAGGTGAAAAAACTTTCGTTAATATGGGTTCAGATCCAAGTGATGCCAATAGTCACTCGAGTCCAGAGTTGCCATCCAGTCCTTTCCATCGCAATTTACCCCAAGATCATTCTTCGGAAGATTTATACAGTTGGATGGCTAAGCAAGATGCTGTCACCGCAAATTTAGAAGGTAAGTTATTACAAATTTAAAATATTTTATTGATATAATTATAAATATCGCTTTTTTCAAAAACAGAAGGATTAGACCTCGGCACTGAATATAACGATATGGTGCTTGGGAAAAGTAATTCCGGTGAGCTTATTTTGTTCTTATCCAATATACACAGTTTATCAACTAACAGAACTATTAATAAACCAGTTAATGTGTTTAATATCAGTTTGATTTCTTTATAATTTAACACACGTACCAAATTTGTACAATTAACAAATACTATAATATAAAGTAAAGGGACGTTCTCTTTCCTCAGAGCCTAGTAGGTCAACTTCAATTTACTTTCTTCCACAAGTTCACATTTTTTTCAGTCTTCTTGAGTTAACACGTCAACATCATAGGCTACCATAAAACACAAACCTCTCAATTTGTCCTTTACTTTGCGCAATAGAAAGAAATCATTACGATTATATAACGAATGACCTATTAGTTCAATGTTTTGCGCAGTTAAATATTCGTTTGTTCGATAACCTGTGAGCTGGACAATTGTCGTGGGAAAGGATAATACTCTTCTTGAAGCTTTAAAACACTTATGTCAAGCAAACTTTGGTATATATACCACTCGGACTTAACCGTACTACTATCCTTTAAAGCCACAGTTGACACAAATCCAATGATTCCTTAAAATGTAGCGACATCTTGTTTCGATTTTTATCACGAGCTACTTTTGTGGGAGTCGGTTCTTACTTTTTAATAATAATAGTAATAATCTTTGTTCAGTGTTACATACTTTAGACGTTTACATTAATCAAAAAAAAAAATGTATAAAAAATATTTAAAGAAAAAAAGAAAACATGCAATGCATATATACACACATATCTCTATCATAGCAATAGTTTACAATTTATAATAAAATATAGTAGTTCATTGATTACAGCCCAAGACTAAAAATAATTTAATTTATTAGATCTGTATCAAAATATCTCGGAACGTTTCATACCCAAGTAGCACCATAAAAACATTTTGGGTTTATTTCGGTTTTAAAATGGTTTTAATGTGGTAAATAAGAAGATATTGGTTTTAAAGTTACCTTTTAGATATATTGCGGACACTTAAAATCCATTTAGCATTTAATACTGGTTGTTTAGTCGCGTTCTAAATTAATTGTTAGTTGATCAGCGGACTGTAAAACTGACTGAATATACACGACTTCACTTCTTTATTGCCAAGAATTGTGTACAATATCGAAATTTAAAATGTGAGGTTACAAACGTGTTACATAAACATAAAACAAAATGTCCAGTCAAAGGGCGGTCGGCGAATGTTTTTACACATCACGGTGTGGAGATGGCACTCTTCGCGGCGTTGTCACGTTGTAGTTGAGACGGAACACTGGTTTTAAAGTATCTAATAAGATTCGCTAATAAGGGAAATTCATCTTAAAAGTTTGTATGTCTTGTTGTAGTTTTTAAATGGTTTGGTTTCAATTAACTTTAAAACTACTTAGTTTTATAAAGGACTTGCAGGTTGTTTGGTTTTATTATGTTCTAGATTGTGACGTTTTAGTTTTTAAGTAGTTTTAAAGATATTCTTAATGTAACTAATAGAACCTATTATTAAATTTGCTTCATCTTAGGACAATTTGGACAGTAAATATTGCGTTTTAAAACTATTTCATTACTTTTCCTTATAACGCTTAAATGCAATTAGATAGCTATATTAAAACGGAACGCTCTTAACTAAATCAATTTGGTCATCGTAAAGACTAACTGTACTTCTTGTTAGAAACAATAAAATTAAATTCATCCCCTATTTTTACGTCAAATGAACCCCGCATTTTGTATCATGTCAAACAACATGAATGTACCTACAATAATTAGAAAAACAAACGATTGATATGACACGGAGATTTTAAAGTTAGGTTTACATTAAAACCGAGCGGCATTTATCACAGCCGCATTAAAACTAAACCGTTTAAATCACAAGCAAACCTTTCTTTTGTCTAGGGTATGTGCTCTTGGAACAGTATAAAACTCGATTAAATAGAACCCTCTGATCTTAACGTTTCCTTGTCCATTAACTAAACGGTTTTATTTAATTTCCGGTCATTTTACTTTCTCGAGATGGTGGAAGCCATGATAGATAAAAATATTTAGGCTTACATAAAAACGACAAGTTAACCATTTAAACGTATGATTTCGATTTCTTTTAATACAGAAAAATCTAAAATAATAGATAAAATTATTTTTCTTTCTAATTTATGTTTTTTAATTTTCAATTTTGTTTTTTTTTGAATTATAAAACTTTAGAAATTTTAAGGCCCCTAAGTTTTTTAAGACTTTTTCGTTAACGTTTAAAGTATATATTTCTACCCTAACATTCCGAAATCACTACCTTACTTTTTATTATTTTATAGTTCATGGTTAGAACGTCACCATATTTTCATTTTTAAATATAAATTGCTTTTATTTGCTAAAAGAATTATGTAGGTATATAGTCTTAAAAAATTATTTTCATATGTTAACAATGAGATAAATTATCTTTAAAAGTATACATGTAACTAACATTATTAAGTCCACATCAAAACTACGTGTGTTTAAAATGTATTTAAAGTGGTTTTAAAAGGGTCTTCACAACAGCTTTAAAATCATTTGTTCAAGGTAATATAGTTTTATGGTGGTTTTTATTTTGGGTTTTATTGACCTCTTTCAGAGTGGGGCCCTTTTATGCTGAAGGCGTATTTATTACAACCTTAAGGCTCCTTTTAAAACTAATTGGTTTTAATTGCAGTTTTATTTTACAGTTTTAAAGCATCCTTGAAGTACTGAATAAAACCGCTCGGTGCTACTTGGGTAGTTACCCTAGTCAGCATGCTTAATTGCTTCAAAATAATCCGTTAAATTATTCAAGCATATTTCAATCATAACGGTTTTAATTTTTGTTTATATTTTCTAACAGGAAGTGTCGTATCCCTTCTGATAATGTATTGAAGTAATTTACACCCAGTATTTTAGATTTTACTATTTTAGATCCTACAACGAGGTTGGATTAATGCATCTTTCCCTCTTGTATATGGTATAAGTGGACTTGAGAAGGTGCATTAAATAAATATGTTGCTTTTTATATATAGTAAGTTTTCATATATTACAGCTGAGAAAATTGTCATGATTTTAAGCTGTTTGAACTGTGGGACACAGTGATTTCTAAAGTCTGCTTTTGCATCAGATCGAATAGCTGCTTTTTGTAGAAATTACAAAAATATGTCTAATCCCATCCTAAGATACCATATGTTAGGTTGGAGTGGAATAATTCAAAATAAGTTAACAGGGATGTTTCGATGTTGGAGGAGTATGAAATTCTTCGAATGGCATAAACAGTTTTTGAGAGTTTATTGCAGAGTGCATCAATCTGTTGGTTCCAGGTTAGACGAGAATCTATATGTACCCCTAAGAATTTGATGCTGTTTTTATCAGAGTTTGATGAAGATTTAAAGGTGCAAACTTCGGTTTTGTCTGAGTTCATGAACAATTCGTTATGATTAAACCAATTCTTTGCTGTCTCCATTACTTCTTCACTGGGTTTGGTGTTCTGAGATTTATCACAGTACGAGAAGTTAATGTCATCTGCGTACATTATTGTCAATAAATTCCGAAAGTGTGATTGGACTGGAAGATCATTTGTGTAGATAATTATTGTCAATAAATTCCGAAAGTGTGATTGGACTGGAAGATCATTTGTGTAGATAATGAAAAGAAGAAGTCCAAGTATAGATCCCTTAGGGACACCTCTCTTTATCATTAACAGATATTCATTGTTGTATACAATCTGTTGCCTGCCCTGAGATATGAAGCAATTAAGTCATTCGTAATTCCTCTTATGCCATAAGAACTAAGTTTCTCGCCAAGTTTTGCATGGTTAACATAGTCAAAAGCTTTGGATACATCTGTGTGTAGAGTAATACAATTGTCTTCTTTTCAAAAACATCTTGTATAATGTTTACGAGGGACATAATTGCATATGTTTACGAGGGACATAATTGCATCAGAAGTTTTCTTTCCTTTTCTGAATCCATATTGTAGAAGTTGATTAATATCATCAAAACATTCTTGAGGATAAAACTACACTTAAAATAATTGTAAATAAACATTCCAGTCACATTTGTAGAGGCTCAACAGAAAGATAACAGCCCTCAATTATTATTAACAATAAATATCACAATAAAGTGTTTACTATTTACTTCAATAAACCAAAGACATTTTACTCTTAATTAATAAATTTTTTTTTTAAATATATTGGAAAGTTACAAAATACATTCGGCAACATACTGTATTCAAAGGACAATCAAAGCAACTTCAAAATGTATAAACCATACGGACGTACCACCCGTTAACCGACTGGACTTTACTATTCCTGTTTTATTTATAAAGTAAACTTTCTTTGCAAAATTAAATCTTCTACATATAAAAACTAGAAGGATCTATAATGGATAATGAGTCGACTCTATCACAACCTAAAAAAATTGCCTAATTCTCAATTTCAATAACATTTCAACATAACATAAAGTTACACTCCTTTTTTTATTTTTTTACTAATTTTTATAAAACGTTTTAATGGGCGTGTTCAGTGTAAACGAATTTAACGAATCTGATGCTATAAGCAGATTAAGCATAAAAAAACAATTATTTTCGTACAAAAACTACTTTAAATTAATAATAAATAACAAAGTTATAGTGCTTTGAAAAGTTCACTTTTAAATCAATAATTTAAAACGCATTATTTTTGCGGCATTATACGCGTCATAATGAAGCGCCTATTTTCATTGGTCGCTGATGAATCGATGGAACCATAAAACAGTCAGCACAGGAATTCTTCTGTGCGAATTTGACAAGAAAACCGCGTTTGGTTCTCCATCTTTTTCTAATAGTAATATTTATGGTTAGTTATCTCTTTCTAAAATTGTATTAAAATTAGGTTGGTACGTGTTTTGATATATAAACAAACAAAGTTTGTATTTATTTTGTTTTTTAACCTCGTTTGTAAAAAAAATTGAAATTGTTTTTAAACTGTGTGAAGAAACCCTTGTTTATTTTACGTTCTATTGAAAATGCCTGGTTATATTTTCAAGTGTTTGGTCCCTACCTGCAGTAATAAAACCAGCCAAGTTGACAAAATTTTCATAAAAGTTCCTCAAAATCTGGACATTCAGAAGCGATGGTGGGCTGCAGCATACAAAATACATACAAACTACACAAAAATAAATATCTTGAGCCTCTTCATTTTAATGTTTACCATCACTTCCTAAAATATTAAATTTGTAACTACAATTAGAGTGTTTAAACAATATTGGCAAACAGTACTGTGACATCAAGACTAGCATAATAATGCATTGAAAATATACATTACATAAATCTGCAGTGTTAGTTGCAATAAACTGTCAAGTGTCTTAGTATAAAGACTTGATAAATATTAATGGTAATGTAATTGAGAAATAAATGTAAATATCATTAGTTATACATGTTTAATAGAATATTTATTAAAGAAAATTTTACAAAATTCGTTTTTTTTATTTTAATCAATTATAACAGGATATATAACATTTTTCCAAAAAATATTTGCCTGGTCCATAACATCACTTAGTTCATGTTCATCAAAATCAACATCTAATATCTGAACCTCCTTATCAACTTCAAAATTAGGAGATGCCACACAAAACAGCCCTTTATGTTTTTTAGAAAGCAACATTTGTAGTTGCATTTGAAAATAAAACTTTCTGGTCACTTTGCCACTCGATATATAATTATTCAAACTCTTCTCTTTATATGGACATTTTACTTCAATGACATAATAATCAGAAATGCCATCTGGCGAAGCTCCAAAGATTGGGTAATTTTTATTTAAAAAAAGTCCACATTTATTAATGTTAATATTTTTAATTTCACTAACAATTTTTATCACTTCCGACTCTAACTTTTTACCCCTGTTTATAGCTTCAGTCTCAATGGGTGGATTCGCCCCAAGAATTTTTTCTTTTAAACTACCTGAAAAGGTTTTACTTCTAGCAGTTTCATACAGTAAAGAAGCTGTAATGATTCCAAATCTAAGTTCAAACCATTCAGGACAGTTCGATTGCTGCCTTGTCAATAATTCTGCTTCCAGACAAGCACTCTTTGACATACTTTTTGTCATAAATGCCATGAATTCATCAATGTTACTAGCAGTCTTCAAGTTTTTATAATTAATCCCTAATTGATGCAGACTAAGATTTGAAAACTTCGGATTTCTGTGTAATTGGAATAAAACACCTTGGCTTGTAGGAAATTCTGCTAATAGCTCTTTTAGCAATGTTTTATTAGGTGGCTCAATTTTTCTGTTTTTTTTTCTGGCCAAATAGTGTTGAAACCCTCAAGTCAGAAGAACGTCCTACTTTTGATAAAGATGAGCCTTTCCAATAACACAATGTCGATGTAGTAGAAGGTTCTTCACTTCGACGATGCAGCCATAACAAGAAAGCAACACCATGTTTGCAACCACCTTAAAAAATAATAGAACCTTGTTACATTGTATGCACAGTTTTTTTTAATATTTAGAGGAATTTATATTACCTTCAGAAGCAGAACAGTCTGTGCATTCACAAGACACAACCTTTTCCTCTTGTTCGTTTATTAGTGCATCAACATTATAGGCTTTTTTGTGAATTTTGTGTTCTGGGGTAATCCTAGCTTTAATGTTACACAAAACACCCTCTCTTTTGAGTTGAACATATGATAATGCACTGTCACCATATGCTTCCTTTGCAGACCTACAATAGAATAATTGTTACTTAATAAATAGGTATAGCAAAAATAAAATGTCAACAATATTTAGTAGCAGTTAGTTAACAGAGTTTGTAGAATAGAAAACACATTTTTTTCCTATATTTAATACAAATCTTTTTGAACCTAATTATAAAAAGATTGTAAATTATTTCACAGCTAAAAAAAGTGTCTTACCGTTTCGTCTTTACATTGCGAATTTCAGAGCCAATAAACTTTATATTATTTATAAAAAAATCATTTATCATATCGGAATCCACCTTAGGTAAGTTATCAGAAGATCCTTCCATAAATCCAGTTTGTATTTTTGCCATTTTTAAAAAATTAACACTATATAGATACAATTTAAAAGAAAAATCCAAACAATAAACTCAATCGAAAACTAGGTTAGGTTGTTAGGTTATGTTATGACACAGAGTGAAACAACGTTGCCAGACTTGTCAGATAAAATATTTCGTATGGTATTGAATAACAAGTCGATTAATAAAGTTAATTAAAATAGTAAGTGTCAGGTTGCTTCTTAAAAATGGAATTTAAACCAATATAGATTTATTTTTTATGTTTTTATGTTAAATTGCACGATTTTAACCATTTAATGATTGTTGGTCATCCGGAATTTCAATAATTCTTTACAAAAAACGGCAACCACGTAAAAACATCAACTACTGGCTTGAACATTATAAATCAGCCAATAAGAATGTAGGCTTCATTATGACGATGCTTGAAGAATAGAGTGGCGCACGTTTCAAATTTGCTTGAATTTCTTGGAATTTAAAAAAATTATTGTATGAAAATTTGAGAAGGGAAAAATTTAAAAAATATATTTTTAGATTAGGTTTTGTGTTACTTATCAGAAAAAAATATTTTTGAATTTCACTAAACACGCCCATTGTAAGCAGTATTGAATATAAATAATGTTTATAGGCTGCTTAGAGTCTAAAATAGACACAATGGACATACCTACAACATCTGATCCTGATACGTTACCAAAAGAAGTACCACCTGCAGGAGCACCTCTATATCCTATTCAAGAGTCTGTTCGACTTCTAGATGCAAACCAAGTATTTCAGCCGCTGCTTTCTGGTCTTGGAGTTATGCCACAGCAGCTCAGATTCACTACAATGTCCGATTCAAGTAAATATTGTTTTTCTTTTCTGAGGCCATAAGAGGATTGTGATTTTTATCAAATTTTATCTGCATTTTATAAGTATTGTTCGTTTTGGTGTGTTTATATTGTTTCTTCTTTCGGGTTATTTTGATATTAGTTTTTAAAATTGAAAATGAGCAGAAGAAATCAGATAATTTCCGCAATCTCTTCATTTATTGGTATTTATATTGATGAAAAGGGTAGGTACAAAAATATTAACCTGTAAAGATTAATTACCTAATATTCATAAGTGTTGTATTAAACTTTTTATTATATTTACGCAGAGGATAGTTTTCAATAGGTTCACAAAGTTTTACTAATTTACTTAAATCATTTACAAAATAAATCAAAGATTGTAGTTGTGTTCACTGTACACTGATTAAGGAAAACGAAAGAAAGGTAGGTATTTTTAAGGGTGGAAATTTTATTAGTATTTTCCAAGAGCTTGCGACTGTTAAGATGTCATCAGGACATGCTATTTAGTGCTGCGACCAATAAATGTTTTTGAGTATTTCGCTCAAGATAAAACAGAAACCTATAGTTTTAATAATAGTGTTTCGGGCCGCAAAAAAGCTTGGAGGGCCGCAGGTTGAGTATGGCTGCTCTAAACTGTGCCTCTAGAGACACCGCCCGATCTTTTGTAATGCTCAGATTGAAACGATATTCTTCGTCTATATCTTTAATGGTTAAAAGGGTACATTATTTACTAAGGACATTTGGCGGATTTTTTAGAACTATGCTTATTTAAGATACATACTTTTTGATTTTATATACATCCTACAATAACTGTCATTCTCCGTGAACATTAGTATAATAACCTGTCAAATTATTGACTTATCATCTGATGGCCAGATCTTGAAGGTGGATACATGTTGTTGTTAAAACATGACACATTAATGCTTTATCTAGCTTTTATAATGATCAAAGAGTACTTTACTTTTTAACGACCTTGGGTGAATTTTTTAGAATTATATACTTTCTGGTACCATATCTTCTTTTGTTTTTATATGGGATTTGAGCGAAGTTTAAACAACTATAATAATCTCATTCATCGTGTGGAATAGTAATAAACAGTTTGACATCAATTTGACCGACAACTACTACTCAAACAACTGTTAAAATACTCAACTTTGAACTGATAAACCCACTTTCAGCATAATGAGATTTAAAATATGGACCTGAATTAAGGTGGCCATACATATAGCATTTCGCTGTATTAGGCATTCCAACGACCTGTCAAACAATAGCTGTCAGTGGGAAGGTCTGGTATATCTGAGGGGGGTAGCGACATAGTCTTGCATCTTCGACGCTTTTTTTATTCGAAATAGTACTCGCGAAGCCTGCCAGTTTTTGAAAAAATGTATAAGCGGTTTTTTAAAATATTTTTATTGTGTTTGACATAAAATATTTAAATGTAATCCATTATTCATGATTTTACGTATTGTAGACAGAATACATCGTATGTCGCAACCTTTAATTATACCAAATCTTCCCACTGGCAGTTCATTTGTTTGGAATGTCTAATTAGGCATCCAAAACCTGGCAAAATGCTGCCAGTGGGAACTGACAGTTTAGATATGGCAAACCTGTGGACCTGTTGTAATTGACAAAGTCAATGATACATATCTAGTTATATAGATGGCTCAAATCGGGTCGTTTGCGAGCGGCCATTTGAGTCGGTTTAGCAAAAATGTGTTTTTTTAACCAATTTTCAGCCTTTTAATGTTTTAAAAAAATAATTGCCTACATTTTTACTTCAAGGCATAAGCTTATGTTAATTTTTAAAAACATTGATGATCAATCTATATAACTATCTATATCATTGATCATATCAAACCACCAGACTCACAGTGTTGCCATATTAGAGCCTATCATGTGCCTGTCATTTCAAACGGACAGCCATTTTGTTTGGAATGTCTAATTATACTGTATGTATCAAGCAAAACATTATTGTCCAGCAATGTAATACATAATTTACAGAAACGTAACAAATAAGACTTAGGGAGCTAAAAAAAGGTCTTCGCCTCTCCAAAGTTCACTCAATGTTATATGTTCAGTGTCCAGCATTGGGTCAAAAAAATATGGCCACCCTAACCTAAATGCTAATGGAATATTAAAACATACGTGACTATCTCCCTAGATCAAATATCAGCGACTATTTCTCTGGAGAAATAGTCGATATTTGATCTAGTAAAATAGTCGTCCCAAATATAACACGACCTTGATTAATATTCTGCTATTTCTCGAACATTTTACAATTTGATTCTACATAATTTTGGCATTAATAATCAATTGATTAAAGCCCTCGAGTTAAAGCTCTCGGTCTCTAATCAGATTATTAATGCCAAAAATTATGTCTCATCAAATTGATACTAAAATTTTCTCGAGATTTAGATTAAACAAAAATAGCTAATTAATATCAAGGTCTTGGTATATTACCCTTGATTATTACTCCAAAATTAAAATATATAATTCATGAAACTAATTAATAGAATTATTGTATGGACATAATTATTCTGACAATAACTGGCTTTTCCCAAAGACATCTGCGTGTAGATATACATTCGCGTGAAAAATGTAGTGCTTATCTTTGCATACGTTCATTTTTAGATGCAGGAAACGATGTGACCACCTTGGATGCTCTGGGATCAAATTTCTGTCTTGTAGGAAACATGGAAACTATGAGAATTGATATAGTAGTGTCAGAGCATGGAAAAATTGAGAAGAAAAAAGGAAAAAACAAAGGAAAAAGAATGTTTATTGAAGTCGTTCCAGGTATTTATTTACGTCTTTTAATAATTTACAAGTTGTAAAACAGGTTCATCCATTTATACATCAAATCGATATTATACCTCATTTTATTTTCATAGCACCCTCCCAGGTCCTGTACACCGCTACATTAAACAAAGTTTGAGATGCATCAACTGAGGACTTAAAAAATTGCTCCAATTGAATGACTAATTGAAACTAATCCTCATCTTACTACTGTTTTCCCATTTGGAAAATGTTTGTTTCATTTGTTTCATTTAAAAAAAAAGTTGCTCCTAGAGTTGTGTTTTCTCCAAGTTTTCCTTGATCACTCTTAGTAGACAATTAATGAGGCCAACTAATACCAAATTTTGTCAACATTAACTGGATGGATTAATACACGGTTAAAGGAAAAATATGTACAGTTGGTTTCACATAAAATGCGTTCATAAAAACCAAATAGGGGTTGTTTATATAGATATACATACCTACGCTTTTCAATGTTTAATGACAGGTATGGAAAGAGATAAAAAAACAATTCATCCTTATTATTTTCATAACTATCACCCATCAAACATTTTGCTCCTAGAGGTATGTCTTCTGTAAGTTTTCCTTGATCACTGTAAGGTGTGCTTAGCATTCTTCATTTAAACGTTATTAGAAACAACCGGACATTCACATCTTCAAATCCCTCATCAAAAAACCTAATTGTTCCATCGCTAAATGCATCTATGGTAGTCTTACTTTTGGTCTTTTTGGGTCGCTGATTCATAAAAAAATACTTTTTACAGATGAATCTCCAGCGTTTGTATGCGAAAAGGTTGGTGTCGAATTAGAAATTGACAGAATGACAGACATGGCAGTGAATGAAATGATGAAGACTAAAAATGTTCTCTACATATCCAGAGGACAATTGAAAAATCATACAAGTACAGTTATCAACTTTACTATCGCCGTCCGATATATCCATCAAAGAGTCAACATGCCGTTACTACGTCTTTTACATCAGATCAGCAATATGTACCAGAATGTCAAGGATACTCAGAATGAATTGAGAGAGCAACACCCAGTTGATATTAGACGACCAAAAACCAGTGCGAGCGATCATGCTGATATTAAACATCATTCATCCAGTAAGGAATTTTACATAATAACTTTAAATGTATATGTTGGTTTAGTTGAAGTATAAATAAGTTTCAACATTTTTCTACTTTTCAGCCTCGGATATTCATTACCCTGCAACAGATTTATCAAAACAGCTCAGTTTGAAAATATCAGATCCTGGTTCCTACTCGTCCCAAAATAAGCCAATAATTTCTCCTTCGCCCAGTATTCGATCGCGCCCTCAAAGCTTTGCACAAAAACTACGCTCCACTGGAAAAACAGTGAAAGGTTACGTAAATTTAAGTGAAGGCGCTGGTACGCCAATGACTATGTCTACTCCCTCAGGATCAGCATTGGAACATATAACAGTTTCCTCAGATAAAAGTACCGGACGATGCTGGAAAACTATTTATTACTTATTGGAGTTATACGCTAACATGCCAGATACTAAGACCATACGTCACAGATTTTCTATCGGAACAAACGATATATCTGAACATTATAAAGGAAATAAAAAATATGACATTTTAACTGAAATGAGATCAACCGAAGATATGGATAAATCTGATAGTAATGCTCCATTACCAAACGTTAAAGATGCTACCAAACCTAAAGGTAATAAAAAAAAATTAAATCTGAATTTAAACTAAAAATATACGTGTCAAATTTTAGGTTTCTCCAATGAACATACCAAACTAATAGTCTTTGGGGTCGCAAGAATTCATCGAACTAGACTTCTAGCCACCCTATCTGGTTTAAAATTAGAAGCTGAAATAACTAGTCTACATTCGAGCTTAACTTGTCGCAAAAAATCGATTCCACAAATTCTAGAATGTTCATTAACCGGTCAAATAGGAAGAACTATGATCGTATTACTCGAAGGAGTTGCTCCAAATCTACAGACCGTTGTGAAAGTAACAATTGGAAAGTCCCAAGCCTTATATTCCAGCATTACGAAACGTCAGAAGGATAAAAATTCTGGACTTTTGACCGTCGGAGCAGTTAATATAGATATACCGCAACATCCAGTCGCTCTTCACGGAATGGTAACGAGAGGAAGCAAACAACTGAGTTCAACGTTACAAGAATTACGAGTTACGAGAACTTCTAGTCGCATGTCGAAATTGCCCATGGAAGAGGAACAACAAAGTTCACCAAATCAGCAAGTGAGAGACGAACCTGTACAAAGTGCGACGTTTAGTAAAACTGATGTATCCGAAAAAGGTCTACTACAACCTTTAGTGATGCAATTTTCTATTATATTACAGGTAAATTTACTTATAGCAATATACAGCTAAACTATATATTTTTTTTTAATACAAAAACCGATGTACCTCATCCATCATTTATGCAGTCACGACCATGCAGTGTTGTCTAATCGTCAGAATAGTCTAGGAATGTAGGAAACTTCGAAAATATAAAGTTATATTTTCTTGGCTATGTTACTAGTAACAATTAATTTTAAATGTTTATATCTAATGGGAAATATTTTAATTCCTTTGTCCATAATAATGGTGATACCGTCTTAGTTTTTGATGGTGTAGACTGGAATTGGTTAATTACAAGCTTTCTTTTAATTTAAAAATAAACTAGTTATATCGCATTTATTTTAACAGTATTAACAAGTCCACAATATTCTTTTATTATTCTTGAAAATTAAATTAATGAGGTCCCAAAAATAAAGCATTTAGGAGTTATTGTATGAAATGACATGAACACATAGATTATATTTCTAATAAAATTCGCAAACCTACATACATATTTTATTCTTTAAAAGAGGTTTTAAATAATGAACAATTATATTAATAATTGATGTGATATTTTGGTTTGAGGTGGTTTATATGATAATGGTATACAAATGTCATACAAAAAAAAATATTACTAAACATCATCTATGACATAAGTCATGTTCCACTTATATTAACGCGCCAATATCTGAGGGGTTGACTAAATTTTACAATCACCCTCCATAAACCAGCTGAGTTTTTGTATCCCAAGAGACTAAATTATTACTAGTTGGCTAAAAGTAACATTAATAACTTCAGTAGTGACTCTAAAACACTGTCACTAACGTATTTAATACAACTAATAGGTACTTAAGGATCTTAATATGTAATAAAAGTTACTAAAGATCGGCTATTTTCAGTATTGCATTTTTTGTTCTACTAGATTACGTGGGATACGGATATTGTTTAAGGCGGTTCCAGACTTACCTCGAAAACAGCTCCCTTTATATCCCTTTTTATGTTTTTGTCACAATATGTAGACCATTTTCGAATTCTGATATGTATATTTTTTTCTCAACATTTATTTCTTTTCTAAGATGGACATTTTAACAAAAACCTAACTAAATTTAAAAATGTGCAAGAAGAATAATTAGTTATGGGCTAAAAATTATTGAATGCATATTTATTTATTGGACCATTAAATAATGAGTCGTTATAGGGATTCCTTAGTTATGGAAATACATAAAATATTTATTGGATCATTAAGTAAAGACTTGTTAATGTCCGATTAAAAGACAGTTGAATAAATATTGTAGACACCTGCGATATTTTAAGAATTTAAATTGAAAAATTATAATGGAAGTTTTTTTATTAATATACGTTAATAATTATACATATATGCATTTTTAAATAATATTTTAGGTAGCATAGATAACATAATATGCATATTATTATATCTATGGTAGGTAACAAAGTTGATTCTGTAGCAGCTTTACAAAAAAATATATCCTAATTTTGAAAACTAAATCCATTGATATTCTAAAGCAAATTATTGTTACCTTTATGTTTTATGCAACTGGATTATTTTAACAAAAAATTTAATAAACATTATTAAAGTCTACCGTCTATACTCGGACAAAATATTGAAGAAGGTGATTCCTCCCTGTTCACGTACAACAATAATACTATACCAGAGCATAATGAATGGAATCACGCGCTTAAAACTGCAGAAGCTATCGGTATCACGTGCCAACTAGTCATAAATGCATGTTTATTGCCAAAATGAATTACGACAGGGGCGTATAAAAACTATTGGCAAATTAAATGCGGTAATAGTAAATAATATTATATGAAAGTAGGTTAGTTATCTATTTTTGTAGTAATAATCATTTATGTTTATAATTTTGTTTTGTTTATTGTTAAAATATGTAAATATTATGCCAGTGGCGTAGAAACACAATTGGAAAATTAAATGGGGTGTTATACTAGAACAAAATATTGAAAAAGGTGCGCCTTAAAACTGCAAAAGGTATCGTTATCATATCAAAATGCACTCTTCCAGTGTTGCAGAAATACTATATTGGCAAATTAAATGGGTATTTGTGAATATTACTAGATGAAAGTAGGTTGGTTATCTATTTTTGTTATAATAATTTATCTATGTTTATAATTGAATTTTGTTTATTATAAAAATATGTAAATTAAGCTTGGTATCACTTACTTGAATTCTAAATCTATAAAGTTTCGTAATCCATTGATTTTGCAGAACTATCACTGGAATCGTCTTTATCGTCGGAACTTAAAGTTATGACTAAAGGTTCACCTATCGTTTCGATCATACCGTCCAAGCGCCACATATTATTTTCTTCCTTAATTACATGGGAAATAGCATTCTGCCAATCTTCAGGTTTTATACGTTCTATACCGGTTTTTATAAACTTTGAACGTCGGCTATTTTAAAAGTTTTATTTTCTCGAGCTACAAATCCTTTCACTTGCGCCCAAACACGATCACGAGCCATTGTGTCGACAACATATTGAATATATTTATGGCGGTGTTCCTTTATTAGGTCCATTAGTTCCATTTTAAACATCTCCTCAGTTAATGTTATTGCTTTATCCCGCAGCCAGATTTGCATATCCGCTTTCCTACTGGACATTATCGGAATGCGTTCAACTCGTCGACTGTGATAAGAAGCGTTATCTAGTACTATAACTGAATTTCGTTCTACACGCTGTAATACTTCAGTAAACCATTTTTCAAAGCATTCCGCATTCATGTCCTCGTGGTAGTCTCCTGTTTTTTTCGATATAAACACAAGAGCGCTATTTTCCAAAAATCCACTGTCACTTTTGATATGGGTAACAATTAGGCGCTGTCCTTTACCTGATGGTGCTTTCAAACCTGTAGATAATCCCTCTATAAAAACTTGGCGATGACTAGTTACAGAAGTATATTGCCATATCTTAGATACCGTGTGTCCAGCATTCATCCACGTTTCATCGAGATAGTATATCTTTTTTTTAGCGGCTCTAAACTCTTTAATATTTCGTAAATAACGCCGTCGCCAGGACACTATATCTGACCTCTCAATTAAAATTGATTTCCTACACCGTTTGATAAAACGAAATTTTAGGCCCCATAAAATTTTTCGTAAAGTTTCACGGCTCATTAATGGAATTTCTTCGTTTTCTCAATTTCGTAAGAACAACTTTAAGTGTTGGGGCTTTGTTTTCGAAAAAAAAAGAATGTACAGTTCTTCGAATGATTTGTTTTTGGTTATCGTCCAATTTCAACAATTTTCGACCACGGGTATGCGTTTTAGGGGCTTCTAAGGAGCCTTTTTTGTCTTTTCGCGTAAAATACGTTCAATTGTTGAAACAGATACTCCAATTAAAAAAGAACTACGGTTTACAGCTTCATTTGTAGGAAGTGTCTGTTTCAGCCCATCATACACTTTCCATATAATGTTCTTTTCATCCTTTGATAAGGGCTTTCGCCGACGTAATTGGGTTTCACTTGGACCCGCCTCTGAATCCATTACTATTGTAACAATATAATTCTACTATTAAATAATTGTTTTTATTAAATTTATGAAGACATCAATATTTTACTATTTAATAAACTTTTAAAGTACCTACCTAATATACTACACGATAAATGTAACTCCTCGAATATGCACTACCACTACCAAATTGTAAGGCACAAACATGAACACCTACTCGTATATCAGAAAAGAGCACTTATACAAAAAAGTGTTTATAAAATATAAAATAATTATCGTAAATAGTTAAAGCGATACAAATCTAACTTCGTCGAAAGTTAGTTTTCAACTGTCTTTGTGCCTGTGCAAACAATATTCAATCTGTAACCCGTCTGTCGTTTATTTACTTGAAACACGTTTTAAAACCATTAAACACAGATAATGAAGTCATTAGGGAATAAATATATTCATTTCTTGAAAACTATCAAAAACGTATATTTAACGCATCATCTTTGTTTAAATAAAGATGTTGACAAACAAATTTAATAAAGTTTACTAACAAATACCTAATAAATAATTATTTGGTATTTGATACGCCGCCTATACTAACCTGTCGGAATTTTCATTCATAGACAACAGTGTTGATCATGCATACGACTCACCTTCTCCAATATTTTGTCCGAGTATAGGTATGTACCATGAGCAGAATAATATTCCAATTTCAAAATTCACTCTACCGTAAACGAACCAGATTTAGAGGTTAACTTATGACCAATGATAAATATGACCAATAAACAAATCGGGCATCGAGTTAGAATAGAGACGACATAAACACTATTTTGCGATATGACAGATGGACGCACTTCGAGTGACGGAAAAATGTAATGAAAATGCTGATTTGAGTGGTATTTTGATTTCTTTGAAGTAAATAATTTTATTTTTGAAGACTGACAGAATGAAAATGATTTTTTATCATTTAAATGAAGCTATTTAACAAAAATTACATTTATTTTCACCAAAACTGATAAGAAGCGGGTTTCACTGGTCGAAGTTTTCTTCATATCTAATACATGCAATATTTTCTCTCAATTTTGAGTACTCAGTTATAAATTGTAAAAATAGTGTCAGAGGCAGAGTATTGCATTAAAGTACTCATGAGTAATTCACAATGAATAGCTTCGCAAACTATTCATAATAAAAGTATCTGAGTATGAATACTCACGCATATGAATAATACTTCAAACAAATAAGTACTTTCGCAAATTTCAAAGAGTACTCGTGAAAAAATCAAGTAACGAGTATGAGTATATTAAAATATTCCAATTACGGCCATATGCACCATTGTCCAGCTAAGTCCTCTGTTATCTAACAGTAGTATAAAAAATAACAGTGTGTTAACAGAATTTGCTATGCACCATTTATGTACCTTCTATTTACCAGTTTCAGTAAGAAATCAGTCTGTTACGTATACATTACTGTTCATATCCTATAAAACCTTATATAGCCCTTCAAAATAAACAAGTAAAATTAAAATAGTCTAATAAGTAAAATTAACAGGCCAAATTTGGTTTGTTACATTAACAACGCCTTTAACAGATTGTTAGTCGTATTTTGTAATAGTGAATACAAAATTGTCAATTTAACAGTCAGTTATGTAGTTAACTCTCTGATAACTATTAACAGAAGAATGGTGCATATGGCCGTTAGTGACTAAAGATGTTATAAATATGGCTTAAATCCATGAATTTTTCGTTCATTCTAATTTTTCTAATATACATTTACGTATTTGCATTTACAATACTGTGAATAATGATTAATCTTTCAATGCCTAAAGTTCAATTAACTTATATAAATGGATTCGTATTTATAATCATTACATTTTTGGACAGTCAGCACCAAACACCAACTTGCTAAATAACAGTTCGTATTCGTAACAACTCACACTACACATATGCACTGTACAAACTGTCTGGCAAAATACAAAATGTAAAATAATAATAATAATAATAGTTTACAACAAGCAAGCTGAGGCTTGCCTGGACCGAGGCGCGTCAATACTCGTACTCGTTACTCGTCGGCTGTAGGAATCAGAAGTATTGAGTACTCTTAAATATAGAGTACTCAACATTTTTCAAGTACTGTGTTCCATTAGGATAAAGGTACTCAGGAGTACTTAGGTACAATTTTGAGTATACTTTACTTGTACTGCTGTTTTCTTGTTATTAAGATTTTTACAGATTTAAATGTACATTTTATAGTTATAATTAACCCGAGCATTTACCATTGGGCTGGTAGAAGCCCACCAAATGGCCACTTCAAAAAAATGAGGCAACTAGACACACCTCTTGGCGATGTTAATAACTTACAGGACTTTGATCTGAGAAGATGGATGTCTGTAGTCTGTAGACACCCCACAGCGTCAACCAGTAGGTTTTTGACGGGTTGATAACCTGCAGGACTTTGATGAGCTATGAAGATGCAGCTGTCTTTAGACATCTCTCAGCGGCAACCAGCAGGTTTTGACAAGTTGAGAGGCAGGTTTTATATATCCCTGGAGGATACACAATGGGCCTAAGTGCTGTGAAAGTATTCACCTTCCCCACCTTACAGACACAGATAGTTTATATTGTTAATTGAAACTAATGTAGGATGTTGCTATGAAATTAGATTATCCATTTTGACAAAAAAATATCATCCTATTTATAAGATCCTATTTATAAGATGTCGGGAATTTATAAAATTAATTTTATTTAGTAATCAAGAAAACTTTGTTCTGCATAATTAATAATAATTTTTTATTATAATAATCAGTGTTTTTTAGGTTTTATGACTCAGATATTCACAAAATGTCTCAGTTTGTGATTTTATGTATTTGTGTAGGCTTTGTTGCTATTTCCCTGTTATAAAATTGTTTAGATCTCTTAATATTATTTGACGATATGGATACTTAACATTACAACACAAAAAAATGTGTTTAAAACACTTTACATAATATCGTGTCTTGAAGTAAAATGGGTTATTCTTTTTTTTTTTGTTTCTCATTGGTGATACTGAGAAAAACGCACCGCGTTGCCAGATTTACAACGTTCAATAGCTATCGAGAATCGGAATGCATTTTTAATGGATCATTAGTGTTAATGAGTCTATAAATATTTAACGATCGTTCTTGCAACCGGCTGTATATGTTTTAGCAAAAAAGAAAAATTTACGAATATCACAGTTGCACATTGCTAAAGAACTCACTGAGCAAAACATTTCTTAAATGTCCTTTAAAACTGGTAGGATGGAGTATCTTGATGTTTGAGTGATGATTCTATCGTTCATACATGTTTCAATAACTTACTTTCAAGATGAAGGGAAGCAAAGATAGCAGTCTATAGTTGGAGCATTTCTGGCTATTTTTAATAATTGAATCCCATAACTGTTACTGAAAGTAGTGAAAATTACCTACAATTCTATTCTTGTTTTTAAATAGTTTAGGAATTTCATTCTTGAATTCTTTAAGTAGTATCTCCACTTATATTGTGCCTTTGTAGATTTCATTTTTTCAATATTCTCTTTAATTTTGTGGGGTGTTGTGGTTTCTAACTTATATATAGTTCTATTAAATAACTTTCTTGGTGAAATGATACTAGTTTGAGATTATTTATGTGCTAATTCTGGATCAATTTTAGTGAAGACTTAATTCATCTGCAATAGGTACAATACCAGTTTTATTTTCCATGACTCTGCAATATGTTTACAGCATTATTTTCCGTTAATTATTCCCATTAACAACAACAACAAAAAACCTTAAAATGTCAAAACTTCCTACATTTCTCGAGTTTCTGACAATTAGACAATAGTATAAGGTCGTGACTTCATAAATGATCTAAGACGTGCATCGGTATTTATATTGAAAATACTATATCTAATTAACACTATATTATTTTAACAGAGTTTAAGCATAACGGCGGCTCTTTTGCCATCCCTACAAGCACAATACAAAATGGACCAAGTCAATAGCACAGGATTTACGGGAAACAAAGCGAGGTTCACTATTGATCTACCGCATCATTCTCTTAGCTTTACAACGAAGCTACCGCAAGGTTACAATCAAAACGAAAAGACTGATACTAATTTACCATCAGAGGCTAGTATAGCTCTACCAGCTGTTCACGTAGTAGCAGAATATATCCCAGAAACTGCGGCTGGCGGTTTAAGAGAAGGCCATCGAGGTCCCGAAGGTGTTATTTTTAGACAGGGAGGATATTTAAATGCAAACGCCGACATTGGTGTCTTTGAGCATAGTCTTAGCACGGATCTTCTAAATCATCTTGTTTTCGTTCAGAAAGTTTTTATGAAAGTAAGTGTAATTCCTACAGAATTTTTTATTATATGACGCAAGTAATGCGTCATTAACTAATATAACATATATTTTATAATTAGGAAGTTAATGAGGTAGTTCAAAAAGTGTACGGAGGTGAACGACCAGTACCAATATGGTTGGAAGATTCAGAAGAACCATCAAACATTAATAGACTATTATTTTCATTAGTAATTAAAATGCAGAGGATGCAACTTACTGCCACCACAGCAGGCAGTTCTGCCGTGCGTTTAGAAACAGGTACTTTATTTTTGAAATTTAAAATTTTACTATACTTTAAAAATAAATGTAACTTGTGATGTTTTAGGTGCTGTAATGTTGGAGTTATCTAATAGGGTTCAAAATTTATCCGGTTCGACGAAAAGAAATTCAAGCACTAGACTTTTTGGAAAAGCTCAAGTTGATTTAAATGTTTCTTTGGGACAGTTAATAAGAAATGCAGTATTTGAAGAGGCTGATATAGAATACCAACCTGTGGCGTTCTTTAATACCCGAATTGCTCTTAGAAATGCTTTTCAAGTAAGTCATAATAATTATGAACGTATTCCCATATTTTGTATTTTTTCATTTCTTTCAGGATGAACTAATTGAAGGAGAAGACAAAGAGGTCGTTCTTATAACTCTTAAACGGCCTCTTATCTATGTCCAACCAGTAGCTGTGGATAAAGCCATTCTTGTATGGTTAAATTACAAAAATGCATATGAATATTGGACCGAAAAACGTGCAAATCTCAATAAAGAAGTTCTTGGTGCGACCCAACCAGTCTACGAGAAATTCCAATTTGGACAGCTGAGCCAGCTGGGTGGACCTTATGTTGGAACTCTATTTTTGCAACTTACTGTCGAAGATATGGGAATTTGTTTGCCATTGAATCCATTGCCTTTAGCTACGTGGAGTCAACGGAATGTTTATGATGATAATAATAGAGGAGCCGTTGTTATTACTTTAGAGAACACTAATATATCAGGTACTTTTAATAAGATCTTGAAATAATCATATTAAATTTTTTTTCGTTCATATTTGAATGTCAATATCTATTAATTTGACATATAGTACGGCCAAAAACAAACCTTCACAGTATCAAAGTTGTTATTCACGTGTAACTGGCAACGTCAATACCACATGTCCTTTTCTCTCCTGTCTATGCGAAAGTTATTTACTATTCACTCCAACACAAGAAAATCAGTACCGGAGGTTTGATCTTGCCGGCCCTGTATGTATTCTAAACCATAATAATTTTATGACAATATGCGAAACATTTTTTAGCCTGCAATTCTGGTTCACTTGTTAGCAAGGGAAAGTTCTCGAATCTTTGTCTACGGTTTGCTGACGATTTCGAAAATTCCCTAGACGACTGGAAGCCAGATATGACGGATTCCTCTATAATGAACCTTTGTGTAGTAACCGAAGGTACCTACGAAGTCTGCAGCAGAACGATTGCAGCTAAACAACCCATTGGTAAGTGCCGAAAATCACCACTGTCACCATGTATTAAATAATTGTAATCTTTAGAAAACGCCAAATGGTTCTTGAATGTTCAGTGGCAGATGGAAGGTGTGGATATTCAATTGGACACTAACGTGGGCAAACAATTGTCAGCTTTAGGTCACACTTTGACAATGTTGACAGGCGCTGAAGACGCCGGCGGAATTCCCTTAGACTACGATAGTGACGAGAACGAACCAGGAGATGGCACTAGGGCGTCACAAGAAAGTATTTTACCAGCTTTCATGTTTGATCCATCATTAGACAACAGAAGCCGATCCAAACTTATAGAAAAAGAGATGAACGAGCAAGCAAAAATAATTAACGATCTTAGGTCCCTTGGTGCTTCCCACGGTACTATAGAAATGGAATTGAGGAGGTTGCAAGAACTAGAAACAATGGTTTATAAGGATTTTAGAAGGTTAGTTACTTTAGTTAGCTATTTGATTATTTTTAGTTCCCCAATTTGGCAAATAAGAATACTTTTGAAATCACAGACGTTTTACTCAGAGGCTATTTGATTTACACATTTGAAACAGTTGTAGTGAGTAGTGACCCAAATATAGCCGTTAATCAAAAAAAGAGATTTATTTTTGGAAAGGGGGGTAAATGTATAATTAAAAACAAACTGTGATGCTGTCATGTGGGGTATCAAATGAAAGCTCTTTTAAGCACCATTTCAAAAATGTATAAGTATGTCTAAAATAATAATGCAAATCAAATGTAATTTTGTAACTTCAACATTTCCTCACAAAATTAACATTAAATCACTTTTATTATTTCAGTGGTTAATACTTCCCCCTGCATTTTGCTTTATTTTAAATACCCACTTACTTTGAATCAACCTTTTATTTTCTGGCAAAGTTACTAAGTCCCAGGTATCATTTTCACCAAAGAATCCATTTCTTCTTTCATGGCTGTTCTCCACTGTTCTTCTTCACCAGACTGAATTGCTGCAGTATAAAAGTTTGGAGCTTCGCACTCGGCAAAGAGTAAATACAAGTTAAAAGTTGAATCTTACTACAAAGTTTGTAATTGTGGTGTTCAATATTGTCCAAATCATGATTCTTGGACTCAAACTCATCCGACTCATATTGTATTGTTACTTTATCACTTTCGTTCTCTTTGTCTAGTTCAACTTTTTCATTAGTATTTTCTTGAACTATTTGTATATCATATCTTTTCAAAATTTCCTTAATATGCTTTTTATTTTGGTGGCAAAGCCTTTCGTGCCATAACTGAATATTGTCCAAAGACAAAGATACACATAATTCTGCAGGAACTGAGGCAACACAAGCTTTCATGTCTAAAACATATAGCCCCTTCGATGTTCGTCTTCCAGATATTCTTGTTAAACCATCTTTCATAACTGCACATCCATTACAATCTGCTTGAAACTGACAACCTTTACTAATGGTTTGTTCCACAGAAAACAAGTTTCTACCTACATCTGGAACGTACCATACGTTTTCAAGGTGGTTTTTCTGCCATCCGTTTAAAATTTTCATTTGGACATTTGACTGATCCATGTCCAAATGAATAATATCGCCATTTCCAACTTTTATTTCTTTTGGTGAATTAAATGGCTCATATGTATCAAAATAATTTCTATTACTGGTCATGTGTGCCGATGATCCAGAATCAGCCAACCATTGCTCAGATTCAGAAATATTCTCATATTTTTCTCTACACATGGAAATGCGTCTCCATCTAATTTAGTAGTTTCTTTTAAGGATTTATTTGGACAATTCTTAGCAAAATGACCTATTCCGTGGCATTTATAACATTTTCTGACACGTTTTCGCCACTTTTTAATTTCCTTATTATGATTTGTAGTCTTTTTCATAACCAAAGCATATGATGACTCTCCTTGTGAAGATTTTTCAGGTAACCTCATCTCTATCAGACGCAGACGTTCAGTAAGATTATAGATATTTCTTTCATCAATTGGGATCGACTTCCAAACGGATTTAACCTCAAAGTATTCCGCTGGTAGTGTAACAGTAAATCTGGCAGAACAGTCTTAACTAATCTTTTTAATTCGTCATTGAGCTCCGTAAAATTTCTCTAAAGATGAGAAATGTGGGTAACTATATCGACACTAGGATCTATTTGAAAAGTAAAAAATTGCTCCATTAAACGATCAAGACGTTTTCCCGAACTCTGTTCATATACTGATATAAGTTTTTCCTATATTGAATTTGCATTATCACACGTTGAAGTTAACTGTACATTTGCTTCATTCATGCTACCAACAAGTATTAATTGAGCAAATGCATCACGTTTTTTAAACGTTCTCAGTTCAGTTTCATATTTTTCTCGAACTTTAGCAGTTTCATCTCCATTTGGTTCATCAGGAATCTTGGTATTACCTACGACTAACTCAAGCACTTCTTGGTGACACAATAGCAACTCAATTTGGCGACGCCATGTCGTCTAGTTCGACGCTCCTTCTAATTTATCGATGTGCGGTTTGAACTCCATCACAAAGGATACTTGTATGAAACCCAAAATTCAAAACTTCGTTACGTAACAAACCTCATGATCTAACATGACTTGGGCTTGAACTTATAAGGTTGTGACTATGAAGACTTGTGTCTAAAATAATAATGCAAATCAAATGTAATTTTGCAACTTCAACAATAATTAGCAATACTACTTATTTTAAAACAACTACGATACGGAACAAGAACTACTATTGGCCTTTTTTGTGTCTATTAAAAGAATGCTGTTAAAATGCCAAATAAATGAATAACTAAAGCGAATTGTAATATTTTATTATTTTTCACTTTTAAAGCAGATACCTTTATTGATAAAACTAAAAAACTTTTATCTTCCAGGGATATGTTGTCGAAACTTCGACGTCAGAGTGTAAGAGCTTCATCAATCAAAGGAAAATTTGGCTTGGGTTCAAAAACAAACAGTTTTAGATCGAAATCGTTTGTCGTACCCAGTGCAATGCCCGAAGGAAGGGACAGGTAGAGTACTGTAATATATATGTTCATTTAGGATGTATTTTAGTTTGCACTTTTACTATATGTATTATAATTTATTATTTATTCTATCACTTCACCTTTTTCTTTTCTTATTGTCTTTAGGTCAAAGTCTTTAGTAGTAGTTCCTAGTACGATTCATGACAGAGATACGAGGTTTGTATATTTCATGGCATGTGCATTTGTTAACTATTTTCAATTTCTATTTACTTGGTTTAAAATGCATAAGAACGCTGTATATGAATTCTAAATTGTTTATCAGGTACCTAGAGGATACTTTATTAATATTATTTACATTTACAACTATAATAAAATGGGAAATTCTCCTAAGAAAAGAAAAATATTGAAAATATATGACAAAAAAAATCTTAAGAATTTTTTGTCTTTTAAAAATAATTACTAGATAGTTAAAATTGAGTACTTCTAAGCCGTAATCTGAAGCATTGATTTGCAAAGAAAATGGAGCCCTTCTCATGCTAATTGTAGAAAAATGCTTCTCTTTTTTGCAAATAAACCGTTATTTTTATTATTGCTATAATACTGTCTGAAAACAAAATTTTCTAACATCTAAGTTAAAAAAAAAGAAGATAATGAATGTACCATTTTAGTAAATCTAAAACAGGAAATGTTCAATGCTCAGTAAAATATAACGCTTTCCTAACCAACAAAAAAAATTAATATACTTAGATTTGTGGAGAGAGTTAAAAGTTTATTTCCAAAATAAGTGTCCTTGAATGCTTATTTATTTACGAAAAGTTATTAAAAAATCTGAACTTGTTCAGGTTCCATTTTTTCAAAACCTTATATCATACTCGCCTTCTTATGTGTTTTTCCTAAGTATATTTTGTTACCACACATTATCAATTCATAATGATTAATACTTGACACAAAAACACTAAATTATTTGAAGTTTTATTAAGTTATTTATAAACCTATAAAGACCTAAATTTCAATAATTCATATTTAAGCTAATTTTAATAAATTTTACTAATACCGTATCTTCAAAAAAAAGAGTACATAATCTTATTTAAAGAATGCTAACCATTTGTACAAAAATAAACAATTAAACATTCTTAAAATATTTCAGACATTTTATCTTGAATCTAATAAACAAATTAATAATTCAAATTCTGGATATTTAAATGTCCTAATGAATGAATTGGTTACATATTTTTTTTTGTTTTTCAATAAATTTGTTTTCATGGTAATTTCATTTTTTATTATTATTTCATAAGGATAATTTAAAAAAAAAATGTATTTTAGAATTTCCAAAGAATGTTTATTTTTATCTTGTTTAAATCTAATTTTAAAGAAGACAGATTATTTTCGTCATAGCTCAAAATATACTGAATTACATCAAAAAATCATTTTAAAAATAATATTTCGAAACTTTCAAAAATTCGGTGACTTTCAATTAATTTGGTTAACATTTTCCAAAAAGTAATAACCACAAATATCTCAAAAAATTGTACTTTTGTCTTTCCATTTACAACATTACACCTTTTTACTTCCATCCTTATTATTATTATTATTAATAAATTATATTCTATATTAAAATTCCAAAATAGTGGGCACTAAATTCACAGAAATGGTTGTGACGTGTTTGCGTTAATCTATCTCTTCCAGTGGTGTACGGACAATATCGTAAAAGGTTTAGACTAGGCTTCTTTTTTGTTCGACTTAAAAATGGGCAGAGGATCATGTAATAAATAAATAAATTGAGGAAATGTCGTGAGTTGCAATATTATTATTCATTATTGTCTGAAGAAAACTCGTCGGATGACGAACACATATAATCGCCATCGCTATTATTCAAGTTGATAATCAATGGTTAAACTGCACCATCCATTCTAATGTCGAGATCCCACATTTTGTCTTTTTCTTTTATCGTGTGGCTGATGCAATTTTTCCATGACTCAGGCGTGACATTTTTTATCGCCGTATCTAGCAGGCTTTTTTACCTTTTCGAGACAGTCTAGGCGTCTTTCAAGATCATTAGGGAGTAAACCTTGGACAAAGTGTATTTTATAAGGATGATATTTATTGTCTTTTAATATTCTTTGGATGCTACTTTTGCTTATTCCAATTTCGAGTGCCAAATCTCTAATAGAAACATGTGGATTTACATGAACGTAAGCCAAAACGTGTATAACATTTTCTTCATTTCTGATCATTCTGTTGTGTCCTCCATGATGTTTACCGTCAGGAAAATGTCCTTGCCTAAGACTTCTTTCTAAATTGGAAAACGTTCTAACTGAGGGAATTGCTCTATTTGGAAAACGTTCATAGTATAATTGTCTAGCTTGTCTTGAATTCTTGCGACATTCGCCGTAAATAATTATCATATTGGTGTACTCGTTGGAACTAAACAGATTAGGCATTTTGAAATAATTTGTTAGGACTTGACAAACTCTAAATTATTGCAAACTTTATTAAGTAAAAACTGCTAACTTTATCGAGTGCACTTCTGTTTGACAAGAGACAGATTGATATAGGAGTGCGTTTAGAAACCACGCACGGCGCGTCTGGACCCTATTCTAATGTACGTGGTCAGGCGCGCCGTACGAGGTTTCTAAACGCACTCCAGTATTGTTTATAATGCGCTAAAAAAGTTACCATGAATTTGACAGCAAGCAACTTGATGAAAATGAAAAAAATAACGAATCTCAATTATTTATGGAGCGATTTAAAAATTTTTAAAACAGTTGTACAGAGAAAAGTAGCGACTACAAAAATGAGTAGAAAAAAAATTAGGGTGTCGTTATTAATATTTGAGGGGGTTGTTCCAGTGGGGTAGTTTTTGAGGGTGGGTCATCAAATTTTTATTTGTTTTAAAGTACACCGCCAACTATAATGGATGACTTTTGTCCGGTTCAATTATCTTACATGGTTTAGAAGTTACAGCATGGGTAAAACAATTTGGGACACCCTGTATATGTACGCAACTTTGCCATTTAAGTTTTAGACGCAGAATATCATTCAATTTTTTATATTCTTTTAATAAACATGATGTTGCTGAATACATTTCATTAAGGACAGCGTCTCCTAGGAATTTCTGAACAAAATTATGTCACTTTAGATTCAATCAAGGAGGTGCTGTTACCTACCGACTAGAGATTGAATTAGTGCAAATTATTACAGAAATCTTTAAGTAACTATAAATATCGACCGACTAGCTATTAGGGGATATTGTATTATAAACCGGTTTTTAGTAGACTGAGTTCGAAGAATCATAATAATAGTCCTGAACATAAAATCTATTTTTCAATAATTGCCGGGATTTCACCAAATAAAAAAAATTATTTCGCGATTGTGAAAACGGTCCAATCGTTTTATATGCCATTTATAATATTATAAAAATGTTAACTCTAGGACTCATTTTGGAGTATGAGCATACTTTATTTCAATACTTTTATTGTACTGTTTCATAAAATATTACCTACTTATTACATTTTATTTTTATCGAAAATTGACTTTGTTTCCTGGACCAAAGTAAAGAATGTAGATGGTAACAACCAAAACGATATCTTGCCTTACATTAAATATAAATATTTCCTAAAATAAATAATTTGGTTTATATACGGGTAGTAATACGAGGGATGTTTATAATTTCAAGTCACGAATATAGAGTCGTTTCAAAATATATTGCGACAATAATTGCGTCACATTGAGTCGGAGTGGGACGCTTATTGACGTGTTGCAATTCGCAATATATTTTAAAACTATTCTACCTAATTAATAAATTGTGATTTTGAAGTATCGAATGAAAACTATATTCTCATTGGTTAAAGATGGAAGTTTTTGTCATTTGAATGTTCAAGAATATTAATTGTGATTAATTGGTTAAACACCGAAGTTATCTGTTATCTGATGTTGGTACTAACCTAATGTTTTTGGGTAATTTTGACTGTCATTTCCTGGAATTTCCAGACCCGCATAAATATTTATCCTATTAAAGTACAAAAACCCTACAATAGATATTATGAGTAGGTATTTAACATTCATTTATCTTATCTTATCTTAGGTAGTTATTTCCCTGATTGTCAATAACACATTACCGTATATCTGTGCCAATATGACGTCACGACTTTTAATATACTTAATGAAGGCTGGGGGAAGGAGTTAAGAGTCTATAAATTTACAAACAAGCTTACGGGTATTTAGTTTTCAAAATTACATTACACGTTTCTGAAGTGTTTTATTGTGCTGTTTGTTTTTAATAAGTGTTATTTTCTTTAATAGAAAATTTATTTATTTGTGCCAAGTGTCCTAGTGTACATTTTAATCAGTTTTATTTTTGGATAAATTGACATCGACTTCCTGCATTAAAGGTAGGTAGTATTTTTTTCTATCACTCTCGAGTTCGCCATTGAATAAAAAAATTAAACGCTATAATTTTAACATTCAAATATTTGCAATTAAAAAATAATATTACGTATTAAATTGACAATAAAAAAACTTGTTATTTAATAATAATGTTTCATTATTCTGAATATATTTTTTCTACGATTAATATCCAAAGTAGGTAGGCTTTTGCACATTAAAATCTAAATAAAAAGTTGACGTTTTCTGCGAATTGTCATAATTTGACATTATTGACGCACATTACCTAATATTCAAACCCATTTCCATGCTTAAAAATAGAAGATGGTGACATTCATTTAAAAGAAAACCATAACTACTTTTACCAGGTGAAAAATTTCAATATGTTAAAATAATTCATGATTTTTAAGAAATGTGCTAGAAATGATACTACAATATTAATATTCTTTTTATGTTTGATTTTCTAATAATGATTTTATATACTTTTAGATTCAAGGACAGCTAGGTATAGCTCCAAGAAAATTATGCTGCTTTGTAGTATATACTGGAGATGAAAATCCACTATTTGTTGAAAAAATTAATTTTCAACCCATTTTTTTTTTTTTAAATATGGTTGAAAAATTAGAAAAATTTTACTCGGAATATATGGCACCTGAGATAATTTTAAATAGAAGATGACGAGGATTAAAATGTCTGGATACCCCATATAATGAAAATTAAAGTGCAAAGATTAGCAAATTTATAAAAATAATAATTTAATGGACTTTAATCATACAAGTACTTGAAATAATGGTTTTTTTGCGCATAAGCATGTTCATACGTAATTTGCAATTGGTAATCACTAATCACAGATGGAAAAGTATATACGTCAACGATACGTTCTTTTATTTTTGATTTATTTTAACAGGTATAATATATGGTATGTTACTTATAGTATAGATTTTTTTATTTCTTGACCTAATTTATTTGTTACGTCTTCAGCAATTGTCGCTTTCAGTTGACATAAACGAAATTGATAAAAAGTGTTTTTCGCATTTTATTTTGACTGTTTCTCTTACTTTCGAATAGAAACTGAGCTTTGTAAACTTAAAATGACGGATATGTCAAACTAAAACTGACGGTAAAATGAAACATTGAGTATCGTTAAATGCAACTTTTGAACTAGTTTCAAAAATAGCATTAAAATGATATCATTCACAATGTACTAATTTCCTATACTTTTAGTTGATAAATAACCGATAATCATACATCACAAAACAAATAGGCGCGTGTCAAAAGGCCACCGGCGAAAAAAGAGTGCCGATGAAAAAAGGTCGTTTCCAATTGTATCATATAAACAGTATCAGAGGCAGTATTATCATCTCGTTTATCCCCCGTAAACACACATAATATAAACGGAAATAATCAAATACTAGTCAAAATATTATCGATCGGAGCACCATCTTTATTACATTACATGAAGTAATTATTGATTTTTCGGGGTTTATTTAGAGTTAAATTAGACGCCATTTTTGGTCCAAATTCGTTTTGACATGTTTTTTCAAAGAAAGTGACTTATAAATTTCAAATCTACACGTTTTGAAAAATATACAATATTTGAATATTCTGAGTGTACCAAATTCCAAGTAAAGGTTGAACTTAGGTCGTATTACATTTTGTTTCTATTATTTGTTTGACATCGAGGTTAAAATAAATCTACACGGCACCTTTGAGATGAAATAAAAGGGGGTTATTTTACACGATTGGTTTTTATTGAAAATAATAAATTTATTAATTTTCAATAGTAAGGTGACCTAAGTTAGACCTTTATTTTTAATTTGGCCAAAAATTAGATTTTTAAACACTACATATTCGGAAAACTGTCGATTTAACTTTTGGTCTACACATACACTTTTAATACACAGGGATACCCCGTCCTTAACGAATAAAACACGTTGTTCTATGACTATTTATAGGCATGTGAATTATTAAAATAGAAAATGCTAAAATATCTAGAATCACAACCTGGCAACAATGTTTTCGTTTTAAAGCAATAATATTTCTGAGAATTTAGTGCCTACTATTTTGGAACTGAACTTTACCATTTTGTTGTTTCTTATCGGTAGGTAATATTTTAGTAATCAAATGGTTTGTCTTAATAATTTCACTACACACTCTTTTTCTCCGTTAAAACTTTTATTATCTTCTCTTCTTATTTGCATTCTAATGCTAGTCTTATTTTATTTCACTTTATTTTTTTAATTACACATTAGAGAATAGAGAATAAAATTATCTGAACCGACTCAAAAAAACTACACTATTGTAGAAACTCACATTAACATTGTTTAACTTTTTTCTTAAATATTTTGTAGATTTTTCAGGTTTTACGATCATAGCACATTTTTGTATTGCAGCATATTATGTGTTTGTAAATAGCAAATTATTATTTTTAATATCTGATAGTTTTATTCGCTTTTGTATAAATTCTAGCCCGGAAATAGCAAAAACCAGCCTTGAAACAAATGTAGCTAGTAGCTATGAAAGTTCACCTAAATCTGGACCATCACGATCCGCGTCTTTAAGGGTAAAAGCTGGAGATGCTGGTCCTAGAGTGACCTTCAGTGACACTCAGACGATGGGAAGGTAGTGTTCCATTTTTATTATAATTTGGTATAATTATGTAATTAGAAATTTTTAAGATTAGTATGTATTGAATCATTTTTATATTGTATAAGAACGTAAAATAATCTATTTGGACCTGAGTTTATCGATCATTCATTAAAATAATAATGTTTAGAATATTGTGTTAAAAAACAAATTTTCAATGGACATCGAGCTAATGTCAACATTTTTAATTATCACAAAGTGTAATACAAATTATTAGTTATTTTATGTTCTTTATAAAGTTTCATTTTTAAAACTAAATTTACCAAATAAAGGTGACCTTAAGTGCATTCTAATGCTATTAATATGAATATGAATATGAATCATCGCTTAATTAATTGTAAAATTAGAAAAACTTTGTTTTAATCACTACATTGCACTAGCACAGCATATGCAATTACTGTAAACATATGGTTATTTTAAGAGAATATCGCAAAAAAATATTGTGTTTTAAGTGTTACTTTTCATTTAATTTATCGTCGCAAAATGTCTTAATAATGACATAATATTTTTGATTCTTTCTTTCAATTAATTTTTAATTATCACTTGTATAGTTAACGTTTCCAGATTGTAAAATATTTTCCAACTCAAATTTCAAAAAATATTGAAAAATATGACAGAAAATATAAATTAATGGATCTACCATTGTTTTCTGATCAATAACCCATAATTTTTCGGAATACTAAACCGATTTTTCATTCTATTACATAATTTTTTGTTTTAGGCAAAAATCTTTACCAAGCGCTAGTTCAGATTTGAGTTTACCAGAAACCCAACTAGGTGATTGGGTGGATCAAATAGATATAGATGGAGAAACGGTAACACTTCGAAAGAAACTACCAGCATCATACGAGTCTGTCGAGGGGTAAAGTTTAAATTCAATAAATTATTAAAAAAAATATTGTCAAGACGAGATAAAAATTAAACACTTTAGAGATAATGTCAAAATTACCACTACAAATTATTATTATAATTTTTTATATCTTACAGATCTATTTTAACTGATTCCTTTTCCGATGTTACTCCAAACTCCCATTTTCAAAGCGGAAACATGAATACCTCCAATATGCAACAGAAAGCACAAGAGCCAAATATTGATCTTGAGTTAGATGTTAAAGTATTCATAAATAGTGGAAAATGTGCGTTACATACTAAAGATCCACTTCGAGAAGAGGAAGCCAAAATGTAAGTTCAGTTATCTCTACCAGCGTTAGAAATGTTAAAAATGGGAAACTTGGTATGTTTAAAATAATACCAAACACTTGTTCTTCGGCAACGACTATATTACGACTAACTACTTCAGCACTATATCGTCCTATGATAAACATGACATTCAATAAGTAAGCAAGAGAGGGCGCTAGGTGCATCATAATAAGGAGGATATTTCAAACTTTACAACACCCCCACAAGTTTGAAATAATAATTCTTAAAAAAAAATAAAAAAGAAACTTAAGCGTTCGAAACCCAGGTGTTTCAAAAACTTGTAATGTTTGTTTACTTCCAAGGCTTTTGTCAGGATATCTGCAGGCAACTCATTTGTCTGCAAGTATTCTGTATGTATCGATCAAACCACTTGTTACAGTTTCTCTAATGAAATGATGATGAACATCTATGCGTTTAGTCCTTTTATGAAACATGGGGTTTGACGTAAGCTTTAGGGCACTTTGACTATCACTATGAATTGAAATACAATTAAAGGTTTCGAAAATATGTGACCTCCTTAGCTGTGCTAAGGCCATATATTCGGCCTCAATGCTTGAGAGGGTGACTGTTTTTTGTTTACTGCTCTCCCAAGACACAGCTGAATTTGAAAAAATGAAACAAAAACCTGTAGATGACTTCTTATCCAGAGAATTACTGGCCCAATCAGCATCTACAAAACCTTATAGACTTTTTGAGTCTTTCTGAAACTTTAAACATATGTTTTTGGTTTTCTGCCAGTGAGTATTTTCAAAACAGTTATTAAACTGACTAATAAAATTAACACTATAAGATATATCTGGCCTTGTCGTGACATTAGGCCACCTATTAAATGTTGATACGGCAAGGGATCGCAACTTTCACTTTTTGATAAATTTAAATTTCTCTCCATTGGCGTATCGACAGTTTTGCAGTCAGACATCCCAAATTTAGATAATAAATATTCTATGTAATGTCTTTAGTCCAATATTATGACATTTCTTGCATTGTCTATACAGATGTTCATTCCTAAAATTTGCGTAGCCTGGTCAAGATCTTTTAACTTGAAATTAACCGTTATTTTCTTTTTTAAAACATTTGACACAACAATATCATTTGAAAAAATGAAGAAATCATCAACATACAAGGCAATGACTTTCATTAGACCCTCATTAAACTTAATGAAGACACATAGCTTAAATTTGGATTTATTGTACCCTAAATTAGTTGAAACATCTTCGACGTTCTTGTACCAAACACGAGAGGATTGTTTTGGGCACATTTCAATTTTAACACTTTATTTGACCCATCTGAATTTACAAAACCTTCAGGTTGGCTCATGAAAATGGTCTCTTCTAAATGACCATACCATGTAAAAAGGCTGTGGTTACGTCAATATAGAAGATGTCTAAATCAAATTTTACATTTAAAGCTATTAACCTTAGGGTAGAGTGCCTAAAAACAAGCGAAAAGGTTTCATTATAATCTATCCCTTCTATTTTGGTAAAACCCTTAGCGACTAACCTACCCCGGTAGGTTTTATTGTTAGCACTGTCAACCTTCACTTTGAATACCCATTTACACTGCACTAAAGCATTATATTTTGGCAAATCTGCCAGTTCCCAAGTTTCATTGTCCTGGAGACTCTTCAACTCGTCGGCCATGGCCTGCCTTCACAGGCTGCCATCAGGTCATGATAAAGCCTCTGTGACACCGACTGGAGCTTCATCTGGGTAGTTCTCAACAGCTGGACTTAAATAAGTCACATATTCATCAATTTTTTTGACCTTTTTTTATCTTTCCAACTTTCTAGGCACTACACTATCACTAAAAGACTCTTCTGATGTGTTAACTGGCACGTAGTCACTGTCACTTGGATTATCTGCTATTAAGGTATCATCAATGGAACTTGTGGTTAAATCTGAGTTGTCTTATTGGATTAAGCTAACATCTGAGTTATCTTCCCCCACTGAAATTGGTAATTCCTCCTTGTTTTCAGCAACTATGATGTCAAAAATCTTAGTGTTTAGATCCTCATGGATATATACATCTCTGCTAGTTGTTTTTAGGATTATAAACTCGATAGCCTTTTATTTCTTCAGAATATCCTACCAAAATATGTTTATTAGATTTTTTGTCAAATTTCAGACGTTTCTCTTTTGGAAAATGTACCATAATTGTACTACCAAAAATACGCAAGCTTGATATGTCAGGTTTTTTACCATACCACAGTTCAAACGGAGTTTTATCATTTAGGCCACTGGCGATACATCCATTTCTTAAATAGTTAAAAGTATACTGCCTCACCCTAAAATCTCTTACCTAGTCCATAATCGAACAAGAGGCATCTTGCCTTTTCTACTATGATTCGGTTGAATCTTTCGGGAGTATAGGTTTTTTTTTTTTTTGATGAATTATACCTACTTTCTTTAAATAGCTCTCAAATTCTTTACTACAAAACTCGCCACCTTGGTCAGACTGCAAATGCCCATTCTTCGTAATTTTCCCGCCTGACGAGTTTCGGGACACTGGTTAAAAATTTTTCCGAAATTTTTGCACGAAACTGAACAAACTGCGCGACTGTTTCCGATTTAACGTGGATATACACTTAGGGTGAGATTACAGAACGTCTGCAACTTTGCAGATCAGCAACTTTGCAGATCTGCAAATATGGCGGACTTACAAATGCAAGTATTCCAAAAAATATCTGCAAATTCGCAATATTTATTGTGGTTTATTACCCCAACAACACTAAACCCAAATTTGGAATACAAAAACTTGATATTTGCATGTGTAAGTCAGTCATATTTGCAGATTTTCAAAGTTGCTGCCATATTTGCAGATCTGCAAAGTTGCAGACGTTCTGTAATCTCACCCTTAGTTTTTCTAAAACGCGAGTGTCTAGGTATGGTCTGGGCACATAACCTGTTAAAAATGGGAAACTTGGTAGGTTTAAAATAATACCAAACACTTGTTCTTTGGCAACGACTATATTACGACTAACTACTTCAGCACTATGATAAACATGACATTCAATAAGTAAGCAAGAGAGGGCGCTAGGTGCATCATAATAAGGAGGATATTTCAAACTTTACAAGAAATAGGTCTATGAATTCTCCAGTCTTTTAACAATATATTTAAGACCATACTTAACGAATGTTACTTTGAATTCTTGTAATTTCTATCTGTTTTTAAATACATGTTAAATATGTTTAAGAACTCGTATGAGGAAAGACAGAAGCTGTTCCGCCGGTCTTCTAGAATTTCCAACGACCGCTAGTCCGGATGCGATTCGTAAAAATAAAGAAAAAATATCTGGTCAATATAGCGCTTCAAAACTCAAAAATACCCACACGTCTATTTCTGACATCACAATCTTTCACATACCTGGTATGGATGTCAAAATTCAATATCAATCTAAGGTAAAGGAGCATTCAGTGGAACTGAACGAACTTTAATAATCGATGATACTAAAACTGTTTACATTTTAGGTCATCACTGAAGATAGTACCACTGAGAGAACCGAACCATCACCAGATTTCGACAGGGCATTCCAACAAGCCCCAAATAAGTCGCATACAGAATCTGATCAAGTAAGAATTGACAGAGCATTTAAAAGGCAAGAATCTAATCCAGTCGATGTGAAACCGAAATATCCATCAGATTTGGAATTGAAAGGTTCTAGCTCTATGCAAGGGATTACCAACCCCAATTATGGACATAGCCCTACATCTAGCAAGACTAGTCTCGATGATCTTCAATTTGGCAACTTTACACCCCATAACGAATTTCAAAAACCTCCTAATATGACGTTTGTTAAAAAATCCGGAGTCAAAAAGGCATCTCTATTTGCTTGGATGACTTTACAGAGCGTGCCAGAGGAAACGATTATTAGTCCGCACATTCTTGAGTTCTTAGAGCAGACTCTGGAACCAATTCCAGTCAAAACCATTACTGATACAGGTAGGAAAATTTTTTCTATATAAATTATTTGACTTTCATAGCCACCCGGAATTTTAAAAGAAACTGCAGTATTTTTAACATTTTTCGCAATTACACCTATACTCAATTTTGCGAAGGGTTCACTTATGTATACTTTCCTAAAATAAGATTCTTGAGACCCCTTCGCATTCACTTGCGAATGTTCTATATTCTTACTTTGGCAACGTTACATTTATATTAAAATGACATTTTGAATGACAGCATGATATTAATATTTTGTATCATGGAATGACAGTTTTCATTATCTGACTGCCTTTAGCTCTTTAAAATTGCTTGGGAAATGTTAAAAATAATGTGGTTCATTTAAAGAACTGCTGATTTCTTTTGTACATCGGTACTCTGATACAAATAAACTTATACCAATGTTCATTGTATAGCTTCCTGGCGTAAAAAACCCTAAAGTTACTAAAACCTACAAACTCAGAAAACTGACATGACTGTTGACTTATGTCAATTATGTCATCAGTTTACAACTTAGACTAACTACTAACTAGACTTACAATCATAACAGCCAAGAATAGGGCTGCTGGACGCGATATATAAATGTTCTTAATCGTTTTTAGATACGTCTCTTTTGACAACTGAGCAAGATTTAACAAATTACGGCAACTATGTATACGCAAGTTTTCCAGTTGATGTTATAGTATATTTTCACATGCAACCCAGTACGTTCAGATTCAGTTGCTTGCCAGTTTCGAGAGTCGAATGCCTTCTTCAGTTGCCGTCGTTAGATATAGTTTTTAGTTCAAAAAGAGCAGAAGACGAACTAATTTACAGGTATTAAATAAATATGTTAAATGCGATAGTTCTATATTTTTTATCGTTTTTATTTTATCTTCTAATTTCGTAGCGAATTTGGCGACGGAGCACCTAACACAGCAGCGACCGCAGTAGGCGGCTTAAGCGTTACGAGTTGTCTATCTGACTTCTCCGTTTATGTTTTTCACCCATATGGCGGCAAAAAGTCCGCCATCAAAGAAGCCCAGTGGTCGCCGTTATCGGATAGTGAACGAAAAGATTCCTTATCTATTAATGTAGAATTTGTTAAGTTCCACCTGTCTCGATCAAGGATGTTAAATTTTAAACAGGAAACAGCTAAAGGGAAGGGTGGAGATCAAAGCCGAGCTGTCATCAGGTTTTCTAGTAAGGATTTTTTATATATTTATTTTTATGTGCTCTGACTACTTTAACACGCCAGGAAAGTAAAAGTCTAGACAAATACCTAATTAAATATCTTTTTAAATTAATATAACGTTTGGCAAATAAAAATGTTTCTAAAATAGGCCATTAGAAAATACAAGTCACGGCTGTTATAATTGCAAAATGCCCGAATGAATTTCAATAGTGTCATTTAAAAGAGAATTGTATGTAGGATATACAGTATGTTAACTTTCCGATACTGACTCTAGGAATAGAAAAACAATCCCATCTAATAGACAGAAATAGAAGAAGTACATCGTCGACTGCGGACCGCAGTGTTCCCCCTTTGTCATTGAAAGGGCATATTTAAACCAAGTTTCTCTGTTTATGTTTCTCACGTCTAATTATAATTATGCGTCTCATCTTTATTTTGCTTGATGTGTTGATTAAGAGAGCTATTGCACTGCTAACAAATGCAATTAAAATGCGTGAATTTCGAGTATTTGGTTTTCATTCTAGACAGCGCAATATTGAATATATTTTATTAATTTTTTTTTGCAAAAAAATAAAGGCTTTGTCTATCATGCTAAAGGCGCTTTTGATTAAAATATAAAGGGTTCAACCAGAAAAATAACAATAAAATTGTTAAAATGAACCTAACTTTACCAGACACATTATTATATTAAAAAATTATTGTTTTTCAAATACAACGACGTAAATGTAGTTTTATCTTTTCTCAAGAGAATACGGAAAGGTTATTATTCCCATAAATATCTGTAAAACTGAATATTTTGACTCGCTTCTCTCCACGATTGCATTTTCATCGACGCATCGCTCGGCTTGACTCGTTTTCAATTGACTAGTGCAAAGCACTGCTCGATTTTTATCAGTGTCAACCTCACAAGTACAAATGCATTAATTATAATCTTTTTAGATTCTTAACTTTCGTTTAGATAAAACTAATAATTATTAGTTACATTCCTAAATACCTACACAGTTTGTGGAAAGGAAATATTGTTAATTAGTTAAGAGATGTTGCATTGTTTAAAATGTATTTCATTACTTTTTTTTTAAAGAATGGAACCATCATGTAAACGTTTTTAATAAAAACCTAAAGGGTATTCCATGAATGTTTATTAAAAAAAATTATATATAAATAAATTTATCAAAGGGCTTGTCCGAACTTAAATAAAGTACTTTCGGAAATGATATAATGAAAAGAGAAAAGAGTAACAACACATTTTAAACCGACGTTAAAAAAATTTAAAACAAACTAGTTTTGTTTTATTTTTGAATCTTTTCTTGTTATTTTTTTGTTTATATGTATATATAAGCTTGTGAGAGATTTTCTCAACTGGTTAGAAATACTCTCACTAGTGACGTTCGCACTGGATGTACTCGGGCACCAGTTTGTTTTGGAGTGGGTTGCTCCACGTTACCTGTTGAAAGTTCCAAGAAAGGCTGCAGGTAGCTACAGTGAAGAAAGAAAATTCCAGAGGGTCAACGATATTACAGTACTGGTGTAGTACCTGAAAAGAGATTACGACAAGGGACTGAAATGCCAAGTTTCAATTCGACACATATATTGTTACAAACGTTTCGGTTGATATTCGGTGAAGCTAAATAATTATATTTACAAGTTATTAGATCTAGCCCTGAACAAAATACACAAAAATTCGTAGCGGAAATTAATGGGCAAAATAAAATAAAAGCTCAATCGGATAAATGAGGGCGTTTATGAATAAAACGGTGTCGGGGAAACGGCGGTCAAACCAGAAGTACTACGTGGCGTTGTAGCAAGCCTACGGTCTTCGCCAGATCGAACTTTCGGAATCTTAGAGCTTTTAACTATTCAGTTATCCATAAAGCGGGAAATAAAGAGACACAACGGGGAGTGGACAGGAGCGGAAGTAATGTGCAACAGAGAAATTGCAAATCTAGCTACAGCCTAACGAACCACAAGATTAATATCCTGGCAACCCCTGAGGATGGCGCTCCAGGCTATGTAACTTCGTATAAATCAGACTCTGGGAGCGAAGCCGAATCAGTCCATTCTACCACTATACATCGACTTACAATTCAGAGTCCAATCAACTGGTCGGAAATTCACTAAAAGTCTAACTAACGGAGGAGACAGGGATCAGAATTAAATAAACCAAAAGATCGTTAATTGCGGAGCTAAAGAAAGAGATAAATACAGACTAAACGGCAGGGAAGGTAGCTAAGCTTCACTTCTGTTCAATAGCAAATCCGGAACATATCTGAGTTGGTTACCAAATTAGCCCATTCTACTGTGGGAGTAGTCACTGTCTTCAATAACAACTCGGACTCTAATTTAGGGAATTTTATAACGGAATGTACAAAAGAAATACTTAGGCTTAACAGGAAAGGGAAGGGACGGGAATCAAATCAATTAGTTACTTAATGCATGTCTAGAAATTCATGTTACTACATTAAAATGTTAAAATTAAAAACAATGATTGATTTATTTCTTTGCAACCCGGTATAATTAATTTTAAACAAAATATTCGGAGAAGTTCAAACCACTTCTAAGCTAATCACCCACCCGGTATAAATATTTTTTAAACTAATATGTATAAAATTAACGGAAATTAAATTTTGTACAACCCCGGTGTAACTAATTTCGAAACCAATATTTACAAGTTTTAGTTTAACGGTTTATTCAGTATTAATATTTCCTAAAACAAATCAAATTCTATTTATTAAATAAAAATAATCCGAGCTAATATTTAATTGAAATGAATTAAATTATTTTATACGGCTCTCAACGTTATTGTAAAATTAGCAGATAAAATCCGGATTTGCTTCCAAAATCCTACTATATTAAAGTGCCAATGTCTGTCTGTCCGTGCCTTGATCTCGGGATAAAGAAAGCCAAAACCTTATCGAGCTCAAATATAAACTAAGGACACTTGAGAATCAAAATGACACCAAAATCATGGTACCTACTTTTGTGGTTCCAGAGATATAGAATTCGGTAGAAAATTTAAATGAATAAAATCGCACTTGTAGAAGCAAAATGACACCAAAATCATGATACCCCTAGTCAAGAAGAATTTACAGAACACTATTTAAATGAAAATTATGATATATTTAATGATATTATATAATTATATACATTTCTTCAAACTTCTTAAACTTTTAATTTGCAAAAATGTACTATTAAAATGATACACGCGGCGCTACGCGCATTGGCATTGTATAACTTTTGAAATCTCAACATTTCGGCCCCCGGTTCTTCTGATAAGGTTGCAAATAAAAAAATTGAATAAAAAGAAAATATAAATAACTCGGATTCCTGCTGGTTTCATATGGTTTTCGGTACACACGGCTGAATTAATCTACAGGAATAATCTAATTACTTATCGAAATAGTGAACAACGGTCTCAAAACAACTAGTAGCGAGGAGAAATTAAAATTGAATGCCTCTCCGCTATTTTCGATCTGCCCACGTTCTTCAGCTTTCGCGTCGATTTCAAGTGCGCGAGATTGGTAGTGGGGACGCGATGAATTTACAGCAATAGAAAATTTAACACCTGGTTGAAATAAAATCGATAATTATTTGTAAATCGGGGGAAAATCAAGGAACTTTATGAAAAGGGTTGATTCAGTTAATTAAAAATTGGAATGAATTTTTAGTTCATTACAAGCTGGTTTCCTTAATGGCATCCCTCGTACGTGTCTTGGATCTACCAATTCTGGTAATATACAATTTATAAAAAAAAATAATTTTTTTCCATTTTGTTTTGCAAGAAATCATTTAGTAAGTACTCTACTTTGAGGGGGTATTTATGGACTGTCCAAACACCACATATTCCTCAGTTTTTTATCAATGATCCAAAACGGAATTTTATTTTTTCCTAGTGTCGTCTACTTCCATTTTATTTTTTCCTAGTGTCGTCTACTTCCATTTTATACACTGAATATTATGGACATTTTACCTCAACCACAAGATCATCGCCAACGATTCCATCTGGTGTTGCACATAAAAAATAATAATTTTTTACTTTTTTTCTAATGTTTTAATGTATACAAATAATTTGTGGTATTTTTTATTTTATCAGTAGTATACGAGGTTTGTCAAAAATAAAGCTACTTTACTCTTGAGAGAAAAATTTATATTTTTTGACGCACCTCTTATATGGCTCAACAAATTTAATATCTGATGGTGGAATTTTACATTTTAGACCATGCATAATTTTTTATGAGGAATATTTTTTTTTTCCTAAAACTAATAATAAAAAAGTTTTCCTCTATACTTACGTGGACAAGATGTTATTCAATTAACTACATTTTTTTTGTCAAAAAGTAATCTCTTTACTTACTTACTTTACTTTTGTCTTTTAAATTATCAAGATTTCTCAAAGGCATTGTTTCAAAATGTTTTAATTCTTCTAAAATAGATACATAGAATATATTTATAATTCAACAAACAACAAATTAATATTTTCTAAATTTAAAAATGTGCCGAATATTTGTAAAAAATTTAGATTTCAAACTTTCGTAATTTTTCAGATATTATAATTTCGCCATTTTCATTATTATTCATCTAAAAAAGTAATATAATTAATGTTCAATATTCTTATAATTATATAAATAAATATATGTAGGTAGGTATACAAAAAACAGTCATACCATAAAAATAGTACTTTACGTTATTTTCTTGCCCTTTTTTTGAAAAATTTCGTTATTAAATAAATTTAATCGTTGATATAATGCAGGCAATGTAAATACAATGTAACATGTTTTATTTACCTTATCCAAAATAATATTTGATGTTTTAGTAGAAAATTCGTCACGATCTTAAAGAAAAGAAATAATAAACAGTAATTTACTCAAGAATTGAAAATAATTATTTCGAACTCAAATTTAATTTTTTGAATTTGGACCGTTTAAATATTTTAAAAATCAAGTCTCATACGAAAGAAATAGGAACTTTAGAGAAATATTTTATATGTACTTACTTAATTTAGTTTCTTACCTAAAATACCATCTAAAATAGACCGAACAAAAGTCTTTACATGGTTTTTAAATTATTTCTCTTAACATAAGAATTCTTTCTTCTTCCCATGTTTTTAATATCTCAAAGACCACCCTCTACAATATTTAAAATACAAATTCTTAATAACACTAACACAATACACCGCGTAACGAATCTTTCAAATTATACTGAGTCCATCCCAAAACAATATTTGTCTATTCCGTGTCCTGTACGGTAATTACGGATGCAATGAATGTCTTTGACAATGGTTTCTATATTTTGAATATTAGAGGAGATACCTGATGCGAATTTCCCCTAAAACGAAATTCGAGCATCCAGAGCAATAACACATACTGTATATGTGTGGAAGTTTCAAGTTATGGATTAAAAAGTTGATAGTTGAATTACTCTTTAAACAACCCGTATTTTATTTTTTAGCTATTATTGATATTGGTTCGGCATCTTTTAAGTATGATATGCGAAGATTAACAGAAATCTTGGCATTCCCTAAAGCTTGGTACAGACGCTCCATAGTAAGAAGAATGTTCCTTGGAGATTTGAGCATGTCTACACCATTTAGTGAAGAAGACGATTCATTTACGTCTCATGCGTCACCAAACCTATCAAGAAGCCATGAAAGGTAGGTAGAATATTGTTAATTTTATTTTAATTAATAATTGTTAAAATCGTATTTATCTATTGATTATTTTTATATTTCAGATCTAGTAAATCAGAAAAGTCCCCTCTGCTTAGTACAAACGAACGAAAATTCGGTTTGGACTCTCAACAGAAACTAAAAGATATGGGTAAAACCTTCAGTTGTGATTCTAACACCCAACCAGACACGCCCAGTCCATCGGACCAAAAAAATTTAGCTGCTTGGGAGACCTTAGTTCTTTTTGCTGTCAACTTTAAAAAATTAAATGTCCACATGAACATGGGAAATGTTATGGGCAACGTTTCGTAAGTATAATTTGTTTGCATAGGGGTGGATCCAAAATTTTTCCAATTTGCTGGGATGTTTTATTTTCATTGGGTGTCAGTGGTCAGCACCATTAACTGCCAGGGCTATTTGCATCGTTTTTTTGTGTAGGCTCTGTTACTGTTTTACTACGCCACTGTGTATATATATTTTTTAATAAAAACAACTTTTACTATGTTAGATACTTTTAAACTATACGACTCAAGAGGGAAGGGGCTCGCGGGTGAAATATGATTTTTGGTTGACCAAAAATGTAAAAAAATCGTTTATTTTTTGTAAAAAAATGCGAATTAACCTATGTTTTTACGATTTTTTTTATGATTTTAGATGGATGACAAAAGAATTTCGAAGCGATGGACGGTTAAGTATAGGATCAACTGGTCACAAAAATCTTTACATCACTTTGGGATTAGGAGGATCTGGTTTAGATGCTAAAGGTGGTATTGTAGGCGGAAATATTGAAATATCCCGTATCAACACGTACAGTAAGTTTGACTATTTTTCTATATAACTATTTTCTTAAACAATCACCAAGTATTATTTTAAATTTTCTATGATGCCATGATCAATACTCGAGTTTACAAACGTTCTGCATATCGTTAACACTTTAAGTGTCTCTGGAATAATAATTTTTAATCTTACATAAAACAAATCTGAAGTTTTATTGGAAACTATATGCCCCAACTCTTTAAAAACAGTTTAGAACTGCTAGTGATATTTATAGTTTGAAACAAAACTAGGTATGTGCTATTCTTCGCACTGGACAATACTTTTCTTCAATTTGTGACAATTTTAATTATTTACAAATATCTTTTGATTATTACAAAAACATATACATTTTGTGGCAATATATATTTTACTAGTAAGAAATGATAAAGTTAGTGAGAGATTTTGTTTTTATTTCTTAGCAAGTAGTGCTACAAAATGAATTTGCACATTGAGTTTAGGTGAAATTTTATATATAAATGTTATTGTTGTTTTATGTGAACATTTTGACCAGTATATTATTACATTATGTCCACTAATACTTTTACTACTTGACACTCTAAGCATGCACATTTATGGTGCCCATCGTTCTATTATTTTTATTTATTTTATTTATTTATTTATTTGTTTGTTTGTTTGTTTATTTATTTATTTATTTATTTATTTATTTATTTATTTATTTATTTATTTATTTATTTATTTATTTATTTATTTATTTATTTATTTATTTATTTATTTATTTATTTATTTATTTATTTGTTTGTTTGTTTATTTATTTATTTATTTATTTATTTATTTATTTATTTATTTATTTATTTATTTATTTATTTATTTATTTATTTATTTATTTATTTATTTATTTATTTATTTATTTATTTATTTATTTATTTATTTATTTATTTATTTATTTATTTATTTATTGTACTGTATCCAACAGGGTAATCTCCAATTACAGGATAAGGTGAAAAACTATATAATTTTGAAAAATAACATTTGAAAATTAGAAAACATATGCAGAAATGTTATAAAATACAATATATTTAGACATAAATTGAATACACACTTAAAAAAAACTCAAGACAAGAGAAAAAAGTTTGCACTCAATTGAGTCTATTACATTAAACATTAAATACCCGAATAGGTGAAAAACAGGAGATACAATTATTCAAATAATATTACAAATAACAAGAAAAATCAGGGGGTGGGTGGCTCAGTGGTAGAGTCTCTGCCTGTGGATCCAAGGGTCCCAGGTTCGAATCCTACCATTGGCCGGGATTTTTATTTAATTTAATTATTTAAAATTAATTCTGATGCATTGGTAGGATTCCCCACTCGACCATTCACTGTTGGGTTCTAATTACAATAAAAATCAAAAAATTCACATTGTCATATTAAGGAAATTTGTTCTGATGACGGTTATACTACAATTAAAAATGTCAATCTGAGATTTAACCTCAGAATAGTTTTGAATCATTAAGTAAAGAGGAGAAGCCTTACATTTATTGGTCCTAGTAGTATTTTGATAGAATACCCAAGTTTGGTTAAATCAACTTATTTTGTGCCCATAAGTCTGTGGTATCTCAATATGTGTACACACAATTTCCGAACACCCTGTATATTTTTCTAGATCATTTTTGTTTTAAATAAATGTATTAATTTTATTTTTAGTTTATATTCGAGAAGAAGCAAATGTCGAACCAGATCACAAATTTTGTTTGCGACTACAAGCCCTTGAATTGCGTTTAGATTACATGGCAACGTCAGTGTTGATGTGTAGGGTTAGCGACTTAAATGTTAACCTAAGAGACGAATGGAAGCTAAATAAAATAACGTCAAATAGAGATTCCTTTATGCCAACACGAAGGTATGCAGAAATTAAACGTAATACCTACCTTTTGTCTTTGGATACTTTTTTATTTTCAAATTCTTCTAATCATTCAATACTCAGTTATTTTTATTTGTCTCTTGAATGAATTATTTTTCAATTTTTAGACCTGCAAATATTTTTATGCATGGTGTACTTGGTTGGGACCAATTGCAAATGATGATATCTAAATCAACGACAGCTGATCTATTAAAAATGTTTAACAAATTGGAAGAGTTCTTTTCGCAACAATTTAACAGCAGCAAAAGAGCATTTAGCGGTTTTGCAGGATCTTCTAGACCACCTCGAGTTACTCCACAGAGAAGTATGTATTTAGTATGAAATCCTTAGTTTATTTTCAATTAATGTGAAATGAAATAAATATGTTAAACCGATTTTTTTTTTGTGTAGACCGGGACTCGACTGTAATTCCTCCACTTCAAACACCAAACATAACTGATGCTAGACATCACAGGCATTGGCAAAAAGTACTATCCCACGTAGCTGGACTACAACTTCGAACCATGCATTTGCCTTTACCTTCATATGGTACTGTTCTCGGTGGGACAATGGAACTTCAAGGCAACAATATTTCTTTGGCTTGTTTCCATGGTATTAATTTCAAGAGCAAATCTTGGGCTTTATTCAGTTTGAAGGAACCGTGCATTAACTTTAATACGGAAAGTCAGGAGATCCCAGCGAATACCGTAGGAGGTAATATATAATTTAACGCTACATTAAATAAGAAATAATGAAATAATAACTTTTTAGATGAAATTCCAAAACAAGATGTACACGTAGTTCAAACTTTGACGTGCAGCTTGGGTCTCAGTACTTATAAAACTCATTTGTCAATGGCTACTGTTTGTAAAGTTTCCAGAAGCGTTATTTTTCCACCGCAGTTCAAAACGCTTCAAGAGTGGTTCCATTATGCATTTGCAAACAGTCAAATAGATGGTAAGTATATACACTTTATTATTTTTAATCTATTTAATTGTAATACAGGGAGCGGTAATTAAAAAACCAATTTCGATTGTTTTTTTTTTTATTTTTATCATTTATGAAATGTCTATAACGGTTTTTTTTTTATTTAAAAGAAGTGGACAAATTTCCATCATTGGAAAGAGAAAAAATGGATGGATCAATGGAACGAACAAGAGGTTCAAGTTCCTCTCCAAAGATGGCTGATCACAATCACACCAGGGAGGTTATTTTCGCCCTTCCGAGTTTACAATTTCACCTTAAAACTGAGCATTTGCAAACAGCAGATTTGCCAGATCTATCAGGTGAGTTATTAGAACAGGGAATTATTCTATGAAAATGAAATACATAAATAATGAAAAATATAACAAAAGAATTACCCTAACAAATGTTTGTCCAGAGTGAGTAGTACTTGTTTGCTATCTGTATTATTGATGGTTCTTTTTCGGAAACGTTATTTATGGACATGTTCAGATTAGTAATAAAAAGTAGTCGGCCTAGGAAAATAATAAAAGTGTAAGGCAGGGACTCGGACCGAAATAAAATAAACGGTTCCAGTAAATCTAAAATAATATTTTTCTTGAAATCGGTTTCATTCATACTTCTAAATATATATCAATTTCTTATATCAAATAATTTTTGTTCCTCGTTATGAGTTGATTTCTTCTTTTTATAGGTGAAAAGCCGATGGTCGACTGCAGCTTTATAACAGAATTTGAAGATCACATTTTCGTCACAGTAGATGCGGAAGCTTTCTTCTTTCTACACGATTTAATTAGTTCTTACGTTAAAGAAAAAGAAAGGGTGGTAAGCGTTTTGTTAATTGCTGTTATTAAGAGTTAGTTTAGTTCAATAACATACCTAATGGTACCTAAATCGCCACATTATTAATGTATATACTTTTTCTAGCTTAGTGGTATCGAAAGAAGGTCGAACATTGATCAAGAAAAACCGAAATCCTTAAGCGAGACTCCAAAGAAAGGATCAATAGATGTAGATATTTTCGCAAAAGATTGGCGTAATTATAATTGCAAAACGTGGCATCTTGAACCGACTGTACGCCTTCTGAGTGTAGCCGGAAAATATATAGAACCGTATGGTATTGATTATATTCTTCAGAAATTGGGATTTTCCCATGCTCGAACCACCATTCCGAAGTGGATGCAAAGAGGATTTATGGATCCACTTGATGCCATTTTAGCCGGTTTGACTTTGAGGATGGTTCAAGTGGTAAAAGGAGATGGAAATAAAGAGAAGGAAGAAAAACGTGCGATTGAAGGAAAAAAGTGATAGTTTTTTTTTAGGTTATATGTCGATAAATATTTTCAGGAGTTACCAGTATATTAGAATCAATTTAGATTAAATTTGTGATATATTGGGTTGTGTTCCAAGGGAAGTTAAAAGAGGCGAGAGGGCAATAGAGTGGTGAGGAAATTACGTAGACTATATAGTAGATTTCAATACGTTATTAATGCTAATTAAGCTATTTATGATTACACTTCGTTATTTTTGTATTTATTTTGATGACTGAAAATTATGTTATATTCATTATTTAAAATATATGTATACCTAGATAGATTATGTTGTTTCAATTATCTTGAAAATTTTAATGTATTTCTTAAAGGTATATGGCAAAATACTTTATTTGAGGAGCTTTAGAACAAAACTAAATAAATTCACCATAAACCATTTTTGAGAAAACACAATTTTACAATTGCACAAAAGGTACTGGTTTTTTGTTTGAAAAACAAAGATTTATTCGAACAGATAGTCTACAAAGATATAATTTTACAAAATCAGTTGTATTTGGCTACTACATTAATTTTCATAAGTAGATTTATTCGGTTTTGCTTTTCATTTATAACGATTATGGCTTTCCTAGACAGGCTTTCTTCCGATTTCCCAGTGATTGAACAATAACATACTGTGACATATCTTCTTGCCTCAGTTGCGTGGAAGTGGAAGTCGTGGGTGGCGCCAGGCTGTTATCTAGAACAACAGTTACCCGGGCGCCAGTTTTGATAACTCAGTTTGCTCTGCGGCCCTCGAGTACACCTAGAGTGCACTCAAAGTAGCCCTAGTAGAGTAAGTACATTCCAGGCGGTCACTTACATATGGGGTAGTAACTGAAAAAAATAATTCCCCCCTCACTCTACCTAACAACCTTTTACCCTAAAGGTGATTCTGGACGAGCCAGATAAAAAGGGGACCTAGTTAAAAGAAACACAGGAAGTTTATACAAAATAATATATTTCAAACGGCAACCACTGTGCTGCAATACGAAACCCAATTAATAGTTTATTTACAATCAATCACCCACAAAAATAATAATAAAAATAGGAACATAAATATAGTGCTTATTTTTGTATGTTACCCATACGACTAGTATACAAGTTAATCAAATTTCCACAGGGCAACAGCCAGTCTTCGATAAGAATTAGAAGATATAAAAGCGGCGCTAATAGTAACTAAACTTGCAAATATCTCTCTATTAACTAACGATGCACTCAAGTGATGATATAGGATAATATTCCAAAATAATCGATTCATTGAAAACGATCGATCGGAAAGAATCTATTAATCGAAAAGAATCGATTTATCAGAAATAATGGATTAATTGAAAAAATCGATAAATTGAAAAGAATTGATTCATGTAGAAGAATCGATAATTATTTAAAATTATAGGGTATTTTTTTATTAATCGATTACTTATTTTGATAATTGCCCAGCCCTAGTTATAATTTAACGACTTTAGCAACACAATTATTTAAATAGGAAGTTTTATTTGATTTAATGTTATTTTTTTATTAATTTCTAGAAATTACTAAAATCTAGCAAGAAAAAATCTATTAAAACTAGTCAAAAAATGCTAAAAAATTATCAAAAAGGTATAAAACTACTAAATATGGCAACGTTGGATCAAAGTCAAAGCGAAGTTAACTGTCTATTCGTAACTTATGTGCGATGCACAAAAGGGAGGTTTCAAGCAGGCACACAGTCTGTGTCACGGATTTGTTGACCTCTTGTTTTAACTACATGCATTCGCGGAAACCTTTCGCATTAAATTAGCATATTACGTGTGTCTTTATCAAACGTTGACATCGGTGCGGCATCCGCCTGTCTTTTTTCCATCAATCTATCAATGATGAACTAACAGCGCTGTCTTTTTATCCAACGTTGCTGCAATCGATGAAACACCAATTCATCAGTTTCATTCATCGTTTTTCCGATTAGATGTGCCAACTGAAAGCTGGATTGCAGCAATTAAGAAGTTAATTAATTAATTGTTCTATTGTGGAAAAACCCGAAAAAATGGGCGTTTAAAAATATATACTTTCAAATTTAGGTATATAGGTACATTCAAATAAAATTATAAAAACAAATTTGAATCCAAAATGTCAATTGTTATTTATTTCAACGGTCAACCATAAATAAACGGAATCCAACACAAGGCGTTCAAGATCGCATCGGCGAAACAACGATTCCAACAAACCGATGGAAAAAAGACACAAGTATTGAACCGACAACCGCGACAAGCCAGAGCGCAGTGGCGTACCAAAAATAGAAATGAACACATGAAAATAATAAATGTATTGAAATTGAATTTATATTAAGTTATTGATGTGATTAAAATAATGTGTTTCTATGAAATTTTACTGGGCGTTCACTGCACAAATATTTACTTTCCTCGCGATTAATTAAATAAAATGGTGCTAGGCAAAGCGGTGTTAGCTCAGTGAATATGGTCGGATTTTTGGATGAATTAATCCTGACGAAAATTCACCTATTGATGCAGTGATCACTAAGCGGGCAATGTCAACTCGTGATCGACGGAATAGTGAAGAGTCTATTGACTCGGAGAGCCTTGGATGTTGAGAAATTAAGTCGACGAGGTAAGACTGCAATAACTGGAATTGTTTCGCTTTTGTAACTTTAGAACTAACAAAACGGTATTCCGTAAAAAGTTGGGAAATTAATTACTACTTGGGTTTTAAGAAGTTTCGTCGTTGAAACCAGACTCCAATAACACTAGACTGGCCTACTTATGACCTAACATTCGGGACTAATTTTTCTAGGACTATAGAAACTAATTTATTGCTTATATTAGAATAGCGACGGTCGATCAAGAGAACATTTAAATAAATATTTATAGAAAGGTTACTAGTCCAACAGTAGGAACCTTTGTTCTCCACAGGTCAACACAGTCGATAAAAAAAAAACTAGTTCAGTTTCAAAGTGGGAGTAGCAAATTGGAGGACTGAAAAATGTCCTCTTGACATTTACAAAAATGATCAAATAATTTACCTGAATTTAAACGTTTCAAGCTGGATTCGAATTTCAGTAAATAATTACATATTTTGAACTACGGAAATTCTCGCAAATGTTCAAAAACGGCAATTTTTAAATAATAAAAATACTGTGGTTTTTGAGAACGCTAACATTCTGAAATTAACTCAAACTAAACATTTTTATGATTAACACAAAGGAAAATTTAGTGATCGACACAATACTAAAAAAAATAGAGCTGATGACAACCCTGAAACTGTCACTTCTGTTAGCTCTTAATTTATATTTTTAAATTTGCACGCCGCGCCTCTGACCAACGAGCGCTGTGAATGTTTTGGTCCAGACATGCTGAGTAAGGAGTAGGATGAGTTGGCCATAAGCGGCAACCGCCGGTTGTATTCTGACAATAAAATCAGTTTAATTGAATTATCGTGTTTCAATATAATCGAAAATGAGTCTGAGTGATCTAATTTCGATAAACAAATATTTAAACTTAACACTTCTATTTTAGTGAATTAAGTAAACTGAGACTTTACCAAGATAATACATTCCTGGCTCTGGAGGGTAAAAAGTCGTAAAAGTAGCCAGGATTGGCCAGAAATCAGCACAAAATCTAAACGTGAAACATCAAAGGTGCAGTTATTTTACTTCTTGTTTGCCTCTATAATGTAATGTTATCTTGATAGTAGGAAAATATATCATCTTTAAGTTGATGTATACTCAATATATTCTTCGTCACATCCATTTCATAAAGAGAAAATGTGTAAATTTAGTTTAATCCAACTGTTTAGTATTTAATTGAATTCAAGCTCCATCTAAACTTGAAAGAAATCCATTATTTTCATAATAAAATTTAAACAAAAATTAAAACTACATTAATATTTATAGTTTTATTATAGCGAAAAAAATAACACACTATTTAGATCTTACACATTGTTATAAAATTAATATATATTAAACTTAATTTTTATATTTCTAGGATAGGTAAATTAATAACAAGAACAACCACGAACGGTAAAGCAAACACCTTTAGTTTATTAATTAAAATAAATATTTTTCTTAAATAAATCACATTCAAAAATAACGGTTTTTGATATCAGAAACACGCACAATATCTTCTATAGCATGTAAATTAGCTTAACAGTTTAAAGACTTTTTTATCAAGATAAATTATATTGTTTGCATAAATAATGCCCTTTTAACGCTTTTTCTTGCCTTTCCTGCGCTTTGTAGTTTCAGGTGCTTCTCCTATTGTAACTGTACCGCTAGCTATATCTTCCTTTTCATCAGATTTTTCAATGACCTTTAAATAAATCAATTTTTAAATGACTCTTTCGAAAATATCTATACGTGAAAAATAAATTAATACAACACACATTTATTAAAATTTATGGACCTAATAAACTATGACAGAGCTTGAGAATGTGATCGCCTGTCTAACTGACATGAACTTCAAACTATACCAGTCCAAAGTTATGGGATCAGTAGCTTTTGGGAGATTTTAACAAACGTTCTTTCAGCGGTTGTGATTATTATCGTTACTAAGGAAATACAAATAAATACTTACTCGTTGTGCATCAATAAAAAACATCAGATCTCTAACTTGCTCTTTCAAATCGGCAATTTCAGTTTCTTTATGTGATTTCAATTCATTGAATTTTTCTTCTAAATTAGTTATTTTAGTTTGCCATTGTTGTTGGTTGTTTCGTAACGCTTTACCCAACTGCCTCTCCTCATTGAGATCATTCAATGTAGACGTCAATCTAGAAAAATTATATCAGTGTGAATTTTTGTATATAAAATTTTTGTAAACCAATTTAATTGGTTAAAGTCTCTTTAAAATTTAATTTAAATGTTACATAAAAATTATTTACTAACTTGGAATGATGTTGTTGCAATTTCTTTTCCAACACTTGTTTTTCTTTAGTAACAGTGACCAGTTTTGACCTAAGTTGTTTATTTTCTTCAGACACAGATGACATATTTTCCCTTAAAAGCTTAGTCTCTTCTGACAGCTGACTTTCTAACCTTTAAAAAAAATTATTAAATAAAAATTATGTTTTATAGAATGTTATTTATTTATTATGCGTGCGTGTGGTATTGCCTAATTAACATTATAATTGGACTACTTCTGTGATTACTTACAATGACATTTTATCTTCAAAGTACATTCGCTGTTCTTCCAATTGTGACGTTAAAAGGTAAGTAAACTCCAGTTGTACTGAATCGACTTTTTCTTGGGCTCCTTCAGATTCCGGTTGAGGCCCTTCTGATGCTACTAACTTCCCATCAGCTTTATTTTGTAGAAGCCGATGAACAAAATTGTCTCCTACAATTAAAAAAAAATGATTCATGTAAACATTAGGAATTTTTCATCTTATTTTTATAGTTACTTTCATACGAAGTTAAAATTTATAGGTTTATTTTAATAAATATGGACTTGAATGTTTTTTCATCAAAAAGATTTCGGCGTTTCTTATTTTCGCTCAAAACTTCGGAACCGATATTGTTGCGATTAATGTTGAGCTATTTTTAAAATTGTTTTTTTAACACCATATTATTTACCTTGTTTCCTTTCTATGATCTTATTCAAAAAAATGGTTGATGTTATAGTCGGCGGCACAGATCAATTTTACCATTAGACAATTGTATTTAATCGTGGAATCGTAAAATTTATCTGTGCCACAAACTATACTTACTTTTCTAACAGATATCAAAAAATTTAATAAAATTGTCAAATAATTGAAAGTCACAAGGGAATGTTCAACACAAAAAGGAAGAGTAAATAACAAAGAATTTGTTAGATCGTTATTTGAATTGACTGTATTTTAGGAATTTGAGTTACTTGTGTATACACATTACTAATTGAAAATATTTCAACTATAGAAACATAGAAATAATATAGAAGACCAATATAAACATAACATTTAAGCAGAAATTGAAACCTACTGTGCATAAAAACGCGTCTCTGCGCCTGACATCGCAAAATAGTGTGTCTAGAAGCTTGCGCTATATGCATGACTTGTCCCTGTAGTGTTGCCAAATATATTAAACATACCTAACAGAAAAGAATTTTAAATTAATTAATTTTTAAATTATATGATTTAAACAGTTTATATCTACGAAATATCGCCACAAAATAACTTATACACATTTAAATAATCAACTAATAATATTTATGTGTAATTACATTCCCAAAAATATATACAAATACCGTATTAATGTCATTAATACCGTATTTTTAATGTTCAATAAGCGATTCACCTACAAATTCAATATTGACCTGGCAATAGCACTAAAATCCGGTGTTTCAAGGCTATATGACGTTGCCCTTACAGGACCGTTTGTAGTTTATTATTTATGCCGCGTTTGAGAATCCACATCGGATGCATCTGAGATGTAGTAAGTAATGTAATGGGACAGATGTGTCCGATGTGGATAAAAAACGCTCGAGATGTAAAAAATGCATCCGATGTGGATTCTCAAACGCGGCATTAATTACACGATGAAAGTGGCATTTTATTTTTAGTTTTGTGTAGTGTTTAGTCAAATCCTAGGTACAATAAAAGACATTTTTACATTGGCTAATGAAAATGTAATCAATGTATTAGGCAGCTGTTATATTTATTACAAGATTTATGTCTGCAAATCTAAACCTACCTAAGAATTATAATTATGTAAATAGAGAGCTGTATATTTATATACAGGCTGCCCAGCGACGGGGAGACATTATCGATATCGGTTTTAAGGCATTTTAAAACATAAACCCGATCTCAACAATCTTAGGAACTCTTCTGTCACTCGATATTTTAATCGGTACTTCCTCTTCGCTTTTTGGCTGGCACAACAATTATTTACATTTCTTCATTCCTTACCGCGTTCGAACCAGTAAGGTTTAAAGAAATTTAAAAAAAAAACCTACTTTAAAAATAAAGATGTTAATGATTTTCTTATGGATCCCATCTTCAGATCTTGACTTAATGTATATAAAACTGTTTCCTTTTCTAACAAAAATAATCCTAGAAATCGGGCAACGTGGTAAAGAATTATCGCTCAACATACATAAAAAAATATTTCAACGAATTGAGAATATCCTACCATTTTGAAGTATGTTAAAAAAAAATTGTTAATAAAGTGAAAAGTAGGGCATGAACATATATTATAAAGTATATAAAATGATAGATAAATCCAGTTTAGAAGGTATTATAAATAAACTGTGGAAATATCGAGAATCTCGATTTTGAATCGGAAAAATATTCTACGCAATTTAGTATGAAAGCTGATCAAAATGAAACACATGAACGACAAACTGTTATTGACAACTTTCTTCAAACGTTTTCTATTTTTCCGAAAACTAACTAGATAGTTCGAAAATCATTTCCTTCGTTAAAACGCCTCTTGTTCCGAATAAGGTACACGCCTGCCAACATTCATCGTTCATTAAAAAAGTGGTAGATACAAAACGCTTCGTATTGTAAGGCCAAAATATATTTAGAAATCGAAATAGTCATATAAACAAAAAACTCATATGAGTGAGATAACTACCAAATTAATGATTTACAAGTTTATTCCTATTATTTATAAAATAGGTTTGCAATGTGCTGGTGTGGAATGTTATCATCGACTAAAAACTTTAAATCTTTGTATTAAATTGATCGAAAACAAACTATAAATTGGTTTAGGCTATATAGAATGTTTCTAGTAAGCAGCAACTAATTTTTATTATGGAACCGAAAGACCCTTTTAAAAAGGTTCAAAATTAAAATAAAATATGTACCAAGTAAATGTAGTAGTATTTTTTAATTTTTTAATTTATATTGAAAATGGTAACATGAAAGGTTTTCTGTCTAACGACTCATAGTCTCGGCTGACAAAATGTAAAAAAATATCGAACATAATATTCCTGGGCCCTATTTTGCACTCCCCAGATTAAATTTAGTTGTAGCAAATGATATTATCAAATAAGATGTCAAATCACAAGCAAAATCTCGTGACTACAATACTAATGATTGCCTGTTTGGAAAAGTATCTTTGTTTGTAAATATTTATATGCATAGTTATATTTAAATGCGCGAGTGTAATGTTAAGTATAAACAAAATCCGCCCATTATGTATATACGTTTAGTTACCGACCCTAGTAGATAGGCAATTTGTTATTGTTTTAGGTTTTACCGTAGGGAGAGAGAAAATCAATATTAGGATAAATGGTCCAGCTCCTTTCTGGTTACGTAGGTACCTAAAAAGTATTTTAGTTTTTGGTTAAGTAATTAATTATTGTAACAGTGATTTTCTTGTGATAGTACCTAATTTAGATTGTGGATTAAAGTTTTTGTATATAATTTCGCTGTTTAATAATAAACGTAGTCAAAACCGGAGCACGTGGTTTTTCTGGAAAGTATTTTTAAAATCACAAGCAAAATCTCATGACTACTGTACTAATGATTGCCGAAAATTAACTAATTCATATTTTATGCCATATCTTTCTTAATAAGGACTGTCAGAACCATATTTACCTTAACTTGACATTTTTTTAATCGTTTTTTGTATAGAATCATATCTCTAAAAATGTATGATTGAAATATCGTGCGAACTATTTGTTCGATCAATAAAAAACTTGCACCGGTCCTGTTCGCGCCAGCACCGTTATACGCATGAGCTCCGACACACTATTTTTGCCGATATGTAACACCATGCACTTGTTTATATTTAACGGGAGAAGCCAGTCCGAGCACCAATCACTTATTGAATTTAAGTCAGCTTGAATATTATCGTAGTCTACTAAGGGGTTTCCGTAAAATTTTGTGTCATCTGCATAAAATGCTCTTTGAGACTGGATATGGTAAGGTAGATCCCTCAAATAATTTATAAAAAGAAGCGGATCCAGTATCGAGCCTTGTCACCACTTGTCACTAATCTATTTGATGAGTAGGACTGACCAACTTTGACTCGAAAGCTCCTATTTCCTAGATAATTGTGAATCCATGACAATAATTTTTCTTGAATACCAAATGACTCGAGTTTGTGCTACAGTCTGACGAAAGGGACCCTATCAAAAGCCTTTGGATTTTTGCTCAAGATTTTGACGGTTTTAACATCGACATAATTTTTTCACATTTTTCTAATTGGCTTTTAAAAATATGGACTACTAATGTAATTTTTGGAAACCCATTTATCAGAATTAGGAATTCGTGAATGGTTTTCTATTCCTTCGACGTTTCAAAATGAACCATTGTAAATAAATTTAAAAATCAGTTTAGATCCAAGAATGCAAAACAAAATAAAAAGAAACTAAATTATTAGTTGATTAAATTTGTGGCGTAACATACCGGGCATTTCATTTGCAAAAAAATACAAAAATCGTAATCTTGCGTTTTGTCACACCCTATATACAACGTAGCAAATGAATGGAAAGTCAAAACATTTTTAGAAACGTTAAGTCTATTAAAATTGTTTCACGATGTGAGAACAAATAAATTTGTTATACAAAGGGGGTTTTAGTTTAAAACAGTATAAGATTTTCCAGCACTCATTTATGAACTTTCCTGTATACTTAGGAATAATTTTAAAATATGACATGCATTCCAACAAGAATTCAGTCAGAAAACGGTTCACAAAAAATAGTTTATGAATCACGCTTGCGCAATAAATATATAAGAAATTAATTTCGGATCAGTCAAAAAATATATAACTTTCTAATAATATGACATATATTTTGATAATTGATTTTTAATACCAACTTTTGAGAAGCATCGTAACAAAATTAATTGATAGCCGCCTAAAATATTATCAAGTTTAGATGAATAGAGTATAGAAAGGAAATTAACCTCAAAAGGAGACCGACTCTGTGGCTTTTGTCATTGCCAAAGAACTAGGTTTAAAAACATATTTTTAATACATTACCTTTATAATCCCAAACTCGATGAGAACCTAATTGCAAAGCATAACAATGCCCTGTTTCTCGATAATGTGATGCAGCATGGCCACCTAGGTATCTGAAATAATAAATAATTGAACATATTTATGCAGTATTTTGTTTTTTTTTTTTTTTGTATGTAATGCGATAGACATTCCCTTAAATTGAACCAACATTTTTCATTTAGTTTTATATTAGAGTAGTAGTATGTATAATTGTTATAGAAAAATAATATCACATTTGTTAAAAAAAAAAGTTCAACGTTATTAAATTTGTATAAAAAGGTAAATCTTTTGTCTTCGAGATAAGGATGGTATTATTAAAGCTGTTGACATAACACAGTATAAATATATTAATTTTTGTATGATAACGTACAAATGCCTCGTACCTTAAGCTTTAAAAAAACTTATTTTCCAATTTTAAGGAATAAGTATTGTTTTAAATAAAATCAAATGATTTTATTTATATATCCAAATAATATAAGTATATCAAAGTTATTTTACTTTCTGTTTTCTTTCACATACTTACACCTCATTCTTATTTTAAAATTATTTTGCTACTGTTATTCTGGTCAAAAAAAAAAAAACAGGAATAAAAATTAATCAAACTTTTAAGCACCTCTAGAAATACCGAATCGATTATTGTATTATTAAAATATCTTGAAACCTGCAGATTATGTGCTGTGCATTTAGTGATTACTTACCGGGGCACTATCTGTATCTAAATTCGATGTGATATTTTTACTTATTTTTTGATTACAAGGATAATTATTTGATTAAAATTATTTTAATCATTTCCATAAACATACTTGCAAGAAGCTATGTTGTTATGTAGACAGCTTAATCATGTCCCCATAAACTACATAAAAACATTCACATTTTTAAAAACAATCAAGTCTATATATCTATGAATCAGTAAGTATCTTAAATGGAATGCTTGGAAACTAAGTTCATCTTCTTTCATGTATTATTTATTCTAAATAAAAAGCTTTTTGTACAGTGTGTCCCAAAAATCACTAGGTGATTTAAAAATGTAATAACATCTGTCTTGTAAGTCTTTTTAAAATTTTTGTTTCAGGTATGGAAATTAGAAACTTGGGAGATTTGTTATGGAGAAATTCACCGTTGCCCAAAGAGTCGCTATTGTGGTACTCTATTTTGAACACCATCGATCAATATCAGAAACTCAAAGAGCTTTACAGACACTCAAAAAGCAGACTTTTCAATGCAAGAAATTTTCCCTCGGAAATTACTATATTCAATTTAATTGCACGTTTTCGATTGCGTATCATCATCATAGTCATTTCCCAAAAGACTCATGCATTGAAAAGTCTGCAAAACGCTCTTTGAGTTTCTGTAATTGATCGATGGTATTCAAAATAGAGTTCCAAAATAGCGACTTTTTGGACAATGGTGAATTTCTCCAGAACAAATCTCCCAAGCTTTTAGTTTCCAAATCTGAAACAAACATTTCAAAAAGCCTTACAAGTTAGAAGTTATTACATTTTTAAATCACCTAGTGACTTTTGGGACACCCTGTATACCTCTTTTAAACCTTTTAGGCTTTGATATATTTTTTTGGATATTGAAACAAAAAACATGTTTTAATTCATAAAATATGTTAAACATTAATTTTATTAATATTTACTAGGTAAGTGCCTACTGCAAACAAATACTTATAAAGGAAGTTACTTTGAAATAAATAAATATGCTTTAAAAAATTGAATTAAAATATTTTTCCGTCTTTAAAATATTTATAAAAAGCTACAAACCATAAAATGAGCAGCCATTATTATCACTGATTTGGTATTTAATTTTTGATATTCTAACATTCAAATAAATTAATTCATTCTTTTTAAACAACATTATAATATATAAAACAAAGTATAAAAATATTTTTAAATTATCAATACATATTGGTCAGAACATGATATCTTTATCAGTTTTAATAAATGGTAAACAATAAATAAGATAGGCACCGAAAAATTTTTATCAAGACCACTACGTTACTTCATACTCAGTCCACATTTCTACGTTCAATGAGATAACAGATATTAATCTCTTTTCTAAGACAAATTTAACATTTATTATCTACATTAATGCAAATTACTTGTATCTTAACTATTTTTAAGAGTTATTTAATGATCAAAAGTTTATTAATAAGAATCATTTAATGATCAATCCATTTTAATGATCGAGCCATCACACAAGTTTAAAAAAAATCCGTTAGTCTCATTTTATTAAATTAAAGAAAAACTGATTTTTATTATAGGCATATTAGTGATGACGAAATTTTTATTCCACTGACCAGTACAGTGACACAAAAATAAAGGTTATAGGATTCATTAATATTTTATTTCTATTATTTTTAGTATATTCATTTAAACATTAAAAATAATTTGGTAACATACACCATTAAACTAATGTTTTACGACCTAGTAACAATATTTAAACAAAAAAACAGGACCCAGATCGCTAGGTAAATAGATGAAAAATTAAAGGCGATACAGCCACCACACTTCTAGTCTCGATTTTATATCGGGAAAATGTCCGGCCTCTTTATAACACGAAACAACTACTTCCAGGGCTACATGCTCAACAGGTCATTGGATTACAGTGTAATAAAACGTGTTCGCGACCGACTTTCTTAATAAAACAAACTCTGGAAATTAATTATCTTCTTTATTTAAATTTGTGAAGCTAGACGTTCAACCGCCAATCTTCAGCAGCAGAACGTCTGCTACAGACAAATCCTATAATAAACATTGAGCTACATTGAGATCGGTTGAAACGCCTAGCAAAATAAGTGGGGTGAGTAAAAAAACAGTTTATATCATCAAGAAAGAGGAGGAACAAAACAGTGGCGAATTTAAATCTTCTACAAGAAGAAAAAAGCGAATAAGGCAGTCAAATTCTCGCGAATATATATATCAAGAGGGATTTAAGAGCTTTTTTTTACTTAGTTAGTGGCACTGGATATAAACCAACAAGTCAGTCAATTGTCAGGTGAACAGATAAAAATATCGTATAACAAACTGAACTTAATATGGTTTAAATGTTTTGTTTATTTTTTATTTTCTTTTTTTTTTGTTTTTTATTTGTTTTTTTTTAATTTTTTTTTGTCTTTATTTTTTTCTTTTAACATTTTTTCATGTCAGGTGTACAAATAATTGAGCTTATTGAGAGGACTTGTGCATGATGATTTTTTTAAACATTCCGCCAACTTTGAATGCAATTTATATTATTCGAGGAAATGAGGATTCACCTTCTCTTTCAAAACCCTAAGTAGATTGATAGAAGATATTGGTCTTGAATATGTGAAGCGTGGGTAAAAGTATAATGTTAGAATGAAACGACATCATTCATTGGCAGCACAGGTATTTAAGAGCCATTAAACAATATCGCCAACACATCTATTTAGATGAGAGTTGGGTCAAGGTGGGTCAAACAGTTAATTATGCATGGTATATTATGGTGTATAAAAATCGTAGAGATGCTTTTATAAAGAGTTTAACCACAGGACTTATAGAACCTACACAAAGTGGTCCACGTTTCTTTATTGTTCAGGTTGAAATATTATAATTCCTAACTCAAAGACGAAAAAGATATCAACTTGAAATATTGATATTGAAATATAGAAAGAATCCTAACTCAGAAATAAAAAAATATCAAATTGAAATCTTCAGGAAAAAATCAAGCTTTATAAGGGGACGAGGCCTATTGATTCTGAATAAAAATGACGGGTTAATGGAGGGGGTCTGTTAAACTATGAAGAGTATAATATAGAATACCAAGCATTATATATATCTTCATTCTATTTTTAAATTCTGTTTATTCTATTTATTACATAGAGTATAATTATTAGACCTTAATTAATTACCATTATTGTTAAAAAAAATTAACTCAATATTTCTGACAGCCATCATTATTTGTTTTCATTTAGTACACAATTTACTAACGACCTCTGACGGATTTTTTAGAACATACTTAGTTTAAGGCCATATTTTTCAGAGAGTTAAAACACCTATAATAACTTTCATTCATTGTGATCATAATAAACAAACATTTTGGGTTAGGTGTTTTGCCAACAAATATTAGGCATTCCAAACAAAATGGCTACCAGTGGGTTTTGACAGATTATGATATGGCAACCCTGTAGACCAGGTGATTTGACAGGGTCAATGATATGGATAGTTATATAGATTGAGCATCCATGTTTTTCAAAATAGACATAAGCTTATGCCTTGAAGTAAAAATGTTGCTAATTTTTTTTTTACTATATTCAAAGGCTTAAAATTGGTTTTACAACACATTTTTGCTAAACCGATTCAAATTAATGAACACTTGCCAGGCAATATGGCCGCTCGCAAACGACCCGCTTTGAACAATCTATATAACTATATATGTCAGTGATAACAGGTCCACAGGTTTGCCATATCTAAACTGTCAGTTCCCACTTGTCAGCATTCTGACAAGTCATTGAAATGATTAATTAAAATATTTTGGTTGGCAGCTTTGATTAAAATTACACATCCCTGTAAACTTGACCCATGTATAATGAGCCATACAGATAAATATTGTGCGATTGTCCTTTTGTAAGATATAGATAGGAGAAACTTGTCAAAAAATTGCGCAATGAAAACTGGCTTTTATGTCGGTTACCTATGGCAGAAATAAAGTTAAAAGTTTACGATTTATGTATATTATTCATATAAAATATATATTTATTTAATTTTGTAGTATTTGGGATTAAATGGCCTCTGACAAACACATATTCCTGTTAACACACAAATGAACCTGTTATGCATAGACAATGTTATTGATAAAGTGTATTAAACAACACTGCTATTATAATTATTTCAATTAAAAAATGTAATTTACGACTTACTGCTTAATACTAAAACTACATGAATTCATTGATATTTGACAATGGGTTTAAAATTAACAACACCATCAAAGACAATAAGGGAGATATCTATGTAGTAATAAATAAATAAGTAATAAATAAATAATGAAAATGTCTTTATTTGTATAATAATAAATAATAAAATTGTCTTCTTTTTTAATATTGGGGATTTTTTTTTAAACAAATAATTTATTATTTACCACTGAGGTCTATTCTGTAAAAATTCCTTTATATTTAACAGCCTTTAAAAATATTTTCTTCTTTAATTCGGTCACTATTTAAACGGATCTTTAAAATACATTAGAAGACTATCTTAAAGAAATCTGTTTAAATAATGACAGAAGTAAATAAACGAATACAAATATACTTTTAAAGGCCGCCAATATTTTTAAAGGCCGTTAAATATAAAGGAATTGTTACAGAATAGACCCCTAAGTCTGTTATAATTTGCAGTTTAAATTGATATAATATTGTACAGTTTGATTTTTTCAAGTTTTTCGCAATTTTCTATTGAATATTATTGTATAAATATGTATATATTTTAATGTGTTTTAATTTGAACAACTTATTTAATTATTTTAATAGACAGCACATAAATTACTAAATAAATATATATAAACCCTAAAGGAAAAAGAGAAAAGCTCAAAGACCCTCTCACAGAAACAACAAGCAACCATTTCCCACTTAAAAACAACTACTCTATTGGCAAATACCGCAACAGGCATTGTATTATATCAAAAGGAGAAAATCAGAGATAGAAAATAATTTTCAATACTCTAACTTTGAGTTTGCTTCCTAATGAGAAAGACATTCTTGGACCGGTTTAGTCCTTATTAGGGCTCTTCAGCAAGAAATAGACTATCTCGCCTCCAGCCTATAATAGAGTCTGATGACAATACAACATTTACTCATACACAATAATAGTAGGTAGTTGAGAAGTGTGTAGATATTCAAGGAGCAAAAATGATAACACTACTTAGGAAGCAAAATTAATCTTATTATTTTTTATCTTTGCTATTCACTTTTTGATATAATACAATGCCTGTCGCAGTATTAGACAAGGGAGTAATTGTTTTCAAGTAGAAAATGGTCACTTGTTTCTGTTTCAATCTTTGCACTTTTTTCTTTTTCCCTCATAGTTTATTTTTAAATTGATCACATTTCAGAATTGGAATATTTTTCCTTTAAATAAATACATATTTATCTGATGTTGCCTGTCATATGAAATTTTTATCATTTCTCTGTATTTATTATTATTCTCTAATGAAAATATCTATATAATTAAAAACTGATTGGTAACCCTTTGAAAAATGTAGTTCTGTAGATCTATCTGTCTATAAAATTATGTATAAGATGTTATTTGAAATAAGTTACCTGCCACATCCAACGTGACCGCAAATGAGACATATCCAAAGAGAATCTGGTGATGGAACAGAACTGTCACATTCTTCACATTCAGATGTTTCAGCTTGCTCTGGACTTTGAACGCATCTACAAACAGGGCAAGTGGAGTCACCCCATTGTTCCAAACAGCTGGCATGAAATGCATGGTTGCAGAGAATTGTCAAAACGCCATCAACAGATTCATCCATTCTTTCTAAAAAGTTGCATTTTGGTAATTATAATGATGTAAATTGTAAATGGTAAATCAGAGTTGTTTTTATTTACCTAAGCAGACTGGACAGGTTGGTAACTCAGTGTGACCAGGTGGTGGCACTCCATCATGGGCCCATTCGACCTTTGAAACCCAAACTATACGACATATGCCATCAGGTTCCAGACTACTAAATGGAGCACCATTGAAAGTTAGATAGAACTCCATTGCAGCATCATGGTTCCTAAATCTATAAAAAGATGTTAACTTCTGAGTATTATAACTAATATAATATTTTTGAAAAAGGCATAATCTTAGGACTAGACTTGTGTAATATAAAAAACTAAGATATCATTTATGTTGTTCTATAAAACTTTGTAATCATACAAATAGGATTTCAATTACAAATATTTAATTTTCTTATTCTCCTAAATATGTAGCTTAACACATTGCATGTTTATTAAGAGTACTTACGTCAACAAAGCCATGTACTGATTAGGAGTTGAATCTCTCAATACTCTTATATGTGAAATATCATCATGGCATGGTGCAGTAAAAGTTAATAAATCATGACAGGGCATGGTAGTTGGCACTCCCAACAAACACAGTGTGAGTGCATCCTTTCTGCTGCTCAAAACACTAAAATAAAATAAAAACTATTAACTACAATATATTTAAAGAATGATAATCAAAAAACCATTAATTGAATGGGTAAGGTCATAAGGTCACTGCAATTTGTGAGCATGAATTACATTAACTTAATTATTAATTGTACACAAACTTACTCTTCTTTATATAAATGTAAAATGCCTTTAGTAATTTCTACAAAGGGATTTCCACTGAAAAACCCTATTTCATTTTCCTTATCAGGGGACTCTTTTTGCGATTCACTGACAGGAGTAGCTTCTCTTGAATATTTAGGAAGAATACCCCAGTCATCTCTTGGGCTTTCTAGGCGACTGGGAAATGTTTCTACACTTATGTCCCGTATTTTTCGTTGACCTCTATTTCTCTGTACATTATCTGAAGTAGTAACTACAGCTTCTGCACCTCTAGAATCTTAAAGAAAGCAATATATAAATATTTAAAACAATTTGTCGTTTCTGTGTGTACCTTCATTTTCTTGATAGTTATTAACTTCTACTCTCAATACACATTTTGATACTAGGTCCGACATTTTAAACACATTTGATAAAAAATTTACAAAAAAAAATAGAAATCCGACTTATGGCGAATGTAGTAAATGTAAATATTTAGATGACATTTGACAACAAATTTTGATAGATACATTTGAACTATTGTTGACACATGTCAAGTTTAAATTATTTAAACTACTGAAGTTATCTATTTCTATCAAATTGGACTGATTCCAAATTATATAATAGATTCTGATTCCGGTTGTTATAATAAAACTTTTACCAATTAAACCTTAGTATACGTGTACTTTGTGAATAGAGTTTAAAGTAAAAAATACATTTTTGTAGCACAAGTACATAATATACCGACATCTGTTTCGCTGACCACTTCAGCATCATCGCTAGACAAGGATCTGATAATAATCCACTGATCTACGATCTAAACAATAATTTGTATTCCTATTTATTTATGCTTCGGTTGGCCAAGCAACGGTCAAAAACACTCTATTAGCCAGTGCTGTTGTTCTAGGCCATTTCTATCTTTTTTTATTATAGTGGTATAAAAGAGATGCATTGAAAATTATTGCATAAGTTACTATAAGTGACATTGAACATTTTACACGTTGCACGTGCTGTCACATGTCTACAGATTCAGCAACTGTGCGCATTCGCGTAGAGCAAAAATCCATTTTATCAGCAGCCACTTTTTGCAGTGGGTCGGCCATAAGTAACGAGGGTAAGTTTTCTTTTTTTAAATGTATTACATAAATTAAATAATTCGGGAATAAAGGGTTTTTTTATTATTTTTCATTGTTTCTATTGCCAATAGTCTTAAACGAAAATAGCGGCTACATTTGATCTACTTTGAAAAATGTCTAGCTTATGTAACAGTTCCTTAAATATAATTTCTTGTGATGTGACAATGTACAAAATTAATAATATTAAGCTATTCGTAACATAAAGGTAAAGTCTATATTAACTTTTTAAAATTACTTAATTACTAATTAAGAAATAGTGCTACTTCAGATTTAGGTTATGTAACATAGATATGTGTCAGAAATTGATTACACTTGTCACAAGGTCGTCAATTTAATGATATATTACTAAACCCGATTGATATATTGCTTTAATTTGATAAAATATGACTTATTACCAATATATTTAAACAAAGATTATTTATTATATTATTTATTTTTTATAGAACCGGATTCACTCGACCAAAGATGTTCTCCTCATTTTTCAACAAAGCCTCCTGCCAGGCGTCACAAGACACAACCTTGGCTACACCAATTCAAGCTGATAACTCCCAAAAAGGCTTAGTTAAATCATTAGTAGCTGGCAGACAAATTGCTGCTGCAGCCATAGCTGAAGGAGATAGTTGTGAATTCGGTTCTGCTCATTATTTTGCATTGTGTGGTCTAGGAGGTAGGTCTTTTTTTAAACAAAACTTTTTTGTGTTTTTCATAAATTTAGTTTCTTCATAAAGAATATAAAATGTAATTATATTTCTGTTCAGTTAAATCATCTGAAAGGAGCCAATCTTGTTGCTCTCTACATAAATTTGAACTGCCTGTGTCCAATATTTGCTACTGCAATTTCATCCTGTTCTAAATAAAATTGTTTGAAACAACAGCCTGTAGTATAAAATTATTCATATTAATATTGCATTTTTGAACACACTGTATCATACTATAACAACAATTTAATTCTCAATTTTCAACTTCTACAAAATAATATATTCAGGGGGGTGGGTGGCTCAGTAGTTAGAGTCTGGACTTGGATTTTTTTAATTTAAATCAAAATCATTCTGATGCGAAGGATTTCCCACTCCGACCATTCCTTGTTGGATTCTAATTAACAGTGCTGTTCCTGAAGTGGTGCTGGGAAACAGTAAAAAAGCCTACACATAACTCGCATTAATAAAAATTAAATACAAACTGGAATGTTGCCAAAATGAAAAAAATAAATATAATATGGGGAAATAATTATAACAATGTAGGAGAATTTTTTTCTATGAATTATTTCAAGAATACACATACTCAAAATCAAAAAAATCCTACAATTCCTACAATTTCAAGAAAGTTTAACTGAACAAAATAAACTAATTAGTTATTAATTTATATTGAATTCTTAATTTTTTATACTTTATTTAGTTAATAATCCACATTATCTTAAATATTGCTGTCATTGCAAAATAATTTTATCAACATTTTAAGTTTAAATATAAATAAAATACTATTTCCAAATTTATTAATAAAATTTTTATTGAATATCTAAATATTTTTGTAAACTTATTTGCAATTTATAATTTCAGGTATTCTATCTTGTGGTATCACCCACACAGCTGTCGTACCACTTGATTTAGTAAAGTGCCGTATCCAAGTAGATCCAGAAAAATACAAGAGTGTTTTCACTGGATTCAGAGTCACTCTCAAAGAAGATGGAGCAAGAGGTCTTGCCAAAGGTTGGGCACCAACATTCTTTGGTTACTCTGCTCAAGGTCTTTGCAAATTCGGTCTCTATGAAGTATTCAAAGTTATGTATTCTGATATGATTGGTGAAGAAAATTCATATTTGTACAGGACATGGTTGTATTTGGGTGCATCTGCTTCTGCTGAATTTTTCGCTGATATTGCCCTTTCTCCTATGGAGGCTGCTAAAGTAAAGATTCAAACTACACCTGGATTTGCAAATACGTTGCGTGAAGCATGGCCTAGAATTTACAGAGAAGAGGGTAAGTAAAGTATTTTAATTCATTTTTTAAACAATTTTTAAAAAAAATAAGGTGTGAAAACATTTTTATTATTTGCCATTTATAATTTATTATAAAGTTTAAAAAAAATAAGTGTTGTATGGATGATTTTAGTGATCTGCAATTTTATATTATGTGTCCCTGTATATTTCTATCGAAATGGTATTGAATATTGCTAATTGCAAGTATTTATTAAATAATATAGAGAAAATCCCCATTATATTAAAAAAATATACAAAATTAATTTAAAAGATATATACCTACATTATTTTGCAAACACTAACACTTAATTCACTCAAATGACAATAATGTAATGAGGTTATATACAATACAATATCTTTATTTACCTGAGAAAATATTACATTTTATGGCTTGTCAAATTACAATTAAAACAATATATATATAATAAAATTTACCTAAATATAAAAATATTAAATTGAAATTTACAAACATTTACAACATAGTTCACTGAATCACTCAGAGGCCACAGTGACAGCCTCCATCCTCCATCTGTATTGATTTAAATTCCTCTAAGCTATATAGGCAATTATTGGATAACATTTGTTTTAATGCAAGTTTAAATTATCTATAGGCTAATTTCTAAAATTAAATGGTAGTATATTGTATAGCTCAATATAATATTTCTTTGTCCTTTCCAGTCTATACTGGATAGGAACTAAGTTATCTTTGTGCCTTGTATTTTTTTGCAATTTTCAATGATGACTGACATCTGTCAGTTAAATAAGATTCAAAAAGCTGTAAACAAATCCCTCATACTCCATACCAATCCACTTTTGATAATAGAATTGAATGATCCTCACAGTCAAAAGCAGAGCTTAGATCTGTAAATGCACCTAAACAGTTTTCAGCTTTTTCAAAACAATTTTCTATATATTGTACTAGAGATAATACTGCATCTATTGTAGATCGCCCCCTTCTAAAACCATATTGGAATGGCGTGATTATGTTGGAAGAATTTAAATATGATATTAGATTATTATACATAATTGTTTCCAAGATTTTGGAGAATATGGGAAGTACAGCAATTTGTCTGAAGTTGCAAGGCTGAGAAGGGTCTCCTTTTTTAAATAGAGGACAGACCTTAGCAATTTTCATGCTATCAGGAAATATTCCTTCAGTTAGACAAGCATTTATAATTATAGTTAAAGGTTTAGACAAAAAAGAAATACATTTTTTCATTATAAATACATTAAATCCATCAATATCCTGTTCTTTTATTTTTTAAATCTTTTACAATTGATTCTATATCGGTTTGGGTAACTGGCTGAAAAAACATTGAATTTTTTAATTGTGGTATATTTATAAAGGAAGTAGCAGGTATATCTGGTTTCTCTAGATTCTGAATTATGTTTTCCACATTATTAATAAAAAAATTATTAAGATCTTCAGGAGTTAAATTTTCTGGCTTTGTATTTGTTTTATTTCAACCGATTTCTTTGTTAATAATATTCAGCAAAGTCTTTGCCTTATTATCAGAATTTAATATATAATTATTGCAAAAATCTTTATATAATTGAATATTTTGAGTACTTGGATGCTGTTTTTGCCATTCACGCAAAAACAGCAGTCTATTTTTTGCCTCAGTAATTGTGGGAGAAACCCAATAAGAGCCCTGCTTTTTATTCTGCATTTGAGGTTTGAACAGGATACTATTATTCACATAGCCTTATTCTGTAGCTTCGGTAGTCAGTTCAACTCACTTTGATTTAGTAAAAAGAGTATTGTAGAGCAATAATTAAAGTGAGGTAGAATTATAGTATTATATATAATAAATTTAGTTCCCTGTGATAAGCCAAATGAACTTCTAAATAGGAAATTTAACTTAAATGCAATAGTTTTGATAACAGTGTTGACATGATCTATGAATCTCATCTGCTTGTCAATCATTACCCCTAAGTATTTGAATTTTTCTACTAACTGTATAGAATTTCCTCCAATTGAATATTGCTGATTACAAGTATTTATTAAATAATATAGAGGAAATCCCCATTACATTAAAAAAATATACAAAATTCATTTAAAAGATATATACCTACATTTGCAAACACTTAATTCACTCAAATGACAATATTGTAATGAGGTTCCCTTTTGTTATTCAATAACTAAATAAATAATAAATTTTGCTATCTGTTTTAAGGTCTTAATGGTTTCTACAAATCTTTGGTACCTCTCTGGATGAGACAGATCCCTTACACCATGATGAAATTCGCTTGCTTTGAACGTACCGTCGAACTCCTATACAAGTACGTCGTACCTAAACCACGTGCTGATTGTACCAAAGGTGAACAACTGGTTGTCACTTTTGCCGCTGGTTATATTGCTGGTGTCTTCTGTGCTATCGTTTCGCATCCTGCTGATACTGTAGTCAGTAAATTGAATCAAGAAAAGGGAACCACAGCTTTAGGTGCTGCAAAGAAATTGGGCATGGCTGGTTTGTGGAAGGGATTGACGCCCAGGATCGTCATGATTGGTACATTGACTGCTCTGCAATGGTTCATTTATGACGCATTCAAGGTGAGTTGATAAGGTTTAGAAACAGAAAATATGTAAGTAATGCACAATATCGAAAACATACCGAAAGAGATAACCTAGAAAATGTTTGTCACTTCAAAAAATAACTAGGTGATTAATTTGAGGAAGAAAATCAGGCATTTAATATTTAAAGTGTATTGTTCCTACTTTGATATGTGGTAACATTGTAATTTTATTTCTTAGTTAAGTGAAGTTGTGGGAGACAGGAGGGGGATTTAAGGATAGTTTAGAATGTTTAGATCATTCTTCTGAACGTTGTCTTCACAATTTTTTTGTTATAAAGCAATAATCGGTTACAATCACTACAATAAAGTTGGGTTAGCAAATCTGAAATGTCTCTGTTCTAGTTATTGTTATTAATTACTGGACAAAGTTGCCACTTATCATACCAGAAATTGAATGTATTCAAATTTAAAACCCTCCAAACAAAATGTTTTTCCGGGTATCCGGTGTTAATTAAAAAATTAACTAAACCTTTATTTAAATGTCAACTCATGTAACTTCCATTTTTGGCAACTAAGTAGTTTATAATAATTAAAAGGTTTGTGTATTAAAGTATGTTTCAAATTACCTCAATGATGTGGTCTCAAAGATTATATTTGTAATTTTTTGTTGCTCTGTGTTTTGTGAGAGAAACTAGTTAATTCGTTTTATAATTATTTTTGCAAAATATTCAGATTGTTCCATTTTTGTTTTCTTTTAAATTTAGAAAGTTCAATTCTTTTTTTATATTTTAAAAATTAGAAACATTTCATTCTCATTTTGTTTGTTTTCTCATTATGGGTACTGAAGTATAAAGCAACAATTTTTTATTGAAAATCAGAGTGTGTGTGGTAATTTGGATTGGTTATGGAAAGTCAGGATATTTTAATTGAACTAATTAAGTCAACGAAATTTTGATAGTTTGCCAATAGTTATTTTTAGCGATTCCTACTTAATAAATATTCCTAGACTTTTGCTTTAAATTAACAATTTGCATTATATTTTTAACTATACCTGATAAATTGTTAAAAAAATTTAGTATAGATATGTTAGGCGACGTACTTGTGACACTTATAAGCCTAATTCACAAATTATCCTTCAATTTACCCAAATGTAATTACTTAAAGATGTTTTAGACTAGAGTTAGAATTGTGTGTATAAATAAATTAAATAAATAAAAATCAATAAAAATAAATTAAATTAATAAAAATTAAATTAGTAAAAATTAATAAACATTAATTTAATAAAAAATAATAATTAATAAAAATTAAATTAATAAAAATAAATAAAAATAAAAGCTAGGCAATAGCTTGATAACCGAAACTTCTTACGGCTCGCCCTGGCATAAAATATATCAGGAGTGAATTGATAAAAACAACCTTGACAGCTTAGTCCCCACTAGAAGTCACATTCCAACTGTGTATGATCTTTCCTTGTTTGTGCATCATCAGTACTTCACTGTTTAGGGTTATAACTTTAATAGTATGTTCATGCAGCCATGCAATATATATTTGTGTACACAGATTTTATTTACTTATTTTTTTTTTATTTCTTAGCAAATTCCTCTAAGAATTCCAACTATCATGCTTTCGATAACACACACTTTTTTTTTTTTGTTAAAGTTACTTCCAATTTTATTATTCATTCATTGAAATATGAAAATATTAAAAGGAAAAGAAATAAAAGGTCTTTAAGTTGTTACAGAATTATTTTAATCATGACCGGTTTAGAGACATCAAGTGATAGTCTGAAAAAGACAGACAAAAGGGGGTAAGTTCATGTATTTCAATTAGGAATGTGTTGATAAAGAACATACAAATCAATCATTTCATAAAGTTTTATTACAGGTATGTTGACGAGATTTTGATATTATGGACTGACAGTAGAGGTTCTTTACATAACAATATTAAGTTCACCTTAGAGGTGGAAGTGGAGAAATCTATAAATTTCTTAGACCTTGTAATGAAGTCATTTTTCATTACCATTTTTTTTATTCATTTGCCGAATTGGTATTCTTAATAATGATTTTAAATCTAACTTTCATTAGAATCCGGCATGTCAATTTAATAAAATTAATTATTCGTTACTATTCTAATTTATAAATCAACTTTTTGGCTTCACCCTGTATCTATTATTTTGAAATGTATAATAATCCGAAAATCCATAGTACTTTCACAATATAGCAATGGTTTTCAAAAGCCATTTTAAACCAGGGTTTTGAATTTATATTATAGAAAATTGTAGATTTGGGAATTTATCATTTTAAATATGTTAAACGAGAACGAACGTCAGCAGCCAGCACCGTACCCCTTCTCGAGTACCTTCTCCCTCTTAAATTGATCGTGCGCGGGCCATTGGTAAATATTTTTCGAGTCCAGATCAAGAACAGTGAGAGAGACATTTTTAATTCCATTCCGAGCGATCGAAAGAATCAGTCGATAAGTGTAATACCGGCGCCGCGAGCTAAAACCGTTTGTTTACCGCAGTTAATACAAAAAACCCGTTTTTATATTTTGCCGTAGCATCGAGTTTAGATAGGAAATAAAACCGAATTAAATTAGGTAGATTTAAACACCGTTTGAGATTTACATTTTAACACGTAAATAATTTTGTTTGAAAATTTCGAAATTTAATAATTAACAGTCGAAGAATATTTTCTTGTTTGGATATTGGCCGTGTTTATTTTTTTTTATTATCGTCTTCGAACGGTGAGGACTGCTTTAGATATAAATCGACTTTGTAAATAGAATTATTAAATAAGTAAATTGGGAAAAGATAGGAATTAGAGTGTTTATTTTCTTTTCGTTTTTTTTTTTAAATTTAGATAGGCTTTTAAAAAATAGATTTGTTGAATTCCTAACCGTGGTAAATACGGGAACTGAATATTGTTCTTTTTTTTATTGGTTTAGTTTGACTGTCCGGGATTTTGTTCTACCGAAGGGGAGGGTATCATTTACTGTTTTGAATATAAAATCTCCGTCCCTTTATTTTCCGTCCTGGCTATTCCCAAATAACTCAGCGAGGACTTAAAGTTCCCTCTGTTATTTTCCTTCCTAGCTATCCACAATTAACTCAGTGAGGGCTTAAAGTTCCCTGTGTTAGTTTTCCTTCCTGTTTATTCCCAAATAACTCAGTGAGGGCTTAAAGTTCCCTGTGTTATTTTCCTTCCTAGCTATCCGCAATTAACTCAGTGAGGGCTTAAAGTTCCTTCTGTTATTTTCCTTCCTAGCTATCCACAATTAACTCAGTGAGGGCTTAAAGTTCCCTGTGTTAGTTTTCCTTCCTGTTTATTCCCAAATAACTCAGTGAGGGCTTAAAGTTCCCTGTGTTATTTTCCTTCCTAGCTATCCGCAATTAACTCAGTGAGGGCTTAAAGTTCCCTGTGTTAGTTTTCCTTCCTGTTTATTCCCAAATAACTCAGTGAGGGCTTAAAGTTCCCTGTATTATTTTCCTTCCTAGATATCCCTGTCCGACCTGGGATTATAATAATAAATAATAATAAGAGGTAGTGTGGGTTTGATTCAGCGTATCTTGCTCGTTGGCTTCAGGGGTTTTAAAAAGGAAACCAAACATTTAGAAAGATTTCAAGTGGTCCTCACGAGTTACAGAAGTGCCGCAGTTTAATTTTTTTTTAAATTCATACTATCCTTGATTTAAATTTTGATTTTTCTTTGTGATTTAAGAAAATTACCGTAATTTTGAAATTTTTAAAATTAATACTATCCTTGATCAAAATTTTGATTTGCAATGGCTACCATAAATTGCTCGTTTAAACAATTTCCAAAACGTAGAAATATTGAGAATTACAAAAAATCCAACAGTTATTTAAAAATTCTATGCAAGTCCACACCTACCTTTTCTTTAATCTTATAAATATAAAAAGTCTAATCTTTTTCACCTTTTTCTCTACTGTAATTTCTTTCTTTTTTTTTCTCAATTAACAACCTAACACTTCCTTTTCTTTCATTAATTTCAAAAAATGCTATTTATTTTAAATATTTTAATTTTCTTTTTTAGATCCAGTAATTCTCCCAATAAATAATGTCAGTTGTCAGCTCTAGTTGTTTCTTCATTATTAACAACTTTGTTTTTAATTTTCTTTTTTCTCTTTTTTTCTTCTTTCGCTATGTTCTTAAAAATTTTTCCCCACTTTCTTGTTAAGCCCTTAAAGTATTACATAAAACTGATGATGCCTTTCAATTTGTTAAGTCTTGTATTTTGTCAGTGTTAATATAATGAACAATTCAAACGTTTTTGAAACATTTTTTCTTACTGTCATCTATAGGTATAAGTCACAATTTTAGCATGCACATTCCCATTTGCACTGACAAAAATACAGCTTTCTAGACTAATTTGTTTATTAGTTCACTAATTAAAAAAAAAAAAAAAAAAAACCATATTTACAGACATTTTGTTATAGTTTAATTTTAATTTGTGTTCCCGTTACTTATTTTTTAAATTAGTTTTTTCGTTAATCATTTACCTTTTATTTCATTTTGTAATACATTTGCTTGGATTAATTCTTTGATTTGTATGTTCTTTATGGACATGTTCCTAACTGAAATAGAGGAACTTACCCCGCTTTTGTTTGTCTTTTTCAGACTATCACTTGATGATGAGGTTATAAGAAAACCTCGAAACCGGTCGTTATTAAAATAACTCTGTAACTCACACACGGCGATTACCTTTAACTTTATAAAAATATTGTTTATCTACGACTACAATAAACAAAAATACACTTTCTCAATTATTATTCGTTACGAATTGAGTTATATTTCCTTATTTGATAACTCTGATAACACAACAAATTGATTATTTCTGTACAGATCCATATCGGATAACACAAAGTAATCATTCCCTTATTGTTTTAATAAAATCGTGTGTGCCATAAATATAACATGCTGATACTCATTTTTATTTAATCTTTATCAGCATGTTATAGCCATAGAAAAAGTATAGTAACTCGCAAGGAATGCTCATTTCATACTTATATCATATATATTTTTCTAGGAAATGGGTACCATTCCTTACTCGTTAAACAATATATTTGAAGGAAAAGAAAATATAACAAGTTGTATTTTTTGCTAGAACTTTAGTTCACTTTACACTTTACAGCATTTTTGTCTATATCTTGATTTTAGAGGAGTTTGGAAAGAAATAATTTGAACTGCACTATTTAAATATGTTATGTGGACTCGTTAAATTTCATATTAATTTGAGTTTAATGTCTTTTTTACCTCTGCTGTACAGAATTATTTTGATAATAATTTTTTGTTGTCAAATATAAAGATTGTCCCAATAGTTTGAATTAAAACAAAACACTGAACAGTTTATATAGAAATTTTTCTTATCAGAAACTAATAAAATCTCAACAGTTTTATGAATTTCATTCAAATTTGTGGATTAGCTCTGCAGCAATTTACTGTTTCGAATAAACCTAAAAGTGATTCAGATTTTTATCAGTGCAAGACATTATTTTATAAAGTATTTTTTTATTGAAAACATTGTATTATTTTCAGGTCGCTATGAGAATGCCACGTCCACCACCTCCAGAAATGCCAGAATCACTCAAGAAAAAGCTAGAAGGCAACAATTAGTAAACCAATTTATTTTAAATTAAGTCTAATTTATGATTTTAATTTTCAGAGAAAGAATTACGCAGTATTTCCATTGGTTTGGCGTAAACAAGTATTGTATTGTTAACATTTTATCACCAGTGCCGCGAATGTTTGTTTTCATATTTTTAAGTTAATAATCATCTAGTAGCTTGTAAATAGTTAATTCAATATACACTGATACTCCGATTTTAAAAAACCCATCTCGTTATTTATGTTGACTAGTTGACAGAGCAATATGCTGGTGGTCTATTAAAATATGTAATTTTGTTTCCAACATCAACTAATGAAGCGAAAAATAAATTATACGAAATTAAAATGTATTTAAATTATCCCATAAAATACCATCTTGCCAAATGTCCTGTTGCAATTAAGGTAGTTCACTCGTAAAACGGATTTTCCTAATAATTCGATAAAATTGAAATAAAGGTTAATGAAAGTGTCTTTTATGTAACTAAAAAAAAAAATGAAATTTTTTGACTGTGTGAAACGAGATATTAACAATCAAAATGTGCATAATTAACACCCTTGAAGCCATGTACACAAGCAATGCATTTATTTCAAAATATCTCGAAAACGGTTCTTACTATATTTTTTAAAAGATAATGTAAATCAAGAAGTTATAACATTTTCCAAAAAAAGCTGAATTTTTTGACCGTGTTGGCAAAAAGATAGATTTTTAAAGAAGTCGACTCGTAGTGGCGTACAATGATTATAACTTGGCAACATTGTAATCGCTACACCTGTATTTGAGAACTGGAATAGACCCAACAAACCTTTAAAATTAGTATGAGGAAGTCACAAATTTTAATAGCCAATTCGTTCATATATTTGAGACGTTGCCGGATGGATTTCACTTGAAATTATAACGTATCCGTATATACAGTACTTATTATCTATTAGGCATGGCCGTGCTTTTACAGCGAACATGTGGCATCGCTGTTCTCAGTTCGGCTAATATCCCACACCACATCTTCTAATTCTTGTCGATGACTGGCTGTTATACTAGTCGTATGCCTAACAAGAAAAAATAAGCACTGTATAAGCTTACATATGTTGTGTACAGTCTCTTAGCATTGAGAAACTCGATCTTTTGGTATTCACCATTAGGCGATATTTTTATGTACGACTGTCGCGAGTGAACTACTTTAAAGTTTGTATAACACTTTTTTAAATATATTACTTCACTGCAATTCACAGGTGTTTAGAAAATTTCATAAAAAATAATCTGAAGCGATATCACAAAACTAAAAAAATAAATTTAACAGTGGGAACATACGAAAATATTATTTAGCGGAAAAATAAACAAATGTTTAGTTTTGTATACAATACTTTAGACATATCCCCATAAGAAAAAATTTAATGATGTCAGATCAGAGGATCGTGCTGGCCATTCCGTCGATACTCGCCTCTCTATCCACCAATTTGGAAATAGTCGCTTGAGGTACTGCCGGACATTGATTTGGTAATGGGACGGTGCTCCATCTTGCTGAAATCATATCCGCTGTAACTTGTGGGCTTGCGGGATCGGGATATAAAATCGTTAAAGTTGGCACGACATTATTTTGGAGCAGTGTTAAATAATTATCGCGCCATATAAATTGCTATCAATGAAAAAGGGACCTATCATATGATCGCCAGCAATTCCTGCCCAAACATTAACCTTTTCAGGGTATTGCGTGTGTTCTTCTCTCATCCAGCAAGAATTTTTCCTAGACCAATAGCGCCAATTTTGACGATTAGCATGACCGTGAAGTGTAAAGGTACACTCATCAGAAAACAAAACATGTTCTAATTAGATCACCATATTATCTAACATTGCCATCATGCCACGTTACTAGCCTATCCAAGGATGTAAGAGGTGACAGTAATTTCTTTTCCTTAGCTGGCTCTTAAAATTTAATGATTCGGAAAGTGGGGGAGAGGGGGTTAATAAGAGTATATCTAACTGTGATTTGATATATATCTTTTAGCTTATGCACAATTTACCTTTTGGTTTATAATCCTCCAAATGGTTATTAAATCTGTTAATGTGTTGATAGTAATAATGATACCATACAATTTATCTTATGGTCCCCCTTTTAGTACTACAAGGTGAGTTTGCATATTGAATTTTTCAAGTTTATCCGCTATAGTTTATATTTATTTTAGGAATTAGTTGAAATGAGCCACATGTCCAAATCTGGAGAAATAGAAGAAGATAGTCCTTACTTGGGCCTAAAATAAAATTGGTATGTGATTTTTTTGGAAAGCATGGAGAGGTCGACCTTACCACATATGTTAGGGGCCTTTCTTTTACAAGGAACAAAATCCACAATATGTGATTTAAATTAAACGTTGTGAGAATTGAGATGATGGCTTACTTATAATGGCTAATTAAATTCGAAAACTTAAACCCAGGTGGTTCAGAAAGAAGCCATTTTCATTAACAGGTCAGATATGAGAATACACAAAAGTATCATAAAAAGTGGTAGGTAAAATGTGCACGTAACAATCATTTATTCACAAAATTGTGTTTTTCTATAAAAATCGTCTTCCATGAGCTCCTGAGTTGCTATTATTTTATAGATGCATTTTATTTTCTTTTAATATTTGAATAATCGAAGATTGGCTATTATCGAACATTGGGACTGCTTGTCGACTAGAAATATGTATGTTTTCCTGAAACTTAAGCATACCCAGGCAGCACACATTAGTATAACTAACGTATTTTATACGTAATACTCGTTTAATTTTGGTATTGGTTGATTCCGTATACGTTTACAGTTAACGAATATTATACATGCCGTATTTTAAAAGATATACGTTTTTTGTATACATCCTATGGTATATAATGGTAAATTTTTCTACGTTTAAATGTAGTTAACAATATACGACTATTTTTAGTTTGCGATGAACTATTTATATGCAGTGGGCCTAAATATACATTTAGGTTTATTTAAATTAAATTCGTATAAATTTACATATTACAATATGTGTTCTTCGTTTATAACTCCTGTTTAAATTTCGTCTTGGTTGATTTTTTAAACGTTTACCATCTACCATTTTTATACTTAACGTTTTTTAACAGATAAATTAAACGCTTTTGTTTGTGGATAATAGTTAATATACCTATATTATTCTACGTTTAAATATAAGTCACCTTAAACGCATATTACCAGTTTACGATGAACTATAGTAAACAGAAGTAAATAATATGTATATATTTAGGTTTATTTAAATAAAAAGCTTATAGATATATTTATTTACATTACACCATATTTTTTAATTATATTACCTGTAATATTTATAACAAATTCCCCATTGTACAGATTTCAAACACCCGAACATTTAAATAACCCGGGTGGACTAGTCCATGTCGTTTTAGTGAGTGAGATTCGGGGTGTGCTTTAAGCTAAGTCGGGCTGGTCCAAAGTTTGCGTAGTGCAGCGAATCGAGAGGGGAGTACGGTACCGGCAGACGATCGGGAATCAGCTGACTGATGGTGGCTGGTTGCTGTTAAGCGCTCGGTATGAATCAGACAATTCACGCTATTATAAGTTATATTTCTGTTAACTAGTTGCTAACCACGATAATTGTTTTTTATGTAATAAAAAGTTCTTGTAAAATTGTTGGTGTTGTTGTGCCCAGTTGGATTGCATGTTGTTTTGGCGTCCTGGCTTTTACGATATTGGTTAAAAGCATATAGGTAAGTTTCTATTAATGTTTTAATTTAGCTACTCATTTAATAATTGTTGCATTTTATTACAGTGTGTAAAATGCTTATAGAAACTCCAGAACATAACCTTACTTTTGTTTTTCTTATTTTTATACGTATTTCTATACCTATTTTTTTTGCTACCTAGTTATTCCAAGCATACTTATTTTCCTTTTTTTTTTGGTCAGTTGTTTTTTGTTTAATAAAATGTCTAAAATAACCCTGTCTCGGCGTCATCTACTAATAAAAATAGCACAAAATGTTCAAGATGCTTTAAAGTCAAATTTTTTTTTATTCCCAATGAAGATAACATTAATAAGCCTTCGGACATTAATATATCATCTGATTCTATTATTTATAATAATTTCCTAGAAAATAATACAAATTTAACTTTGGAGCTTTTAGAAAATATTTCAGTTATATTTTGGTTATAGGAATGGGAGTGAAGCAAGAGACTTAACCGACCGAACGATTAGAAGTGCTATGCAAGATTGGCTTAAGTTAGCTAAGGCCTGTCTAGGATACAACACATCCAAAGTGTTAAGCTAAGATTTTAATTTTCATATATATTTTTTGTTAGTTAAAGAAAAGTTTCGTTTAGTTTGTTATTCAGTATTTTAGTGTTTATTTTTTAGTACTTATTTATTTTTTAGTACTTATTTATTTTTTAGTATTTTATTGTTTATTTTTTTAATAAAATATTGTTCTGTACATATAAGTGATCAAAAAAATTTCCTAAATATTTAGGCCAATTACAACCAAAATAGAAACACGAGTAATACCTATTTCTAGTGCATACACACCTGCTATGGATGATATACAAACTGCCATTTAAGAAATATAAACATTTTTCCATGGCCTCTTTTAGAAAATTTGTTTTGATCACTTTATTTAATTTGTGTTTGAAATACATTTAAAACAATATCAGGTAGACGCATTTTACACATTAATAAAATAAGATAAATCTAATATAGACGTATAGTAAAACAGGATAATAAAAAGTAGATAAAGTAGTAATGTTAGACGTATAAAACATAAAAAAAATATACGTTTATAGGGCGGACATTTTCACGTATATATTGGGTAGCATATCAACGGTATCTATACGTACATAAAAAACGTCTTTTATACCAAAGTGGATTCGTAAAATGTACTACAACTATAAATCTAATATAGACGTATAGTAAAAACGTTTAATTATGGTGGATAAATTCTTAGTAATCGACGTTTATAAGGCGGACATTTTCACGAATATATTTGGTAGTACATCAACCGTATTCATACGTATGGTAGTACCTAAAAAAAAAGTAATTTATACTAAAGTGTGCTGCCTGGGTACTATCCAATTTGGTATCATTGGTATTGCATTGGCAGCTGTTTTTTATCTGCCTTACATATCTAAGCTCGCGAAACTGCTTCTCTATTTTACTAATTGTCCCTTGGGATATACGCGACAAATTTAGAAATTTTTCATGAAATAAGCGAGCAACTTCCATTTATGTCCGTGTGTTATCTCCATAACCAATCATCTGTAGAATCGTTATTTTGTGCATTTATGTTAAATGGACCATTTGCCGGAATATCCGACAAAAGGAGGGCTTCGGGAAATTCGCTTGTTCACATCAGGTAACAA